GGAAAAATCAAGACGAGCTGCGAAGGCTCTCACAAACGTCCATTAATGTATCCGAATCGTGCCTTGACGGTTCAATAAAAGCGGCAAAGCTCATGCACACGTATGGTACCGACACGTACATGAACAGATTTAAGTGAATCAGGCAACGACTAGTGCCGCATATTGGATCGCTACACAATGCACAAACGTGTACTCACTGTACAAACACGTACACGCCGAGGTGTATGTACGCACAAGACAAAGATCATTTTATAGCCAGGAAAACAATGGGAGCAAGACCTGTTCAGTGGGCAACTGCTAGATCATCGCTAAAGTACATAAACGTGTGCACATACAAATACATGCGTACATAAATATGTAGGCGCAACCACACGTACACACGCGCACACGCGCATACTAATTACACAAATCACATTCCTTATATCCCACACTGGTCTCCCTAATCAATCATTCGCTCGCAGACGAAAGTCCTGTTGATGCGCATCTGTTTCCATTATGTTAAATGACGACTTGGCTTTTCGGTCCCGTAATTTTTCATCTTTCACGCATTTTCTGCCTTTGGCGCCCCTTAAGTTCATTCATTCTCTGCACGAGCCCCGGATCCATTGTTCAACATTCAAACCACACACACCTTGCGCGACGCTCAGCGACAAGCCGCCTAGTTAACAGTAGATTACAACAAAGCAATTATGTACACAGGATAAATAAACGCGATTAAAATAGTAAATTTAGAATCGCACGAGGCGTCGGCCTACACGTCACGCGCGCACAGAGAAGCCTGCCCTCCGCCTAGGCGAGGGGCCTACTTTAGTAGCGCAAGGGAGGTGAATGCGCGCCAAAAAATAATCCCCTCGTCCATTTCTTCCGCTCGCCTGCAACTTTTTTTCCCTTTGAAAACTCACGGGGTCTTCTACGGTCGAGTCGTCCACTCCATCGGTCGCGCCATCGGTCGAGTCGTCCATCACGGGCTGGCTCTCACCCTCCTCGTGCCCGTACAGGGACTCTTCACCACCGTTGTCGTAATCTGCGTCCGCCATGGTGGCGTCTCTGCAGTCCGCGGCGCCCGACCCGGCGCTCCGTCTCCGCGCTCCGCGAGCGAGATGGGGCACGCCGCGCGAAAAGAACGCTCGCGCTGCACGGCGGAGCGCTTCGCGAGAGCCGCAGCCGGGGTTTCGGGGGCGGACGAGGCAGAGAAGCGCGCGGATGCGAGGGGATTTGCCGCACTTCTGCTCTTCCCTCAGCGGGGCCCGGAGCACCGGGTAGCCTGGGACCGTGATGACGTCACGAGAGGGGCGTGGTTACCTTTGTACGACGTCACGCGAACGATTAGGAATATTCGTGGTGGCGCGTGACGTCAACCCCCCTCGCGGATTTGTGAACACGTCATATAGAGACTGGTTACATGATGTCACGCAGGTTTGGAGAATTTGTATGCGAGAAGTCGTCTCTTACCTATATGTAAAGTGATATTCATTTTTAAACTGGCGACAGGGCTTTAAAAATACAAAGCAAAAAAAGTAAATCAGCCACTGTCTATCCACTGCTGTATGAAGGCCTCCCCATGCTGTGACCATCACACGGTCCAGTGCTCCTATCATTCATCATCTCCTGCTGTGGACGTCCAATCTCGGACGTGCTCTGTGGCTGCAATTCAGTCACCAGGTTTTTCCATCAGATGCGTCCGCCATTGATGTTCATGATTGGTGTCTATTCCCTGAACCATATGTAAAACATTCCTAGCATTTTCTCCTTCATGCGTCTTAAGAACTTTGTTGGCTTTTTCTGGTAGGAACGAATTTGTGAACTGAGTGTACCAGCCTGCAATAGATTAATGTGTCCGTCCGTCCCCTTTCAATACTTTAACGAAGTGAAATCTCGTGCTGTTGGGGTGTAAAAATAAAATTGCGCAAAATTCCAATGTTCCTACCAGCCCACCCTGCAGGGACCTGTTTATTTTTTTTTATCCATGTATTTTTATCAATTGTCATATCTATTCATATCTATATAAGAGAACCAATCATAAAAAAACACAATCACCCAACACATTCGTGGACATTATTGTGGCTTTAAAATGAACATATATATCATAGTCGATGTTTCGGGCAACATCCCTTCATTGCAACATAATGGAACTAGCCTTTTGCCCGTCCAAGGACGGGTGTATTTCAGTAAATCTGAAACTTGCAAGCGGAAATTAGACCGCGACGTGATATTCATTGCATCAATTCGTGTGCAATTTGTAATGGCGCGGTGACACAGACCTATTTCATTTTAAGATGATAATCCCTTGTTCATCATAACATCCTTTTACTTCGATGTCTCAACAGCGTGACGGAGATCGCGTGGCGTGAGGGTTCTGCCTTTGTAAGTTGAAGCCGAGGAGGGGGCAGGAGGCGCCTCGACCCCCCCCCCCCCCCATGTGGAGTGATGTCACCGGCTAATTATTATTATTAATGGGAGGGGGGGTGGTGTCCATTTGGAGACGTCACCTGTTCATGATTATTAATGAGGGGGGCTGGTCGACGTGGAGTGACGTCACGTGCGGGACACACAGACATTCTTGGCTCATTATAGTAGTAAATAATATCAGTATGGCCAAATAATTAGTTCAATTAAATGTTTAAGTTTTTTACGGGATTTATTCTATTGAGGAATAAAGATGTGAATCTGGATTTGAGGTTTTCGTGACTGCAGGGATCCATACTCTTTGGTTCTTTCGGTAAAGTCATGTAGTAGGTATAAAACAATATAATAAATTGTTTTATATCTACGTGACTTTACCGAAAGAACGAAAGAGTGAAGATGTGAATCTATACATAATTGTAGATTAGAACAATATGTAGTTGTGCATTGATGGTGGTTCTGCATCTCTTAATAATGGACATCAGTGATTGCACATAAAAGAAAAAAAGGTTTTTCGTCGTCAATATAGACAAAACCAAAACCAGTTTTTTTATTTTATCAGGTAAGGCTCACTGAGCTTTTTCGCCCTTTTTTCCAAAGCGACCTGGCCACAACTAATAGCTCAGCGAAGTGGCTTATCTTGAGGAAATTTATAGCAGCCAAATACTCCATAAGAGAGGTTTTTTTGGGTTAGATCGCGTAAATATATCAACGTGTCGTTAAAACCCGACATAGCCAAATAGTAAGTGTTGTCACGTAAACAGATTACAGAATATGCCAATTCGTCACTAGTACAGCACACCGGTGTGTTGGAGAACCAAGCCACAACATTTGCAATCTGAGTACGACGTTTCGCCAGTAATTACAACTAGCTTCATCAAGCGACAGCCAGATTTGTGGAGAAGTCTGTTTCGTTCCTTATATAGAGGCGTAGATGTGGTGACCACACTTCAGCGCTTTAGCATCACGTGGTGGGTGGTGGATTACTGAGGCAACGGACACGATGCATGTGCATGATGCGAGCCCTTTGAACTTGTCCTTCCTGTCTATTGTGTTTATTAAAATAGCCGTACCAAGGGTAATCCTTATTGAAGTGCGCTGCCCTTTACAGACATGCATTCAAATAATGCATTATTTGATGATTCACGCAGCACTAAGGCGGTAGCTATCCGAACTGTTAACATTTTTTTTATTTCTTTCAATTTCGATAGATTATCGAATCAGTATATCTAATTAGTCTTAGCCAGTAGTAGCTAGTTTTGCACAGAACTTCAACATCAAAATCAATTGAGTGTCCTTTGTTGGCACGCGTGTTCTGCTACTGCTGACAGTTGCATTTGGGAGAATTTAATACTTCTCTGATGTTCTTTTAGTCTCGTGCTGATCATTCGTCCTGTTTGCCCAACATAACATTTACCACACGTGCAGTTAATCCTGTACACACCTTGTGTTGATAGCTTCGGTAATACATCTTTTGTACCAGATATTCTAAACGCATATTTCTAAATGTCAAGTGAGAACCCATACAGGACATTATGAATATTTATGAATATTTAACTCCTTAGAGGGTAACAATTCTACCCAATTGTTAAATATTGTGGAACGTTCTTCAACACACGGTGTGCTGATGATGCAGCAATCAACTGACGCATTTGTTCATCACGTGACAACTTTATTAATTGGCTGTGTCGGGTGGAGGAGGGTTCACAGCACATTTACTGAAGCGATCTAACCAAAACAATGTAATGAAATGCGTATGGCAGCAATATGTTCGTGAGCTTCATGCCACATTCGAGGTCTGATGGTCACAAGGAGCGCTTCGGGAGAGTTTTAAGTTAATGTTTTACACGGATGATCCCGTCTAGCCACTTTCCCGGCTAATTCACAAGCGAGATCCGTGGTGCGTGAGCACAACAACGGGAACAACAGAACAAACATCGATATTGCACAGAGCGAGTTCAGCGGTCTTGAGTGTAGACTACAGCGGTTCACTATTTTGTCCACAGCACGTGAAATGAACAACGGCCATTGCCCGAAACGTCGCTTGTTGTCTTGTATTCTTGCAAAATATGTATAAATTTGGAATATATGTCCCTTGAAGGCCACACACAGACGCACAAACTGTGGAACAAATACTCGATAACTCTACTCTTTGGTTCTATTCGGTAAAGTCACGTAGGTAAAAAATAAAACAACAAAAATCACGATAACTCGTCAGGGCACGCGGCTCGCTTCGGAGCGGGCGGGCGTGTGACGTCACGCGGCTCGGAGCGGACGGGCGTGTGACGTCACGCGGCCCGGTTCTGAGCGGGTGTGGTCTATGACGTCACGCGGCCCGGTTCGGAGCGGGCGTGTCTGTGACGTCATGCAGGCGGGGCCACGCCCACACGGGAGGGGGTGGGGGGGAAAGAATCCTGGAACCGGATCCGGGATTCCCCGGCAAATTGGAGACGAGATCCGGATCCACCACCTGCGCCCCCCCCCCCGCTCCCTATGGCCCGCCAATGGGGGACCCGGGGGGTGGGCGGGGTGAGCCTCCGGGAACCGGTTCCGCAGCCAGACGCATGAGGCGGTTCCGCGGGATCCGGTTCCTACCGAGGGATCCGGTTCCTTCCCCCACCCCCCGTCACCCACCACGGCGGCCGCTTCGCCTGTACCACGCGGCTGACGCAATTCCCTTTCTGTCGACAAGACAGCAGCAGCGAAACCCTTGGCTCGTCACATTTGTTTCGTGGGTTCCGGAGGGAATTCTTCACGGCGGATTTTGACGAGGAAGAATACAATCTCGCGGCCGCCGACATGTCGGACGAGGAGGTGTGTACCGCCGTCGCGAGCGAGCGACCGGCGTGGCGCTCTCGGCCCAGACGAGCGCCGGGGCCCGTCTAGACTTGCAAGGCCGCGAAGGCCGCGTCCGAAGGGGGGGGGGAGATCTCTCTGTTCATTTACACGTAACGGCGGTGGGGGGGGGGTTCTTTACTGTGTAAGTCGAGTCGCTGCGTCGCCTCGGATTGTCGGACATTTGGTGTAAAACATTTTTTTAATTAATGCTTTTTTTCGATACAAAGCCATGGCTTTGAGACGAAGTGCCGTCGCTTGTTCAGCGGCGCGCTTCGGCCACGTGTGGGTTTCTAGACGGGTTTCCGATGCGGCTTAAAAGGGGTAAAAGTGCAGCCCTGAAATAACGTGTACAGTCTCACGCCACTGCTGGTTGAAAAGCCTCCACTGGAGGGTAGCGCGACGCTGGCCAGACGCATTCGGAGCGCCCAACACTCTACCTGTCGCCCCGTATTCCACCTTTCGATCGACTTGAAAACGAGTGTTATTTATTAATTTATTATCTTCTCATTCTACGTGACTTTACCGAAAGAACCAAAGAAGAGTGCGTGTCTGCTTATTGCTTGAGCGATCGAACCTCCGTACGTGCGGCCTCCGAATTGCAAGACCGTCGCAGCCAACCATTGCGCAATGGCAGCAACCCCCCCCCCCCATGCCTCCTATTTGTGTTTAATGTGCTGTAATTACACACGCGATTATACACGGACTCTTTAATTTATTGGGTTGGCCGTCTCGCCACGTTTAAATGCGGCGTCGTTTGGCCAGCGCCGCTCGTGGTTCCTTTGCGAGTTTGATTCTAAAGTGAGTAATGATTATGTAAAGTAATCCGATTGTGTTTTTTTGTTATCTTTAAGCGCGGGTTCGTGATTATTTCAACCGCAGTGAATACCTGGTTATCGGGAGATTAAAGGTGTACACAATGTAATAATTACACGCAAGGCCGTGTTTACAGCGCTTAACATGGGTCCAGTTAATGGTCTGTGGTGGAATTAAAATTTTTATCGTGCCAACATTCGCCGTCCTCTGTCAACAATGGTCATGTCATAGGCATGTGGAATTGCCACACCATGCTAGGATATGCCACTTCTGATACTTTAATACTATTTTAACGGGATAATATAACTCAATTGAGACGTTGTATTGTCAGCACTGGAGGATGGCTTTTGCCATAATGTAAATTCTTCTGACAGAGTGGGCAAACCATCTCTATTTTACAAAGAAAATGTGTATACACTTTTAATTGTGAGCAGTTTTCTCATTTCAAAACAGTCGTTGAACGGACGAGGCGCAGCAGCCTATCTAGAAAACGAGACTTGTAACAGTTCTTCTTGGCTGAGTAGAAAACATCTAAAGAAAAAAAGCGATATATACACACACCGCTTAGCTTCGTCAAAATTTCAGAAGCTAAGCAAGTCTGAGCCTTGTTTATAGTGCTTGGCTGGGCAATCCCAATGCAAGCATGGTTATCATTGGTGCCTGCGGGTCTCCGTGGTGGCCAGGAGAGCGCAGTGCAGGTCTACGGTTGATCACGTCTATGCCTCCCCAAGTCTACGCCTCCCCTCATTAACCCAACATTCCCTGACTGTCATGTGGAACAACGGACACATGTATGTTGAACTTATTTAGCACCGTACGTAGCCAACCGTGCTAATCGGAGGTGTGGGGAAAGGACAACTAAACACACAGCGGTTCTAAAGATATTAGTTTGTCAATTTAGATAATGATTTAAAAGTGCACAGCACCAGTTGCTTCCTAATATCAGAAGGAACTTAGAGCCTTCCGGGCGGCCCCGTAAGTGCATCTGAAAGCGCTCGATGTGGTGACCGCCTTTGTCCCCATGCAGAACATGGCTCCCCATGGCTCCCTATGTTCTGCAATGGCGTGAGGAAGGTCTCATCTAGCAGCGGATTGCCACGTTACATGCACCTTGTGTCCTCATTTGCATTTTTTTCAGTTGAGAGAAACATCTAAACTTGTTTACGAATCCTTTCACTGAAGCTTACATATCTTTTGTGAAGGCAAAGCAAGCCCCCAAATATCTAGAGGTGAAAGGTTTGTTTTCGCTACACTAGTGTTGATGTTGTTTAGCAGCAAGGCGCTGTGTAATTGTGTTGTTTGTGGCTGCGATGGGTTGTTTTTTTTAGCTGAGCCTTCATAATGACAAATTGGAGTCGTGTCAGCAATTCGAGTAGTAAAAATACTCAACACATTCATCAGCACTGCTTTGCAAAAAGAAAAATGTGACGGGATGATGTTTTGGTCAAAATGACCTTTTAGTTCTCTGCACTGCTGGAAATACAATCGTTGTCCATTCAGCGTTTATGGTGGATTGTAGGGTGGAGTGGTGGCACAGTGGTTAGCGTTGACATCAGTGGCGAGTGATATATGAATCGTTCCTAGGCCCCCCACTTCAGCAACCTGCCCAGACCAGCGTAGTGAAGTATGGTCAAACAATACCCGCTACCGACACAGCGAGGGGAGGCCAGCATCCAGCAGTGGACTGATTGGAATGTAAACTATTTGAGTAATTTAATGGTGAATATTTACTTTGGTTTGTGCTGTTTTGCCACTACTAATATCCATCTTTTTTTTCTTTAGCAGTAACCGGAGTTGGTTTTGGAATAAAACAAAAACGTATTTAGGATTTTTTAAGATATAAAGTAAAATTCCTTGGATTCAGAAAGTCGAGTAAGGCAGGTCTAGTAACAACACAGAAGGCGCAACATATGTTGCGATGGATTAGTCGCGATATGTCAAAGACCCGTGACATTGGCACGATGCTAAGAATGTCATGAGGTCAAATCCAATTGAGGTTAAAATCGTCAGTGATGATTGGCTCCACAGGACCAATAAACAGTGAACCAACTGTACAGCTCTAACGTCCAAATACTTTTCACCACCATGATCCTAGAATCATTGTGTTCTTGTGTACGTGTTTAACAGAGGAATAGAGTATATTCTTGGTTCTTTCGGTAAACTCACGTAGAAGGGAAACAATAAAATAATCGTTGTGTTCTTGCGTACGTGTTTAACAGAGGAATAGAGCTTAGTGCAGTCACTGTTCTGTGATCCCAGAATGTAGTTTTAACTTCTGGCCAAGGTGCGTGCATGACTTGTATCCAGCACGAGCAGTGCTTGCCTATTATAATGTACATGAGGCCGAGTCGTGTTTAACTTTGTGTGTCTGTGTCTCTTTGTGTGTCCATATGTCCACTTGATTGTGTGTCTGTTTCTGTGTGGTGAGTGGTAATATTGTAATTAGCACACTGCGCTAAGAACTCAGCGACCCGAGTTCGAATTCCGCTCACAGCCAATATCAAAACCAATCTAGGGCCTCCCCTCAGTTGACTCAGCCTCAAATGAGTACCGGACATGGTGTGTAAACATCAGCACTGGGGAGACTATCGGTCGAGTGTGGTTCTGATCACTCACCCGCCTTGTGTGCCGTGCCAGCCTTCATAGGTGCTCGCTAACTGCAGTTGTCCTGACAGTCTGTTAAAGGCTATGTGGAGGATCTTGTGTGTCTGTGCACCATTCTGAATGTCTATATCTGTCTATCCCTGGCATTTGTCTGACTAATCCATTGTTCCACTTCTGCCTGTCTGCCCTGCCTTTGTCTGTTCTTGCTCTCTCTTCCCTGTCTGTTCTTTCTATCTAACGGTGGCACCGATCAGATCAAGCTGTTCGACCCGAGCCTAACGAAGAAGAAGAAAAAGAAGAAGAAGCCATTTGTCCAGGAGGACGGCGATGGCGTGGACCCCGACGACACGTCTGCTGGCACCACGATGGACACGGCCGAGCCGGTGCCGGTACCGGTGGAACCGGCAGACCGAGTAGACCTCGACGATGCAGATGCGGACAGCAAAGCCAAGAAGGGTGAGGGGTGGGGTTGCCTGGTGCGTGGGGGTTTTATCTGGGGTTGTCCCTGGGTCGACATGATTGAGGACCTCGCGTTGCAAGATGTTAAATCCCTCACCTGGTATGCAGGTGGTTGTGGGTTTTGATCCTGACCCTGACGCCTGTATATTTGGAGTTTGCATCTGTCTCTCCCCATGGTCGTGTGGATTTTTTCTCTGCATCCTCCGGTTTTGCCCTCCATATATAGAATCAACATGCCTTTAGAGTATTTGGCAACTATACATTTCCACACGAAAAGTCACTTCATTGAACGATCATATAGATAGCTCTGTGGGCCTTACCTGGTAAAAGAAAAAAAATTGTTTAGATCAAATAAAGGGTAGGGAACTTATGACTGGCCTGTGACTTTATCTTGATCTGGCTCGCTTGCTGGGAGATGATCTGCAACTTTATTTTGTGTGGTCTGTGTGAGGACCATTTCTGGACTTTGTGGGTCACCATCATGGTCTAAAGTAGGCCTCCAAATGAATTTAATCGGCCGGATACAACCTGCAACTATATTTCATAAGGACCCACATGTGGGTGTCTTTCCTGGGATGTTACTGGGCTGACACAATGTCAAGCAGGAGCTTGAGAACCTATTCCTTTTTTGAGGACATGAATAGGCGCACACTGCAGTCACTTCTCTCACCGCAAGAGGGCCCTTGCAGGGAGAAAGAAGTGGCTGAGTGTGCCAATTTAGAAACGCAGTGTTTCCAGGTCGAACATTTTCCCCCTTTCGTACCTTGAAGTGTTGTATAAATCTACTGATGTCACTGTCATGACAGTGGCATTGACTTAATGCAGTGAAAATTAGAGTGCCCTAATGATAGACTTAACCTTGATTTTAAATTATTTATTTTTTACAATATAACATTTAAGTCATTGGATACTCTTTGGGTCGAAACGTGATTTTTTATTGTTTTTCTATCTACGTGACTTTAACGAAAGACCCAAAGGGTATGAATTCCTGCAGTCACGAAAGCTTTAAGTCATATTGGATAGCCTGCCTTGCACAGCCTAGGTAGATATCCACAAGATGAAATGTTTTTGTTTTATGAAAACGTTACTTTCGGGAGCAATGCCACAGCAGCAGCAGCACCGCGCAGCACTCGTAGGTGTTGTACAGTGTTGATGACAAAAGAAGGGCAGCCAAATGACATCGAGGACACGATAGTGTACTCCTGACTTGTGCAGTACGCTTCTACTGCACAGAGAGGCATCCACACGCAACCTCGCATGAGCCCACAGCCACAGCGTTACCCCGCAGCTTCAACAGGAAACTGTAGCTTCCAAAATATTGTTCCCTCTTTTTCACAAAACATCTGTTCATTTGCCCTTGCGGCCCTGAGACGGCAGTGGAAATGTCAAACGTATCATGGCGGTGACCAGTCCTCTCCATAAGAGGAGCACTTGTGACTAATTACAAATTAGTATGCGGCAGAGATGTTGACCCCAACCGGGATTTGAACTCTGAAATGTTTGATGGTGAGCCCGCCGAGCGAGCCGTTTGCTTGCTGCATGTGTAAGGCTGCGCCTGTGATCCTACTCTTACAGAAAAGGGTTTGTGGATCATGAGATTTTGTATGAGGCTTCTAAGAACCCTCTTGGCTGAGAGTTGGCCAGAAGATGACAATATACAAAGGAGGTTTGCGAACCCATCTTTGCAGATCCTTGAATGTTATTGCCACTCAAAGGTTTTCTCTTGGTTTGTTTTCCCCGCTCTTTCTGGTTCCCTCTGACACTCCTAACACTCTGTCATGGAATTGACCAAACATTCCCAATGCAGGGCCATTCCTCAAATAAGCCTTGTAAGCCTGTGAATCTTTCCTCTTTAAATAAATCACGTTATTATTATTGTTCCACGACAGCGTGGGTGGCCAGATACAGCCCGCGGCCACATGAGCCTACCACTTTCAAAACGGCCCGCAAGTTATGTGTATCCATCGCTACGAGCATCTTAGCTTCACTCATCGAGTACTCGAGGGGAATATTGTTGACTTGGCAACACAGTGTTTTTAATTTTATTACCGTGCTCAATCACTACGTTCACTGCAAGGGCCGCTTTGTACTCGTTTGGCACGTGCAGTATTTGACGCTATCTTATTGGATTGCATTAAGGTGTTTGTTAATCTGTAGCCCACCAAAAGAAGTTAAAAGTGCTATCTGCCCCTGCATTGTTGGTTTAAAGCAGGTAAGTTACAGCAGTTAAATGTATGCATGTTGAACTTCTTTCGCACCATACGTAGCCAACCGTGCTAATCAGAGGTGCGGGGGAAGGACAAACTCAACACAAAAAGCAGTTCTATTTTCAATCGAGATTTGAAAGTGCATACCTCCAGTGGCTTCCTAAATTCGGAAGCAAGCATTCCAGACAGCTGCAAATGCACTTCTCAAAGCATGCGGATGCGGTGACCGTCTTTGTTTGATGGCCAGCCAAAAGCCGCTGCAAGGATGAGCGGAGCTCGCGTGATGGTTGATGCTCCTTGACGAGGCCGGCAAGGCATTGCAGTTCATTTGTAGCGGGCACGTTGTGTGTAACGAGTACGACCTTATTATGATGTGTTTGTTCGGCAACCGGAAGCCAATGCAGCTCGGCGAGCGCTGGACGGACACGGTTGTATCTTGCAGTAGTGAATCAAGTCAGGAGTCGACTTGTTGAGCAGTTACTCAAGCACAAGTCTGCACGCTCGCAGTTACAATGCTGAATGCGGCCCATGAACGTTTTGTTTCATCTCGTGTGCTTTTATTTTTTTTATTGCAGAGCTCATGGATGTCTTCAATGACTTTGACCTCAGCCAGAAAAAGAAAAAAAAGAAAAAGAAGGCATTTGACCTGCAGGAGGTGGATGCTGCTCTGCCCGTACGTACGCGCGTGCACGGATAGATACGTGCTCACGCCGACACACACCTGCACCAGCATGCACGCACAAAGACACGTACGCACAATGAATAACAGCCCCCATTTAGCCTCATAAAAACTGTAAATGAGAGTGCTGTCAATGAGAAGCTGTTAAGGTCAGTATAGCACTCGACAGGGTGGTGTGGCCAGTACCCTTCCCGGCATTGCTGAGGTTTACGCATGCCCCACAACACGCGTCAACTTGGGGGTGCTCAAGGGCAGGTTCAGGTTCCACTCCACTTGTGTTGTACACGGCCAGGAAGTTGAGCCCAAGTTTTTGGGATCGTGACAGTGGTTTTAATTACAGTGCCACCACTCACCACCATACACACGAGGTGGATTGAAATAATGAGAAGTTAACAGTGGACATACAGATAGATAGACTTCACTCCCACCATGAGAATGCGGAATTATCTCACGTCTGTGTCTCTTGCACATGTGTATCGCGCCCTGCCATCGCTACAATCACTGCTTCCTCCTACGTGTCCATCCCATCCCACGTTCACCCCCTCCCATCGATCACCACTCCTTTTGTGCTTCCCCCGTCTCGTCCTTATCCTCTTTCCTATCATTACTTCCGTGTGCCGCCCCCCCCTCATTCTAAATGCACCCCCTCACTTTACCTTGTCCCCCTCCCTACACCGCTGATGGCGACAGAGCGAGGAGGGTCTCCTGGCCGAGGTGGACGAGGTGATCCCTGAAGAGGAGGAGCCCAAGAGCGACGGGGACCTGGAGCGTGACCTGGACCTGGGGCTCGGCAATAAGAAGAAGAAGCCGAAGAAGCGCATCATCGAGGACCTGGAGAACGGGGACGACATGTTCGACGGTACGCGCTCTTCAGCACCGCCGCCACACGCGCGCAGAGCCCCAAGGGAATATGCCGCAGCTCAGGAATACAACAGCCCCCCTATCTTGTAGCCGCGCGACACAAGCGAGCGGCTTTGTGCATGATAAGTCCCTCATCGTGACGTTGCGCCCCTGTGTGTTCGTGCAACAGCAGTGATGTCACTCGAGGGCTATGAAGTAGGTGCCTGACTGAAATTTGAAAGTGGTTTTGTCTACTCATTGGTTTTTTTTCGGTAAAGTCACGTATGTAGAAATACAATAAAATTATATTAAAACAAAACAATCATGACGTTTCGATCACAACACAAGCGATCTTCATCAGGTGTCAAGAACATATCATGGAGGTAAATGCAACAAAAAAGATGAGAGACGAGAATTTAACAAACATAAACAACATTATGTGAAGCACAACCAGTCAGGCCAACAACACAGACACTTCCTGGCGGACCACGAATTTCAGAAGAGTGTTAAATTTCGTGTTAAACCTCTGGATTGCACATACCAGCATAGACTCTCTGTCCATCTTTCCTCCCTCCTTACCTCTTGATGGACTTGTACATGTATTTCTACTGACCGTGCACCTCATTTTTTCACTCTGTCTATGCTGGTATGTGCAATCCAGAGGTTGAACACGAAATTTAACACTCTTCTGAAATTCGTGGTCCGCCAGGAAGTGTCTAACTGTGTTGTTGGCCTGACTGGTTGTGCATCACGTAATGTTTTTTAGGTTTGTTAAATTCTCGTCTCTCATCTTTTTTGTTGTATTTACCTCCATGATTTGTTCTTGACACCTAATGAAGATCGCTTGTGTTGTGATCGAAACGTCGTGATTGTTTTGTTTTAATATAATTTTATTGTATCTCTACATACGTGACTTTACCGAAAAAACCAATGAGTGGTTTTGTCTACTTTATCGTTACTTATGTATATTATAATTTTTCCAGGCAAATTTTATTTTTCCATTTGTGTCTATGTATATGTTGAACTTCTTTCGCACCGTACTTAGACAACCGTTCTAATCGGAGATTTGGGGTAAAGACAACAAACTAAACAAAAAAACAAGTTCTAAAGAAATTAGTTTGTTAATCTAGATTTAAAAGTGCATTGCTCCAGTGGCTTCCTAATATCGGAAGGAAGAGCATTGCAGCTGGCCGAAGAAGTTCATCTGAAAGCGCGCGATGCGGTGACCGTCTTTGTTCGATGGCTAGTCAATAGTATAGTGTCTTTGTCTCTTGTTTGTGCCTGCTCTGATCACTCTGCTGATGTCTGACTACCGCTCCCCTCCATCCCCTGCAGGAGGCGACGATGACAAGTTGGATGACGACGGTGTGTCGTTCTCCATGGGCATGTCGGGACCGGCATGGGCTGGCTCCGAGCGGGACTACACATACGATGAGGTACAGCCGCACACAGACAAAGGTCCCCCCGTGTAGCCTCACAGACTGTAGGGGCAAGTAAAAACTTTTTATTTTACCAGGTAAGGTACGCTGAGCTATATAGCTGTTTTTCAGAAGCGACCTGGCTACAAATGATCGCTCAACGAAGTGGCTTATGTGGAAATGTATAGCAGCCAAATACTCTAAACCCATGCGGAGGGAAAAACTGGAGGACCTGGAGAAAAATCCACACGTCCACAGGGAGAAGGTGCAAACTCCATATCTACCAAATAGGCTATGACGGACATGGCTTGTGAACAGAGAGGCCTTCATCCAGCAGTGGATTGACAAAAGGTTCTATACGCACATGTACAGTACAATCCCAGCTAGCCCGGCCCGGCTAGCTGAATGGTCCAGCTAACCATGCTTTCAAATAAAATCTGTGTAAAAAAAAACATTACACAGTGTAATTTTATTATATATATACACACACACATACATATGTATTGTTCTATCCACTATATGTGTATATTTACATACATTAGTGTTTGTTATTGTACAGCGGTGGTGCAGCGGTTAGCATGCTGCACTACGAACCCGGCGACCCGGGTTCATTTCCCGCTCGCGGTCAACACCAGTAACGATTATCTCAACCGGTTAGGGGCCTCCCTAGGTCGACTCAGCCTCAAAATGAGTACCTGGTGCAGCGTGTAAACATCACCACGAGGGAGACAAAGGTAGCCGGGTGTGGTTCTGGCCATCCACCCCCTCGTGTGCCTTGCTGGCCTTCATAGGTTCTCGCTAACAGCACTTGCCCCAACGGTCTGTTAAGGCATACAGGGGATCTTTGCCTTTTCAGACAACAACGTACTGATGGTGTGTGCTGTTCAGTCCTCGTTATGTTTGAGGGTCCACAGCTTCCACCATCCCCCCTATTGGCCCTCGCCTCCATCGCCCACCACTTTTCCCACCACCATGAACATATTGCCATAAGTAATTTGTATCACTTGAACTACAATACATATTTACATAATATACAGATGATAACATGTATTAGTGCATGTCATCATGCGTTATTTATTACATACCATATTCCAATAGATTATTTTTTTTATTTGTACAATGTTTAGCTTTTAGGTTTACATTTCCAAATTGTTTTTTGTAGTTATTAGCCCACCCAATCTGGCTAAGTGCGAAATCCGGCTGGCCGGGCTTTCACCTCACGACCGTAGTTCACAAGTGCAGCATTGGTTGTCCTTTGGATAGACTGGTGCCTACCATAAGAATGTGGAATTTTCACCACCTGGCTAAGGGAGCACCCAACAGAGGTGAACTCTTTCACACGCCCGCTTGAGCAGAGATACTATTTTGAGTGCATGGTGAAAGTGTTTTTTTAATTGTAGTTTTGAATTCTTCTCGCTCGAACATGCGTACTTCCTCGTGACGTGATGATCAACTCATGGAATCTCGTTCGACTGATGAACCAGTTGATGATAAGTTGTATTTCTGATCACGAGGAACAATGCCAGAGCTAGTCGTTGGGGAGGTTGCATTCGACCCACTTGCCATTTCGTGCAAGCAGTGCCGTGTGGTAATGAGATGAAGCGAGATGAAACTACGGTGCAAGTTTCCTGTATCCACCTCGCCTCTGTCCAACCAGCAGTACAAACGGGTACACCGGCAGGTCACGTGGTGGGGTAAAGCATCAGTACTCCCACCTCTGTCCAGTGTGTGAAGCGTAGGCCAATATTACTCTCCAGCACACCGGTGTGCTGGAGTAGTAACTATTTGGCACGTTTTGTTTACGTGACAAACCTTGAGAATTGTCTGTCAGGTGGTGGTGGGTTACCGACACATTCACATTTACGCGATTTAAGCCATGAAACCTTTATTATGAGGCCAATATACCCTCTATATACGGGCGCTCGAGAGATCCCTCTGATATAGACCCTTGTGCTAGCACTGATATGAGCAAGCAATTGCAATGCCGATCCTTTACCCCTACCCACTTTAAACCGATGTGAATAACCTGTCGCGGGCCGACTCGTGATGAAGCCTTACCCAGTATCCCGGCCCTTGCTCCTCGCCCCCGTAACCCGGGGCCACGCTAACGCGGTGCCCCTGTGTGTCGGGGTCCCGCAGCTGCTGAGCCGGGTGTTTAACATCATGCGGGAGAAGAACCCGGAGATGATGGCCGGCGAGAAGCGCAAGTTCGTGATGAAGCCACCGCAGGTGGTGCGCGTCGGCACCAAGAAATCGTCCTTCGCCAACTTCGCCGAGATCTGCAAGCTGTGAGTCGCCTTGGGGGTGAATGGAGCGTGAGGGGGGGCGGGGGAGATCGTGGTCTGGGGGGCTCCATCCTGCAGTGAGAGTCCCCTCCGCTTAACTCGCTAGCTGCCTGCGACTGAATCGCCCGCAGACGCGGCCGACTGATCGCAGCGGATGTCGGTCGCTCGGCAGGGTGGAGCCCGGCTAGCGCTTGGATTGGGCGACCACCCAACCGCGTCAATGGATTGTTTTGTTTTCCGCTGCGGTGATACGTTGGAGTGCAGCAAAACCCATCGTTGTGCTGTAAACTGCTCCCTCGTGTATGCTGCTTTGTTGGCCCACGCTCACCGTGCGTGACGTTCGCTTGTGCGTCGTGTCCCTTGCATTGACTCTGACCCTTTGTTGCCCGCTAGTTTACATCGACAACCGAAGCATCTTCTCTTGTTCCTGCTCTCCGAGTTGGGTACCAGGTACGTGTGTGGCGGTTCGGGTGGCACCCCTTGGGGCGTGCGCGTGGGTTTTCTCGGTCTACTCCACCACAAGCCACACACCTCTTGATGAAATTATCCAAACTTCCAAATATATTTTGCTTCAGTGAGGCTTTCCTGGGTAAAACACCAAGCAGTTAACACTTGTTTGTATCCTGGCCGCCTCGTAGCGCAGCACATGACAATCTCTTGTTGATCCACCAACCGCTCCTGCACAGTTTGCTGGGCTTTAGAGGCGTAGCTGAAGCAGCAGAGGGTGGAGCCTGCATTTGCGGCTGCCTCCGGGGAACGCGTCCACTCACCGTTTTCGCCTCTCCCTTCCGCAGCGGCTCCATTGACGGCAACAACCAGCTCATCATCAAGGGGCGTTTCCAGCAGAAGCAGATTGAGAGCGTGCTGAGGAGATACATCAGTGAGTAACGTGTGGCGCTTTTGGTGCACGGCCGTACCATTGCTGCCGCCAACACTCGTCACTCTCTATAAGGCAACTCTCTATAAGGCAACAGAGGCAGAGGACTTCTACGGCAAACGGTGGACTGAAGCATAAACTATTTTAGACCCCACCCATTCCCCATCCCCTTTGTCTCTTCATGCTAGTTATCTTTGCCCTCATCCTTCTATCCCCATATAAACTTTCACACTCCGGCTCACGGTCCCCACTTGGGTCGGGCAGAGCATAATTCTTCTCCCCCTTTGGGTGCCACGGTGGCTAGGAGATGTTAACTACCTCGCCTGGTATACAGAAGGTCGTGGGTTTGATCCCGACCCTGACGCCTGCACTATATTTGGAGTTTGCGTGTCTCACTCCCCGTGGTCGTGTGGATTTTTCTCCGGGTCCAGAATCAACATGCCTTCAGAGTATTTGGCTGCTATAAATGTCCACGTGATGAGCCTTTTCGTTGGGCTATCATTTGTGGCCAGGTTGCTGCTGAAATAGAGCTGTATAGCAGCTCAGTGAGCCTTACCTGATAAAATAAAATAGTTTATAGCTTGTTTTTTAAACTCTGGAGCATCGAGCCTGGGCTTTTGTCCACAGAGTTTCTGTTCCCCGCCCTTGCGTCACCTTTGGTGCTTTGTACTGGACTCTCGTTGAGTCATAATAAAAACATTTATAGATATGAAACTATTTTAGCTTACTGATAAAGTCCACTGAGCTATGAGCTCTTTTTAAGAGGCAACATGGCCACACATCTTTTACCTTGTTTATTTATATAAAGTGACTTAGGGGAAGGCGCTTTTCAATAATTATAAAATTGTATATTAGATGGTAGTGGTTAAAATAAAGTGGGGTTATTAAAGGTGGTGGTGTAGTTATAGTGACAGTAAGTAGGACAGGTGAGAGTGGTTAAGGATTGGTTGGGGTTGTGATGGGAGTGGGGTAGTAATCGGGTTCGTTATAGGGATTCTGCTAGCGGTTGGGGTAGTGATAGAGGTTGTGATGGGGGTTGGGAAAGTGATAGGGGTGGTAGTGATAGGGGTATTGATCGGGGAAGTGATAGAGGTAGTGATAGGACTCGTGATAGGACTAGTGATAGGACTAGTGATAGGACTAGTGATAGGGCTTGGGGTAGGCTTCATCATAGCTGGAAGGCCAGGGCAGGGAGTAATGTCTTCTCTCATCATCACACCTGGGAATTGATAGTAACAGCCAAATCAACTACACGCACGTTTCTAAATGTGGAGGGCAAAATCGGAGGACCCGGAAGAAAAATCCACTCGGCAGCAGTGGACTGGCAGAAGAATACCTGGACACGCACACAGGCAAGCCTGGAGTTGACCCCAGGATTATAGCGGCACCAGTACAATTCTCTGACACAGCCCTGCGGTGCCAGAGCCAAACTTACGCTATCTCTCATAGCCGCCCCTCGTCTGTCGGGGTGTTTAAGTGGTGACGCGCCAATTTCACGAAAGCATCCGCACGCATAGTTGTGCGCTGCAGATACACCCATGGCTTAATCTGCAGCGAGGCAGCATGTCTAGCGGCGCTGGTGTGTTTGTTTGAGGAGGGGGGAGCGGTGCGGTTAAAAACGGGCTCCCTGCAGGGCGCGGTGCTCATCCCTGCGGTCCTGATCTCCGGTGAACATATTCCGCATTTCGTTCATCCATGGGGACATTTTTTTTCCCCCCCGGTGGGCATCCACTGCTGCCTTGTGGTAAAGTGGTACCCTATTTTATTAGCTCCGAAGTGATGATGGCATCAGTCGACCTCCGATGGGCGTTGTAACTCTATGCGCTGTCGTTTCTCATAGATGTCGGCGATCATGGCCTTCCTTACAGAACTTTGCATCAGATACTCCTCCCAGTTGCATCCATTGGTTCTAATTGCTTGGGAAACATGATTCGCTGTCTTCCCTCGGCTTCCTGTGGTACTTAGAATGTCTCCAGTCCAAACATTTTATTCAGTCTCTTGTTTTCTCATTACCTGTCCAAGAAACATAACTTGCTTTTTTATAACTATTCTTATAAATTGTATTTTTTACCCGCTATCAGTAACATGTATGTTACTCATCTCATCTGTCCGTGAAATATTGAACATCCTCCTTAAACAAAACACATGTTGCGTCCAGTTTCCTCTGTAGGGGTTTTTTGTAATTGTCCAGCTTTCACATCCATACAGGAGAACAGGCCTGCATCTATAGCACTGCCAATAGATTCTGTAGTTGATTCAACTGAGTTGCAGACGTACTCTTTGGAGGCAACACATTTATTAATACCAACACACTAACACAGGGGTAACTGCCCCTTTACCAGATAACACCCTATGGTGGTGGACCACCAGGCTAACTACACCCTATGTTGGTGGACCACCAGGCTAACTATGCTAGTTACACTGGGAGTAGCTACAATGGACTGGACCCCAGCTTTGGTCCAGGTCCTCGTGTTTGGTGACGTTTTCTTGGACGTAGAACGTAGATCTTCAGATGACAACAGCAACACAGAACCCCGGTCCCTCTCGGGGACCCGGTTTTCCAGCTCACTGGCCGATGCTGGCTCCGCCCTTGGCCACGACCACCTCGAACCCTCTAGCAGGATCTCGCCCTGGCACGTGACCACCCCCAGCCCTCACTTGGGGCCCCTGTGTAGATCATACTTGTCACGTTCCTTCCAGAGTCAACCAGAGTGCCATGGCCTGGGGTAACCTCATTCCATGGCTGACACTCTCACTCCCTCCTGTAGGAGTCAGCACAGCACGCCACGCATGGTGCCACTGAGCGCTATGACCCAGCGCTCACCGAGCCCCCTCTAGGGCTGGTACTACACCCACCTACGATGGCAATACATCGCACGCCGTGCCTCGCTAGAGCAGGCATTACCCAGTGACATCCACGATGTCACTACAGTTGTATAAACTCAATTTACACAGTGACACTCAGGGAGGAGGGCCGCACAGGAAGGTGAACATATGGGTGGCAGAACGGGCGTTATCTTCCACCACCACCTCTAGCAAATTACCGACAGTGGCAGTAGCAATAAGTAGACGTGGATTGATGCCTTCAAGGAGGACATAAAAGAGCAAAAGTTGGGTCAACAGCAAGCCATTGCCTAAACCAGAGATATGGGGTGTTAGAAGTTTGGCCAGCTTAATCGTCAGCCGCCATGTGATGACATTCCCTCTTCGTCCCCCACCCCCCTCACGTTTGTCTCGTTCCTCCGCCCCCCACCCCCCTCTCTCTCGTGCTCCGTGTCCTCCACCCCCTCAACTCCCCCCCGCCCCTCCGACAGAGGAGTACGTGACGTGCCACACGTGCCGCTCTCCAGACACGACGCTGCAGAAGGACACGCGTCTCTACTTCCTGCAGTGTGAGACGTGCCACTCGCGCTGCTCTGTAGCCAGCATCAAGGCCGGCTTCCAGGCCGTGACGGGCAAACGTGCACAGATGCGCGCCAAGGCCAACTGAGCAACAACGGAGGCGGCGGCGGCGGCGGCGTTGACGTCGTTGCTTTGCACTGTGACGCAAAGCAACGCGGCAGCAATGCCTGGTCACCCAACCAACCCGTGGGGCGGATCCACCACGGAGAGGAGGGGGGGAGGCATCCATTTGCCGAGCATTCCAGGGGGGATAAAATGGATGGAGCTGTGGTGGGTGGGTGGGTGTCAAATACAAAGAGAGAGAGAGCAACAACAAAAGAAATCGGCCAACATTTCAGCGGCAAGTTGATGCGCGCGCAATTTGGGCGGCGCATTTTGGTCGTTTTAAAACTAAAATTAAGGGATTCCTTTTTGTCGAGTTAGCTATTTTGCGTATTTCGCGTGCCCCTTTTTCGATTCGCGCCCAAAACTGGCAGCGCATTTTTGGTCTAAAAAAAGCCCCGTAAAATTATGCGAATTATTTTGAGTTTTTTGTGTACTTCGCGTGCTACTTTTTCGCCCCCAGAAGTTAATTTTTTCTTGGATGTTGAAAGTGGTAATAAAAACATTTGCTTCGCCATTGGTCTTCAGCAGAAAAAATTATTATTAAAATAAAAACCCAGGTGTGCATGTGTCTACACCTGCGCTGTGCCTCATGCAACTTGCACAGTTTCCCAGCTGAGAATGTTTTTAAAACATCCGACAACATCGAACGGATTTAAGTGAACGTATTTACAGCCTTCTAAACTCCCCACTGTCCTGCTCGACGTTCTCACACTCGCCAACAAGTTTAACGGAAGTAAATGTGAACTCCATTCTGGACCCCCTATTCTTCACTGCAGTTCTCTTGTCTGGCATAGTCATGCGGCCTGCATACTTCCCTCTACATCCTAGAGTTCTTTCACACCGGAATCTCTCATCCTCTTGGTGTGGATTGCCATTCGCGCGTGTTACGACGCGTCGCATTTGTGGTTTGAGAGCAAAACTCCCTACACCAAGCGAGTCTGACCTGATTTATAACAGACGAAAACAATTCCAATGATGTTTCGCCCTCTTGTGCTTACTACTTTAAATGACGCTACGTAGCGGCTCCTTTATCAAGGTGTTTATGCAACCGGTCGCTGATTCCCAGCCCCAGTAGCATAACCTAGAAGGAGCCCGTGGGATTACGAGACAATAAAATTGCCGCCTTTTGCGGTCACCTGCAGAGAGACTCCTCTATTGTCATATGCGTGGCGCCAGCAGTGTCTCGAGCCAGTGTAGTGGAGCGATGGCATTAAGGAAGCCCCATCGGTGTAACGCTCACCCTTCGGGGGTTCAAAGCACGGGGGGGGGGGGGGGTGCGTTGGGGATTTTTTTTCTTAGATAGCTGCGTTCGAGTGCGATGTTGTAGTCACGAGGTGGTCGGTGGATGTGCTGCCCACAATTTGCTCCCAACCCCCCCCCTCCCCCTGATATTGCCCTCCCCATCTGACCTGCAGTTGCCACCCTGAGTGGCTGTGCGTTTTGCTGTGTGCCTGCCCTAGTCACAGTGCACCGCCGAGCTGTAGCAGGTTGTGCCTTCCCGTCCAACGTCCCTGTTAACACCCCCCTCCCCCATCTCTTATTGTGTCAGCTGGCGAGCAAGTTCATTAACCGAGCAGTAGGATTCTCCCAATGTCACACGAGGGGGCGATGGAAAGATCTCTAACCCAACCGCCCCCCCCCTCCCTACATAAGTAACCTGGAGTTTGGCACCACTCCAGCGGAATGTGAGACGCCGACTTGAAAGTCGGGGGTCCCCTCGTGTGTGGACGACGCTTTAACAGCTGCTTTGTAGCAGCTGCGTCCGAAAGCGCGCGGAGCTGTGTGGGGGAATGTGTGCACTCTTTGGCCTGGTGCAAGTGCGCTCGGCTTTGCCGTGCGTAGAGACGGCGGTTGCACAAGCGGGTCTGGCCGGCGGAAATCTTCTGACGTGCGAACAGCGTCACGTGACCGTTACCGCACCGGCTCGGTTTCTTTCGCCGTTTTTCGGAAACGGGATCGGTGCTCGCCTCTGCCTGTCAAGACCGTCACTGCGTCGCCGGCGTTTTCCGCTTTGCTCACCGATCGGGTTCCAGTGCAGCCGCCGTTGCCTCCCGATTTGCTCAGGAAAAACGACGAGAAGTGAGCAGCACAAAAAAACCCCATACTGCGCTTCTGGAATGGCCTTGGGATTTATTGCGATCGTTGGCTTGTGTCTACATCCCGAGAGTTGATTCTACATGCGAGTCTAAAGGGTGGGGTTTGCAATTTGGCCAGTTGGCCCAAGTGCATTGCCCTGCCAAAAATTTTGCCCCCTTTTTTTTTGCCAAAAATTCGGTTTCAAAGTAAAATTCACCGAGGTGTGAATCTCGTACAAAACATTTCTCAAAGTGATGTCGGGTAGTGCTTAAAACATGGCCGTCACATTCCACTGGTCGGCAAGTCTCTCTGCAGGACACCCACCGTTGGCTTCTGACTAAGTGGTACGCCGTGAATGAGATGGGCCATGTCAAGCCCTGGCCATGTCAAGCCCTGGCCACGAGAGCTCTGCCACAGCTCCGTCAAGCTGGGTGTCATGAAGCATCGGTTATCTGGGTGCCTCGGCATGAGCTGCACCTTTTAAATGTCAAAACTGCCAGCTTGGCCCATTGGTTTTTATCTCCCAATGTAACTTTGAACTCATGTATGTATTTTACAGCCCTTTGTAAATCTGTTGCTCGATGAAGGCCTCCCCATGCCGGAGTTGCTCGTGTAAGTTATTTGACTGCTTCAATCTCAGCGCAGTTTGGTGTGAAGGGGTTGAGGCTTTAGCTGTGGGGGGGGCGGTCCCCAGCAACTTAGGATATCGCTTGCTACGAATGTTGCCTGTGGCCAGATTTCGCACTTGGGTTGCTGAGGTCATATTGAAGCACGCAAGCCACTGCACTTCCCGCTCCCTGCTTTTTAAGTGTCAAACCGTCACGCTTGCACGGGTTCGCAGTCGTTAGCGGATTGTTTTTCCCAGGATGTTTAGCCACGTGGACAAAACGCCGTTCAACTTTCACGCTTTTCTGCCTGTGGCCGTGACTACCAGGAGGAAGAATGGTGGCACCCGTTCGACACGCAATTTCTGAATGACGCACGATTTTGTGACCGCTTCCTCGAGCTGGGAGCTCGTCAACCGAAATTAGTTCCTGGAGAAGCCCGCAGCCCGTGGAGCGAAAAGTCGTACATTGTGCTCAATATCACGCGGTGCAACGCGTAAGAGCCGCAGGGCACAACGGCGGAGAGTCCACGCAGAAGGAAGAATTGCGTCGCCGTTCGCTTCTTCATCGCGAATGCGCGACCGCCCTGGCTCCGCCGTGTCACCTTCCACTTTCCTTTGCAAAGCGGCGAAAGCTGTCTGTGGTTGCCAAATGGCGCAGCTAGCCAAGACATTTTCTCGGCGTGAATTGGCGGGATAATCGCACTCCCGTGAAAAGTGGTGGCGGTTCAGTCTCCTGCCACAGCGGTTGACAAAATGGGCAAGTTTCTGAAATTCCCCCCCCCTCCACCCGACAGTCCAGCAGTGTAGAATTGGGTCCACCAGAGCCAATTGGCAGGTTGCGTGTGGTGGTGTGTGGGTATTTACGCCTGTTCCACGAGTGGGCATCTGCAAAGCTGCTGCACCTATTTTTACAGCACGTCGATTAAAATTGGCGTAATGTGGCAGATTTCACAATAGTTCGATCAGTCCGACAGCTTCGTGCGAGTGGGACAGTGCTCATAAAACATTGGTGGAAATTCCACATTCGTATAGCAGGGGCCGGTTCATTTGCAGGACCACTAATTGTTCACTTTTATCACTGCAAGATGCCCTTGCAACGACAAGTTGACTTCTGGCGGTACCCCGGGGTACCAAATAATACAAAATGGCCGAGACAATTAAATATTTTATTTCTGAGACACGATTTTTGTTCCAGGGGTGTACTTCACTCCTATACTGGGGTCCCAATCAATCCGAAATCAGTGCTACTCCGCGATGTTGAAACACAGCGAGGACGATTGCGCTGAAACCCTGAACGCTCGTACGCACCGTAGTGGTGCATCGTGTACAGCTCGTCGAGATGAGTCGATTGCCGCATTGTCGACCATCAACAGACTAAAAATGACTGCATCACAGACATTGTGCGAGAGCCAGGGTACTATGGTACCCCGGGGTACCACCATAAAGGTTCAAGTGACTGCAAATCATAAACACTTGTTGCCACAGCCAAAATTTGCCCTTATAGTGCCAGATTAGTGCGGCTTAGATGCAGCGACGGTTTCATATCGTCTGCGGGCTGCTTTTAAGTTGTAGGCCTCGCGTGGCCGTGGGCCATATGAAACGAATTCGCGGGCCATCGGTCCCCCAGCCCCGCAGTCGAGTTCCTTCCCCACTGGCACGTCCGAGATCAGCCAGCGGCATCGCTCACGGACGGGTGGCTTTTCACTGACTTTGCGACGCCAAGCCAGAACCAAATTGTTGTTATGCTGGCATAGGGGGCCGGGCTAATGCGACCGTCGGTTTATATCGGGTAACGTGCATCAGTCAGTCATCTCAAGTCAAGTCAACCAATGGCACCTGGGGTCTGTCCCCGTGACCTGCCTGGCCCGGCACAGGCGTCGTGGTGACGTCTCCCGTCACTTCGTGGCGAATGGTGGGGGTGTTGGTTTTGGCATGTTGGGTAAAAGGCTCCCATTGAGCCTCGTAAGAAGCTGTTAACTCTTCAACGACGACCCGACATCGATCGGGCGCATCTCACAAAACAACACAGCGCTACCCCTGTCGTCTGCGCGCGCGTGCCGCAATGCGCGTGACCGTCAGCGTCACGGCTCGTGTCGTGGACATAAAACAACCTTCCCGAGCCGTGCCGCGGCCGGTGCGTTACAGCCCCCCCCCCCTCCCGGTGTAGCTCGGTTAGTAGGGTCCGTTGTAGGGTCCGGTTTGTAGGGTCCGTTGTGCTCCGTACATCATCCGATGGCATGCGGTCCTCCTGTGCAAGCTGGTGAATGTCTCAAACCTGACTAGATTGCAACTCCCTTATTAGCTGAGATGCAAAAATAAATTCGTTGCTTGTTTTGAATTATTTTTTGTTTGTTGAGAAAAGTATTTTTTGTTCCCTCTTTGGGAAAATTGCCAGCGATGGGAGAGAGTTTGCGTGTCTGGGGTTGGTTTTTTGAGTTGTTGGCGGTTTTTACAGTCACACAACATCGATGTGTGCGCACCAAAAAATTCTTTGTTACGGTCACGAATATATTTAATGAAGGAAAAAAGATTCGAAAGTTGGGTGTTCTGGAGTGTGTTTCCTCCTGCAGTCACTGTTCAAATTACTTTATTTTTGGTTTCTGTTTTGGATGCGGTTTCTTTTTCTCCCGGTAGATTAAACTTTGGGAAATAAATGTCAATTTCAAAACTGTCTTCTGCAAAAAAGTTATTTTATGGAGTGGATTTCCAGTGTAATGTTTCATGGTTTTATGTTTTTTGAAGATTGACTTCGTTTTAATTATAATCTCAGTTATTTTCCACATTGTCCTCCAGCTAAATCACCCACAATTGCACGCGTTCTCATGCGATCTCAGAATCTAAGGAGGTTTGAGCCCGGATAGTCCTTGAATGTGAAGTTGTCATGCACAAATAGTTTGTAGGTTGTGGGCTATGTGGTTGGGAGCAGCGGGCAGTGCAGCTATATACACGGTTGTACTCTATTTCTATGCTACCGCATCTACGTTCCCAGCCGTCACCACCCCGAATTGACCAGCGTGTCAGAGGAAGTTCAAATAACAGGCATGAGTTATTACGCATTAATTGTTAAAAGCAAAGTATATAAAGTGATTTTTCACGAGACAAATTAACCCTGTAAACGAGTAGGAAATGTGTCATTACAGTCTTTCAAGGGCAGCCAAACAACTCGGGTAACAGCAGTCAACCCAGTGGGCGTGATGCAATGAGTGGGTTAACGATTGAAGAGCGTTAACGAATCTCAGTGACATCTTAAAACTCATTGAAGTTATTAACTTCATGCAGTTAATCTCAATATGCATCACTCGGTTAAATACGAGTGAAGTGAGAAAACGGAACAGATAGAATCTCAATGGGGTATCGCATCACGAAAGGACAACATGATGAGAATCAGAATAGTGAGGTCTACTGGAGGAATCCAATGGCATGGAAAGCTCTTTTTCACAGACGTCCAGGAGCCCCCAGGACCCGCACAGAGTGGGAGGCTGTCATCGATAGGCCTTTTGAAATAGCGTGATCAACCGGACTATGCGTTAATTGTGTTTTGACCGACCGTCTGTGTTGCTTTACATGGTTTCCAAAAAATTTGCTAAACCCTGTTTGTCTGGTATGCTTCTCTCTCTGTGTCCCCTGTTGTATCTGTGTCAGTTCCCCCTACTTGGGTGTTTGTATATACATCTGAGGTTATGTGTCTCCCCTCTCTCATAATTTAGCTCTTCTGTACCTGATGATGGCTGCTTGTGTTGCAACCGAAACGTCGTACGCTATTATGTTATTGTATTATTTCTTATTTATACGTGACTTTACCAAAAAAACCAAAGAGTAATCCCTGCAGTCACGAAAGCTTCAAATCAAGTCAGGCCTGTACATGCCCACGTGCATGCTGAGTGAGCTATAGGCATCATGTCATCGTGAGACAAAACATCCACGAGGGGCTCTCACAGCCAGCAGTGAAACATCGTCATGGATTACCCCCGGAAGACGACATCACCGAATCACTTGCCTCTGACCATAATTGCCCCCTGTGCGCCTGATATAATTTGATCTCAGAAGCTAAGCCTGTTTGTAGGTGTATGGGATACGACAACTGCATACCGAGTGTTTGTAGGTGTGGGGTTAAGATTGGGCCAAGGGATGGCATTACACCAATAGATTCGTCTAAAAGATATCCGTTCATTTAGGTCTGTTGATTGTTCTACCTCTCCGGTTGCTGAACGAATACTTGATAAGGTCGTACTCGTTACACACAAAGTGCTTGCCGCAAATGAACCACAACACCTTGCCGATCTCGTAAAGGGGCATAAACCATCATCACGCGATCTCTGGTCATCCTCGCAGCAGCGTTGGGTAGCCATTGAACAAAGAACTGTTACTGCATCGCGCGCTTTCAGATGCACCTCTGTGGCCGTCTGGAACACTTTTCGTTCCAATATTAGGAAGCCACTAGAGCTACGCACTTTTAAATCTTCATTTAAAACTAATTTATTTAGAAATGGATTTTGTGTTTAGTTTATCGTTCTTCCCACGCACGGTTAGCTACGTACGGTGCGAAAGAAGTTCAACGTACATATTGGTGATTGGCCTGAGACCATTAACACTCGGGATCCTAATTTTAAAACCGGTGGATGAATCCTTGATTCGTCTCTCAAGGCTACATTGGGCCTTAGTTTTTTTTCGTCGTTGTTGCAATTGCGGCCTTTGTATTGGCTTTATATTAATGAAAGTTACCTCTGAAATAATATTGCCCAATAGCGACAGCTGGTGGAGAATGACGCAGTCAGAAAGCCTGGGCAGTGACGAACCCTTCAACCACCAGCTCCTGTTGTTGTGTTCTGTCTCGTGGAAGGAAGTGGCTTTTGGGGTTTCTTTTGCTCGTGTCTCAGAAATGCCGTTCCTGGCATCGTATCTCCCAACGGCAGGAGAAGATAAAATAGGGGGGGGGGGCAAAAGGAAGAGAGGAAAAAAACCCCACGACGGGCGCGATTGACTTTGGGAACAGACGACCAGACAGACAACCACTGCGCACATGGCCCCTGTGGAGTTAATGTAGAACATCACAACGAGTCGTTCGTGCAGTTCTCAAGCGCTTTCACTGCACCGGATGACGCGGGTTGGTGGGGCTGGAACTTTGCCACGGGCTCGCCACCTTTGCCCCCCTCCACTGCGGAGAGTCTTTATAACTAAGTGCACGCATTGCAGAACTTTAGGCTGAATCAACATAAGAGAGGCCCATGCCATGGTAACATATCAACTCCCACTGATGGTGAAGTTCATCGTGGCCTGGAATTAAATCGGGGTTGCTCGGCTTGCAGTGCAGCCCTCTAACAATCCACTGCTGGATGAGAGCCTCCCCAGGCTGAGTGGGTCGCGGGGATATTTGACCATACTTCACCGCGCTGGTGAGTACGGGTTGGAAACATGGAAATACAGTTGGGTAATGAATTCGCTGCACCGTCCGCTGCTGCCCACCATGTAGCCCCGCAGCAGCCTGCAGTAGCAACTTGTTTGGGCAGAGCGGCTGCCCATCCAAAAACCATCCAGGCTTAAACCTGCTTAGCTTCCGACATCCGATACCGTTGGGCGGTTTTCGGATGATCTGACCATCGGAATTTGCAGTTCCGTACACAGAGGTCTCAACACACGGACAAAGCTGCCCATGTAGCCTTGCGGGCTTGCTAGGACAAGTGTGACCCGGGTACATCAGAGATGGCAACATAAAATAGTTCACGACTATTTGTATTTTAGCAGGTAATGCCCACTGAGCTTTATAGCTGTTTTTTTCAGAAGCGAGTTTTTACACAAATGATCGCTCGACAAAGTGGCTTATCATGTAGACATTGATAGCAGACAAAATAGTGAAACATGTTTCTAAACCCATAGAACATACACGCGACCACGGATCATGTAGACATTGATAGCAGACAAAATAGTGAAACATGTTTCTAAACCCGTAGAACATACACGCGACCACGGAGAAAGAGAGAACACGCAAACTCGAAATATACAGCAGCAGCAGGCGTCAGGGTCGGGATCGAACCTACGACCTCCTGCACACCAGGGGAGGTAGTTAACATCTAGCCACGTCGGCGTCTAAATGTTATCACAATGACAACTAATGAAACACACGTGGAGTAAAAGTAACAATGTGTGTATTTATTGTAGCTGATAATTGTTTTAAATAAATGATGTAGAACATTGTGTGGCACTCGCGTACGCGTTTATACAAATATTTATAGAAATATTTACAACACAGCCGCCGTTCGCCACCAAGTGTCGGCGACGTCACCACTGCGCTTGTGCCAGGCGAGGTGCACTTCGAGATCGTCACGTGAAGTGAGGACGTCTCGCTGCTGGCAGGAAGGTCACGGGACATGCCCGGGTGTTGTAGGTTCACTGGCACACACGCACGTACACATAAGGCGTACACACATGCTGGTGTTGTAGGTTCACTGGCACACACGCACGTACACATAAGGCGTACACACATGCTGGTGTTGTAGGTTCACTGGCACACACGCACGTACACATAAGGCGTACACACATGCTGATGCACAATGATACACACAAACCAACACACATCGTACACAAGACAGCTACAACTTGCTTCATCAGCTGCCTGATGAAGCTAGTTGTAATTACTGGCGAAACGTCGTACTCAGATTGTAAATGTTGTGGCTTGGCTCTCCAATACATCGGTGTGCTGTACTCGTAACGAATTGGCATGTTCTGTTTACGTGACAACCCTTGCTAGTTGGCTGTCGGTCGCGAAAGCCTCCTGCGTGTCGAAGTGAACGTCTTTCGGTAAAGTCACGTAGTATGGATTCCTGCAGTCACGAAAACTTCAAATCAAGATTGGACGTCTTTGTTCGATGGCCAAAAGCCGCTGCTGCGAGAAGTAACGCGCAAACACACAGACACACACACGCACACAGACCCAAACACACGCACACAGACACACACACACGTGTGTGAAGTGTGGAAGGCTCGTTTGTGTGTGGGTGTGCGTTTGAACACAACGTGCATTCCATTGCATGTGACGCTACACAGCCTCAGTGGACTTAACACCGATCCATAAGTCATTGGGTGCCCATGTCTGGAAATCTGCCAAGCAGTGGGCGGGTGAAGAAGCCACTGCGTGAACAACTATTTAATTCATTGAGCGTCGGTTAAGCGTTCGCGGCCTGTAGCTAGAGATGCCAACACTCCCGGAATGGCCGGGAGTCTCTTCCGGAATTGACATTCGATCTCAGTAATCCGGAAGATTTTTTTTATTATGGGATATTTGATGAAAATAAGTTAGTATTAGTAAAAAAACACTATCAATGTAAGCAACCTTGAAGGTAAAGATACAACCCTGAAACTACTCGCTCACGCCACTGCTGGCTATTTAATCGAAGCATCGTCACATGGGGGCGAGACATCAACTACCTCGCCTGGTATGCAGAAGGCCGTGGTATGCAGAAGGCCGTGGTATGCAGAAGGCCGTGGTATGCAGAAGGCCGTGCGTTCAAGCCTCGATGCCTCGAGTCTGCGTGGCTCTTTCCTTGTGGTGGCGTGGATTCTTCTCCAGGTCCTCCGGGTTTTCTCTCCACATTTAGAATCAACGTCACGCGTTTGGAGTATTCGCCTGCAATACATTCCACGTGTTAAGCCACTTCGTTGAGCTATAATGTGTGGCCAGATCGCTTCTGAAAAAATAGCTATATAGCTAAGTGGGGCCTTAGCTGGTAAAATAAAAACAGTTAAATAGTATACCGAGCGAAAAAACTTGTGTAGAAATTAAATCCACCCCCCTCCCCCCATCAAAAACCCAACCCCGTACGTACTAGCTGCATGCGTTTAACAAATCTCGTGGATTTACCGTCGAAACGACCTTTCTCCGTCAGTGTGCGTAACATCCCAGCCGTTGCTTGTTTTTTATTATCAAGGATGACCCTGAAAGGAGGAGGGGGGGGTCCAAGCGGGAATCTGCACGAGGGATCAGCGGTGGCGTAGCTGGCTCTCGAGTCTGCAGGCGATGTTATAACTCCCCCGGGGTGCATGGGTCAGAGGGGCCCAGACACCGGGTTAAGAAAAGGGGGGGAGCAGGCGGGGGTGGGGTGGGCAGGCGAAATGGGGGGCGGAGGGACCGAAGAGTCGAGTGTCGCATTTCATTCCTTGCGCTGGGCCCGTTGCGATCACGCCACGCCACTGGGGCGAATCGTCGCCGTGGCTTTATCCCAATCACGATTTGTGTAAATCACGGTCGCGTCTCATTGGGCTGAAGCGAATCGCATCTGCGTGGGAAATCTGCTCGTTTTGCTGAAGGCATCGCATAGTTTCTCGTGATGAATGGCGCTTGCAGTTGAATTGGGTCCTCCGAGGGAACATTTCGTGACATTGTTTCAGAAATATGAAAAAACTACGTACATTATTTTGATTGTTTCTGTTATCCAAATGAACGATGTTGCGGTTATAATTAAACTAAAGTTTGTATTTTACCAGGTAAGGCCCATTGGGCTATGTAGCTATTTTTCAGAAGCGACCTGGGCACAAATGGTAGCCCAACGAAGTGGCTCATCGCGTGTAAATGTAGAGCAGCCACACACTCTCAAGGCGTGGTTCTAAATGTGGAGCACTCGGAGAAAAATCCACGCGACCACGGGGAGAGAGACACGCAAACTCTAAATATACAGCAGCAGGCGTCAGGGTCGGGATCGAACCCACGACCTCTTGCATACCAGGCGAGGTAGTTAACATCTCCTAGCCACCGTGGCGCCCTTAATAATTCAATTCACGTGGCTATGAATTTAAAATTACGTTCTGGGGTGCCGAATCAGCCCATCATCACTTCTACAGCCATAAAATAGCTACCACGTCATGGGAAGTCAGCGGTGGTCTTCCTGTGGCGAGAGTGGCTGCCGCCATGGGAATGTGGAATTTCCACGACTGCATCAGGGCTTAGGAGCATCATACACTGCGGAGGGTTGCATGCTTGGAATTGTCTTCTTCTCACGACCGATGTTAATGTTGAGCAACGACTGCAAACTTACATTGAGGTGGTTGAGCCAGACCTTTGCGTCAGGAGTCGCGCGGTGCTGAATCATCGCCGCTGTGATGATGCCTCCTCTTCCTTCGCGTTCGCCCGTCGGGCACTGAGTCGTTTCACGTTCCCTGGTCGGCCCTGGCTGGTGACCGCAGTCTCCGCAAGCTGAACGGTAAACTTTTACTGGTAGGAACGAAGTTGTAAACTGAGTGTACCAGCCTGCAATAGATTAATGTGTCCGTCCGTCCGTCCCCTTTCAATACTTTATACTGGTAGGAACGAAATTGTAAACTGAGTGTACCAGCCTGCAATAGATTAATGTGTCCGTCCGTCCGTCCCCTTTCAATACTTTAACGAAGTGAAATATCGTGCTGTTGTCATAAAATTGCGCAAAATTCTAATGTTCCTACCAGCCCACCCTGCAGGGACCTGTTTAATTTTCAATTTGTGCATCATCATCATCGTCGTCGAGCATCCGCCATTGCTGCTGCTGCCATCGTTTGTGCAGTGGATGCGTCTCAGGAGTTGTGCTGCCCAGAAGCTTCGTATATGTTGAACAGTATGTACTGTACGTTGGATTTCTTTCGCACCGTACGTGGCCAACCGTGCTCATCGGAAGATCAAAGTCGGGCATCTTCCGCGCTGCCGGGTCTTTCACGAGGAAGTGTGTTGCTTGTGACTTGCATGGAATTCGACCGAGAGACAGGAAGCACACACGTTAGAGAGAGCGCGCGCGCGCGTGCCAGTGTCGTGGCGAGACGGGCCGGTGGCGAAGAAGAACGACGGCAGTGGCAATCCAAGGAACGAGACGCGTCCGATGTCAGGCGTCCACCGGGGAGATGGAACGGTGAAAGCAGCTCGTTGCGTGGGCGCTCGGCGGATCAATGCACTGCAGGCTCAGAGCAGTTGGTGGCGGCTTGCGAAGGCCTTCATCCAGCAGTGGATTGACCAACACTGCGGCTGCTGCTGACAATGATGATGATGTTGGCGTGCGAATGGAGATGTGGGGCGGCGTCGGGGGGGGGGGGGGTGCTGAACCCATGCTCGTTTTGAGCTTAGAGCAATATCAGAATCCAAAGCGTTGAGGGATGCACGTTGACCTTGGCTTGGAGTTTAAACACGCGCACAAGGGCGAATTCTTCCACCACCACCACGCAGCAGCCTCCGCGGCGCTCTTTGAAGTTGCGGGCGACACCTGCGAGCAATTTTAAAATAACGCTCGCCACGTGGCTCTGGGCTGCTTCGAGATTCATTCGGGGAGGGCTTCTCAAAGCGTGGCTCTGCGCGCGCGCCCGTTAGTGATGAGGCCGACTCAGCCTCAAATCACGAGTAACCCACGCGACGTGTAAAATATTGTCACTTGGGAGACAAAGGCGGCCGTGCGTGGTGCTGGTCACCCATCGCCTCGTGTGCCGTGCCAGCGAACAGTGGTTGCCCCCCAAGGACTATTCAGGCTATGCGGGGGATTTTTCGCACTGCGCTACGAACGCAGTGACTCAAGTTCGACTCCTGCTCACGGCCACCAGTGATTATTGTATAAGCCGGTTCTGGGCCTCCTCTAGGTCGACTCAGCCTCAAATCAGTGCCTGGTGCGGTGTGTTAATATCGACACTGGGGAAACAGAGGCGGTCGGGCGTGGTGCTGGCCATCCACCCCATCGTGTACCGTCTCTGCCTTGATAATTTAAGATTCTGATTTTGATAGGTGATCGCGAACAATACGTACCACAAAAGTCTGTTCATGCTATACGGGGGATCTTTGTTAGTGATTAGCGCACTGCATCCCACCCATAGCCGTGGTTCTGTGTGCTGCGATTGTCGTGCGTGTGATGCTGCTTTTGTAAACTTGTGAATAACGCCCGCAGCAGCAGGAGCAGCAGCAGCAGCAGCTGCCACCGGTTTACAATGTTGAACCCAGTTTGGTTTTTTTGCTCTGCCTCCAGGCAATAACTGGCACAGCCTGTGCCTCCTTTCAATCGTTAACAGCGACAATTACAGTTAGTTTTTACATTTTATTTAGTGGATATTCTCTGGGTTGACACTGGTGAGGCAAGGGCATAAAGAAGGCTGTCTCTCGTGTAGGCCAATCAGTTTCAAAGACAATGCGAGTACATTATCAGAGCAAGTTTGTGTGGATGTTCACCACAAGTACGTGTGTGGTTTTATATTTGGTGTTTGAACATCTTAACACAACTCATGTTTTATTCCCAGAAGGGATCAAACCTATTCTTATTTTTCATACTTCCATATTGGGAAAAAAGGTCCCTTACTAATATTATTATTACATGTTGAACCAGGAAACCCTCCAACTAGTCTCACGACTGGGATTCAGAAGGATGCTGCCAAGTTCTCGCAGGGCCGTAGGCGGCGATTTTTGCTGAATATATGCGCCGTCGATAGATAATAAATCGCTCTTTACTCATTTCGGACGACAAATTTGGGCCGCGCCGCCGCCGCCACCGCACCGGCCTCCGGGCTCGCGAACGACATCACCGGAGGGGAGGCCGCCAGAGGCCAAACCGCGAAATCTCTTCAGCAACAACAACAACAAGCAGCCACCACTGGGCCGCAACACCCCCCTCAAATGATAATACATGTAGGGGGCGGGGGGGTAGAGGGGGAGGGGTGGCCCAATCTAAAACGTCGAGAGAGTCACCCTTGTCCCTGGTTATGCAACCCTCTGCCACGCTGCGTACATATATTGGCCAACCGAGTGTGCGGTTTGTGGTGCGTGTCGCCTGGACAACAAATATTGGCAGAAGTCGCCACCCCTTATGAATGGTGCCATCTGTGGAGGAAGTGCGAGGGGCGATCCGAAGTCTGAGACCAGGAAAAGCGCCGGGCAGAGAGATCTCCCAAGCGAAATGCTGAGGGAGGGTGGCATCTGTGTGCATACTGCATTGCATACTACATTGACATCATCACAGCTTTCTGGACCACAGGACGGGTTCTGCAGGATTGGAAGTATGGGGGACCGCACAGACATTAACAACACAGGGGCATCTTTTTCTCATTGTGCCGGGAAAGGTTCTGCCAAGGATTATTCAACATCGCCTTGCCAGGCACGCTGAGGAAAGGTTTGTGGAGCCTCAATGTGGTTTTCAGATGCAGGGCGGTCCTGCACAGACGCCATATTCTCTGTCCGTCTGCTATAGCAGAGGTGTAGGGAATTCCAACAAGACCTAAATCTCTGCTTTATTGACCTGGTCAAGGCCTATGATACCATGAGCATGCCAGGGCACTGGGCTGTTCTTCGTGCTTTCAAGATGGTGGACAGGCCCGGGTAAAGTTACGTGGCAGGAGTCAGAGCGATTCCCTGTTTACTTAGGGGTGCGACAGGGATGTCCTCTGGCTCCCACATTATTTAACATCATCTTTGACCACGTAGTTCGAGAAGCTTTCCATAGCTGTACTGCAGAAATTTACATCTGGTACAGATTCAACGGGAGGCTGATCGATGTCCGGGTGCGGTCGAGGGATGGCTCCCTATTGGTCAATTATGTTATGTATGTTGATAATCTGGTGATTGCTGCTCACTCAGATGAGTAGTTGGAGGCGCTGCTGTTGAACCTGGAGCGTGCCACTAAGAAGTGGGGTCTTACCATCAGCCCCACCAAAACTAAGCGCCTACCTGGGTATTTTGTGCCACCAAACACTCCACCCCTCAGCTCCCCATTGGTGTTGGAGCAATTGTGGAGAGAGTGGAGAGTTTCCCATACCTGGGCAGTATGCTCATGACCGGCTCCGGTTTGACAGCGGACGTCTCACTCCGAATCAGTCGAGTGGCATTATCTTTTCATCGGCTGCGCAATGCTGTGTGGAAGCTACCTGGTCTGTTGCTCCGCACGAAGCTGCGGGTCTTCTCGGCCACAGTCATGCCCTCCCTTCTCTGTGCTTGTGAAACATGGACCCCTCTAATGGAACATCTGCGGCGGTTATAAATATTCAGGCTGGCCTGCCTACCATCCATCCTGGGTTTAACCAGGCTAGATTGTGTGAGGAGCTCACACATCCTAGAAAAATATCTGGACACATTCCCATTAGTGAGCTCCTCCGGTAGGCAAGGCTACGTAGGCTGGGTCATGTAGCCCACATGCCCAGCCACCGCATACCCAAGCAGTTTCTGCTTGGCAGCATAGAGGGGACTAAAAGGGCACGACATGGGCTGGAGAAGAGATGATGTGGTATGGGAGAATGTGGAGCTGAGTCGACTTGCCGACGATTGGTACCAGCGGTGTCAAAATCGGCCTCCATTGAGGAGGCTCGTGCAGGTCGCTACTGGGGAGTTGGAGACAGTCGCCCTCCAACAACGACGGAGGGCAGAGGAGCGACGCGCACAGCGAGCGGAGCGCCGGGCGCCAAAAATGCAGCAAGTTGGCACAGTGGGGGGTGCAGCTGGTGGTGCATCTACCGGTCATCTCAGTCAGCCGACCCATGGCACCTGCTGGGTCTGTCCCGAGACTCTCCTGCAGCGAGTCTTCGACACTTCACGTGGCCTCAAAGTGCACCTTGCCTGGCACAGGCGCCGTGGTGACGTTGCCGTCACTGAGTGGCGATTGGCGGCTGTTGTTGTTGGCCTGGCCAACAGCGAAGCGGGCGGGGGGCGACATCGGTCTGGATTTGTTTTTTGGTTTGTTTTAGATATGAACGCAAACGGGCTGATTCGAGCAGGGGAGGAGCGGTGGCTCAGTGGTTTTCGCACCGCGCTCTCGAGCCCGATACCCGCCCAAGGTTCACATGGCCCACGGGTGTTATCAGCGGCCGAGCGGTATCCGAAGAAGCCCTTCAAGCAACCTGCACTGACCAGCGTGGTTGAAGTATGGATCAGACGACACCCCGTGACTGACGCGGCATAGGAGTCGGCCCTCGTCCAGTAGTGGATCGACTGCAAGCCGCCACGATTCTTCATTTGAATCCGCGAGTTGTTTTCCGTGGCGCTTGAGACGAACGCGTCCCCCAACTTGTCTGCCGCGCCTGGAGGTCGTCCAGTGCAGCAGCTGTTTCGGTCCTTGCTGCTGGGCTATGAGGCAGCAGGCAGCGGCAGTGGCAGCACAAGAGGTTGCTGATTCACGCTGCCCTGGGGTGCGTGGGGGACTCTTTTCTGTTTGTTTCCCGCGGGAGTTCCACACGGGCGGCAACGAGTTTTCTAGTTCAATGCCCCCCACCGTGGCCCGTCTCGCGATGTCAATCGGAATATTTATTTATTCCTGGAGGAATCCGATGAGCTATAAAGCTCTTTTTTTACAGATGTCCAGTAGGGGCACTGGGTAAGAACGATACGACAATCAAACAATACAAAACACGATAGAAGTGCAAAGTACAGGCAAGGTAAACAAATCACCCAAACACAAACAAATAAAACTAAACCATTCCCATCCTACCAGACAAAGCCCACTGAGGTATTCACTTATTCTTCAGAAGCGATCTGGCCACAAATGATAGCTCAACAAAGTGGCCTATTATTTGGACATGTCTAGCAGCCCAACACTTCAGACGCACGTTGGTTCTAAACGTGGCGGGGAACCCGGAGAAAAACATCCACGCGACCACGTGGAGAGAGAGAGAAACGCAAACTCGAAATAGACAGCAGGTGTCAGGGTCGGGATCGAAGCCCGACCTCCTGCATACCAAGCGAGGTAGTTAACATCTCCTAGCCACCGTGGCGCCCCTCGAATAAATAAATAAATAAACGACATGAGTTAAAATTGCATAATCGATTCAGAAGGTTCGGAAATGCAGCAAAACAACAGCGAACGTGAAACCGCGAGACGCTCTGGCGCGCCGTCCAAAACATGGGACCAACGCTTTCCCGCCGAGTGCGTTGACGTGGGCAAAACCTCTGCACATTCTCTGTCCATTGCTGACGAAAGTCGCAGGACTACGTTGTAAGGACCTTCAAGCGAACTCACCACCGCCCCTGTGGCCCACACAATCGGCGTGCGGCGCTTCCACACTGATCTCTTTAATTCTCATCATCTGGAATTTGACTCAATGAAGGGCTGGACCGCAGATTCAGATGTCGTGCGTTCGTTTGTGCGGTCAATGGTGAGCGGCCCGAGACCAGCAACCCGCTAGTTTCGCGAACTTTAATCACTGGTCTAGGTGGCGTCGGCCGGGGTCTCTGCCCTCTGAGTCCCCCCCCCCCCCCACTTACTCCGCCTGCTCCGGGGAGAAGCGTCAACTTCGAGCGACTTATTTTAAGCTCCAGTCCCATTGGGTCCCTCAAGTGTGCACGCCCCAGGCCAGTGTGAAGATTGGAAGGGTCGTGGCCGGGGTGGAGTTACCACCACCACGTATTGCCGAAACACTTGAGACTCGAGACACACCGCAGACACACGCAGACAGAGAGACACACGGAGACAGAGAGACACACGCAGACAGAGAGACACACGGAGACAGAGAGACACGTGCAGACAGAGAGACACACGGAGACAGAGAGACACACGCAGACAGAGAGACACACGCAGACAGAGAGACAAGACAGACACAGACAGACACACGCAGACAGACAGACACACGCAGACAGACACACGCACAGAGAGACACACGCAGACAGAGAGACACAAGACAGACACAGACAGACACACGCAGACAGATACACAGACAGATACACGCAGACAGACACAGAGAGACACAAGCAGACAGACAGACACACGCAGACAGACACACGCACAGAGAGAGACACGCAGACAGAGAGACACACACAGACAGAGAGACACACGCAGACAGAGAGACACACGCACAGAGAGACACGCACAGACAGACAGGCGGAGCACGCACGCATCCGCCAGTGTCTCAGAATCACGCAGCTGCTGCAGTCGTTCGTAAGTTGCGGAAATGTCAAACTCGCGGCCTCGGCGTTGAGTGAATATTTTTTATTTTCTCGTCGTGTTTTTTGCGCGAACTGCGCCCGTTGACGTTACCTATGGAGCCATTGAGTCGACTGCCACGTGCGGGTCGCGTCGCGGCTTCGTGTCATCGGTCGCGTCGAGGGTTCGGTGCGGAATGCGATGTCTCTTGGGTATCGGACGACATATTTTGGATGTGGTGCGGGTTCTGTATTGGATGATCCGTGGCTTCTGGGTTAGACGTGTTAAAGGTTCTGTATTGGATGTGGTGTGGGTTCTGTATTGGATGATCCGTGGCCTCTGGGTTAGACGTGTTAAAGGTTCTGTATTGGATGCGATGTGGGTTCTATATTGGATGATCCGTGGCCTCTGGGTTAGACGCGTGCAAGGTTCTGTATTGGATATGGTGTGGGTTCTGTATTGGATGATCCGTGGCCTCTGGGTTAGACGTGTTAAAGGTTCTGTATTGGATGCGATGTGGGTTCTGTATTGGATGATCCGTGGCCTCTGGGTTAGACGCGTTCAAGGTTCTGTATTGGATGCGATGTGGGTTCTGTATTGGATGATCCGTGGCCTCTGGGTTAGACGCGTTCAAGGTTCTGTATTGGATGTTGCACGGCAGGGTGGTGCAGTGGTGACCACTCGTGACTTGCAGCAAAAAGTTCCTGGGTTCGATTCCCCGACTCGGACGCCTTTGTTTGTGGAGTTTGGATGTTCTCCCCCTGTTCTACAGTGTCACAGTGATGTTGTGTGGAGTTTGAATGTTCTCCCCCTGTTCTACAGTGTCACAGTGATGTTGTGTGGAGTTTGGATGTTCTCCCCCTGTTCTACAGTGTCACAGTGATGTTGTGTGGAGTTTGGATGTTCTCCCCCTGTTCTACAGTGTCACAGTGATGTAGTGTGGAGTTTGTATTCTCTCCCCCTGTTCTACAGTGTCACAGTGATGTTGTGTGGAGTTTGTGTGTTCTCCTCCTGTTCTACAGTATCACAGTGATGTTGTGTGGAGTTTGTGTGTTCTCCTCCTGTTCTACAGTGTCACAGTGATGTAGTGTGGAGTTTGTGTGTTCTCCCCCTGTTCTACAGTGTCGCAGTGATGTTGTGTGGAGTTTGTGTGTTCTCTCTCTCCCCCTGTTCTGCATGGATTTCCTCCGAGTTCTCCGGTTTCCTCCCATAGCTAAAATAAACTCATTGCAATGCGACTTGTATCGGCTAAACATTCCGATGCTGAACAATTGCCTGCGAATTAGTCAATTGGCAGGACCCTCTTGAAAAAGAGTCTTGAGACTCAGTGAGGCTTCCTGGGCAAACAAGAATAACGATGACAATTATAACTTCAACTTCTAACGCGCCCCTGCTACACGGCATTTGCTTCTCTCGTAGAGAGAAAGAGAGGACGACTCAGAGAGAGAGGGGGGGGGGGGACTTAGAGAGAGAGAGGGGGGACGACTCAGAGAGAGGGGGGGACTTAGAGAGAGGAAGAGAGGACGACTCAGAGAGAGAGAGAAGAGGGGGCGACTCAGAGAGAGGGGGGGGGGGGGACGACTCAGAGAGAGAGGGGGGCCGACTCAGAGAGAGGGGGGGGACGACTCAGAAAGAAGACGACTCAGAGAGAGAGGGGGGGGGGGGCGACTCAGGGAGAGAGAGAGGGGGGACGACTCAGAGAGAGAGAGAGGGGGGACGACTCAGAGAGAGGGGGGGGGGGACTTAGAGAGAGAAAGAGAGGACGACTCAGAGAGAGAGAGAGAAGAGGGGGCGACTCAGAGAGAGAGGGGGGACGACTCAGAGAGAGAGAGAGGGGGGACGACTCAGAGAGAGGGGGGGGGGGACGACTCAGAAAGAATACGACTCAGAGAGAGAGAGAGAAGGGGGGCGACTCAGGGAGAGAGAGAGGGGGGGGGGGCGACTCAGGGAGAGAGAGAGAAGGGGGGACGACTCAGAGAGAGAGAGAAGGGGGGACGACTCAGAGAGAGAGAGAGGGGGGCGACTCAGGGAGAGAGAGGGGCGACTCACAGAGAGAGAAGGGGGGGCGACTCAGAGAGAGGGGGAGAGGGGGGAGGGACGACTCACATAGAGAGGACGACTCAGAGGCACGAGGAGGAATCAGGGACGAGCGGCATGGCAGCAGCAACAGCAACCACGTGGTGAGCAGCCGGTGCCAAATTCTGCCCCAAGCTCTGCGGTCCGCGCTCTGCGGTGCGTTCCGAGTTACGTCATTGTCAGGGTTAGAGGTTCCGTATCATTTTGTGTTTAGATGTGGTTATTGTTGTACTGTCCGTGTCATCATATGCAAAACTGTTGTGTTACGTTGCCCTGTATTGTCTGATACCACGGGTCTCGTATCAGCTTCATGAAGAGTTCGTATCGGACCTGCAGTTGTTCGTAAGTTTGTAAGTTACTGTTTGTAAGTTCCTGTCTAATATGTCTCTCCGAGGAACACAGAAAGCACCCACGCCGGAGTATTGTTATCGTCGTCGTCGTCCTTGTTGTTGCTGTTGTTGTTGCTGTTGTTGATGTTGGTGTTGCTGTTGTTGTTGCTGTTGTTGCTGTTGGTGTTGCTGTTGTACCTCGGGCGGCTATTGGAGGCGGTGGACCGGGATTCAAAGTGAGCAGACACAGAGGCAACGAATCTCGGCCATCGCCCATCGCCTCTCTCCGGACGACGTGGCCTGTGCCAAGCCTCTTGACCAAGCCGAAGTCGAGGCGACGTCTCTGACCCACTAATTGTCATTTTGTGATGCTGCTGCTGCCTTGGCAGTGGTGCACTAGCACAATTAACAACAAACAAAAAATAAACCCAACACACCCGTCAATAACACGGTGGCCTTCAAAGTAATATGGATATGTAAATGGGCAACGTTTAAGGCAATGTGCCTTCTTTACAAGCACACAGAGAGAGCGGTACCCACCGTGCGACAAATTTCCACCGTGGGAATGGTCGATAAAGTCAGTACCACATTGGTTGTCCCATGGATAGACTGACTCCACCATAGGAATGTGGAATTTCCACCTCTGGCTAAGGGTTTCCAATGCCGACGAGCGAGCACCTAGTGCTCGTTTGAAAACTAATCTCTTTTTTATTGACCAGGTAAGGCCTACTGAGCTATAAAGCTCTTTTCCAGAAGCGACCTTGCCACAAATGAAAGCTCAACAAAGTGGCTTATCACCACCACGTGGAAATTAATAGCAGCCAAATACTCTAAACGCGTGGTGACGTTGTGTCTAAACGTGGAGGAAAAAAACCGGAGGACCCAGAGAAAAATGCACGCGACCACGGGGAGAGAGACACCGCAAACTCCAAATATACAGCAACAGGCATCGTCGTGGTCGCGATCGAACCCACGTCCATCTGTATACCAGGCGAGGTAGTTAACATCTCGCCACCGTGACACTTGAGTTCCCATGCCATTTGGCTCTCCCGGCGCGGCGTCTGCCCCCTCTCGTCGTCTCCAGGAGGCAGCATGTGGGAAGACTTCGGCGACTTCCATGCGGAGGCCGAGGGCTCCGGGGCGCGGAGGGGGAAGACCTCGGCGCCGCGGTCCTTCGCCCCCATCGACACGGTGCTCACCGCCGTCGAGGACACCACGGGGAGCTCCTCGTCCGAGGTGGCCGGCGGGCGGCCCCGCACCACTGGACCCCCGGGTTCGACAAACCTCCCCCCCCTGCATGCACACCTGTCAACCCCTTATCAGTGCTGCCTACCTTATTGCAGACCAATTCAGACCTTATTGGTGACCCCGTGTCCCTTATAAAATCTCAACGTTCATCTTACAAAGCCCCATCGCAAGGGAGAAACACAAACAAATAGACACAAAAGACTAATTTTGTTTCCCGTATTGAAACAGATGCTCGCCGTATAGACCTGAAAACTCAACTTCCCTGTACAAGAATGCGGGGTAAATCACGTGGGTTCGCAGCTACGTGCATGGAACGGCCGCCAGAACCCGTCGCGTTCTCCGAGGGTAATTTCGTGACCCCACCGACAGAGACGGGAGCTCTTCGCGTTCGAGACGCGTGCGCATATCGGCCTCTCGATGTTCTGACACGGTCGACGGCTCCACGGCCAGTGTCTTCAACGAGGAGGATGAGGAATGTCAAAGCCAGGGGGAGGAGTGCGATGATGTTCCAGTCTCTGGCCGTCCGCGTTGCTCCGCTCTGTTCGCCAGCGCCCCGCAAATGCGGCTCTCCTGGCCTCTTGAGTCTCCCACCTCGGTGGTGATAAGTCAAAAGAAAAGTCTGAGTTGAGCCGTGCCATGCCGCGCAGGTGCGGGGGGGGTCCCACTGCTGGGGGTGTGGGCCGTGGAGCTGCACGGCGAGCAGGAGGGACGCACGCGGCTGGAGCACCGCACGGAGCGCTACGAGACGCCGCTGCCCGTGCTGCGCCGGGGCCTCCCATTCCCCGTCACCATCACGTTCAGCCGCCCCTTCGAGCCGCGCTCCGACCGACTGCAGCTGGAGCTCTACATCGGTGAGGGCCGGCCGCGGCCGCGATCCGTCGACCCCGCCACCCCACGCACGCGGCGTGGGGTGGCCCTTTGTCTTTGGGCCCGTGACTGTGGGCTAGGCCCTGTCAAGGGGCGTTGACTGGTAGCTTTAGACAGCCGTGGGTTCCCCTCCCCTGAACTAGAGCAGGGGCTCTCAGCCGGGGGTACCACGTGACAATGTCCTAGGGGGCACGTGAGGTGATTTATACATGTGTGAAATTATATCATGCCTGAGAGTCATTCGGTGAATAATCACGTGTGAATCTGCCAATATAAAATAACTACAATGGAATTTTAAATCCATATGGTAACCTAGAAGGATATGAAAGGCCTTTGTAAACTCATTGATCGTGATCAATGCGGGTTTCCAAGAGTAACCAGCGAGCGCGAACAAATTCCGTGACGCACGCAGAGCGTCCGTTGACTTTATTTTTGTATTCACTTGCGGTTGCTTAGCTAGTTAGGGATACACCTCACAAAATGGACAATTGGTTAAAATGTTGATGTTCATTAATTAATACATTTATTTCTCAGAACCATGTTGGGTCAGGCAAGGGAGTTACTCGGTTGATCCACTGGGCTAGAGGTTTGGCTCACCACGCCGTGGGAGTTTTCTCCGCGCTGCTCCATTTCCTCCAAGATGTTTGAGAACCCACTGAACCCGACGCTCTGTTTTGGCTTCCCCAGGAAAGTACCCGAGGATTGATCGTGGCACCTACATCCCAATCCCACTGGCCGAGCCGGGCGAGGAGGTGGAGCCCGGCACCTGGAAGGCAAAGGTCACGGGCTCGGAGGGCGCGCGGCTGGCCCTGCTCGTTCACACGTCGCCCAAGTGCATCGTGGGCAAGTACCGCTTCCACGTGGCGACGCTGAGCGCGGGCGGCCTCTACCGCTCATCCCGCGACCCCAACACCGACCTCTACTTCATCTTCAACCCCTGGTGCCCAGGTGAGCGAATCCCGTACCGGGCTGGGCTGCCCCGTAAAAGTTCGTGTAACGTCGCACGCGAAACACAAGTGACTTCGCCGCTCGTGGAATGTTTTTTTGCGACACAGTTGCACAACGCCAGAGCCATTGCAATGGCTCGTTAAACACAACAACGAAAAATCCACCTTGTGCAGTTTTCTCATTGCCATGGCAGCCCCCGTGACATAGTCCAGCTGCAGTGGAGGGACTCCTCACCATCGTGCCGAGGCAGGTCAGGTTTTCCAGCCCGTTTACTGCACCTCCGTGGAGTTCAAAAGAAACTCGCAAACAAACACCACCTTGTGAAGGACCCAACGCAGAAGATCGCCTGGGGGTTTGATCTTCCACGAAGCTGGCTCATGGTCCACCCTAAACCGCATCCACTGCACGAACCGTGGCAGTAGATGCAGATGATACCTGACGATGCACAAATGGAAAATCTAAAACTCTCCAGGAGTGGTGTGCGACTGTGGACATCCAGGCCACAACGTATAACGACGCAATGGCCCGATCCACAAATACGAAGGAGACATCACGGCGATTAACACTCCGCTGGCTCCTGATGCGGTTGCCTGGCTTCACCACAGTCGACTCCTGGTGACCGCCTACGATTGCTTCTGCCCTCCATTTGGCCAAATCCAAGCTCTGACAATGAACATTTTGGTTTGGCTGCCATTCTCCGAGCATTCCCGTCCATGGCGAGGCAGGTGGAGGAAGTGCTGCCCCCACCACCCCCACTTACTCTGCGGACCAGGGGTAACACTTCAAACGGCTGTCAGAAGTAGTTCAGCGATATCCACTTCCGCGGACCGTTCTCCAACGCAGAGAGGGTGTGACGGCGACGGCACAATTCGATCAGGTCAACGCGGCCACCACTGGCGTGCTGACCGAGCGTTCAAATCCAAAGCTCCGGTCAGCCACGGTCAAGCCGGCTTCTCCAGTGTCCGTGACCTTGCCCCTCTTGATTCATTCGGGGCATTGTCTCAATAAGCTGGATTGCAACAATTCCAAACACTCTGCCTTGCGCTCTCTCTCTCTCGCTCGCTCGTTCGCTCTCCCCGAGGCTGGAGAGGTTTTACTGTGGGCCCTGTGTGGGTCATGGAGCTGAGCCGCTGTCAGTCGCCGGCCACTTACCGGTGATGGACTGGGACTAAAAATCGGCCCAAGTATTTGTAAAAATAGCGGGCCCAGATTCGAGCTTTGGAGTTAACTGGATGTTACGATGTGACGTACAGTATGAAAAATAAGAATAGGTCTTACCCTTTCTGGCAATAAGACCACAGGTTGTGGCCGAAACGTCGTGAGAATATTATTGTGTTATTTTATTTTATCAATTTATTATTTTATTCTCATTCTATGTGACTTTACCGAAAGAACCAAAGAAGATGAATCCTTGCAGTCACGAAAGCTTTAAATCGAAATTTAAGACCAAAGGTGTTAAGATGTTCAGACACCAAATGGATACACGTATGCATTAACCACACGTACTTGTGGTGAACACGCAAACAAACATGCTCTGATAAGATATGCATTGCCACCTGTTCTATTGCGAGATTGGGTAAAACTTATTTTTATTTTTTATACTTTGAAACTGGCAAAAAGGTCCCGTGATATGTGACATACAGTGGTAGCGTGATGGGGTTTTTTTGAGCCGTGGGTCCCAAAAACTAAATTGGGGGGGCGGGCGGCGATGGGAAGAATCTTTTGGGGGTGCCGAATATGGGGACCTAATGCCAACTGACAGCGTAAGTAAGCGATGAAGCATACACATTAGAGGTCATAAAATATTTTCATGAATTTTTATATATATACTCTGATCACATTGGCAATTTCCCCGCACAGACCGTCCCCCCCACCGACCCTCCGGGCATTTGCCCTCCGGACTGCTGCCCTATGGCCAGTCCGGATCTTGCCGCCGCCGCCGCCGACTGACGAACTCACTCACTCACTCACCGTGAGCGTGCTCGTGTGTGGTCGCGCAGAGGACAGCGTTTACATGGAGAGCGAGGCGGAGCGGGAGGAGTACGTCCTCAACGACATCGGCAGGATCTTCCACGGGACGCGCGACCAGATCGTGTCGCGCGTCTGGAACTTCGGGCAGGTGAGCGTCGCGCAACGCACGGGTTGAACTCAAGTCCACCGTAGGTGCAGCACTTGCCCCAACAGTCTGTGTTACAGGCTATGCGGGAGATCTTTGCCTTTTGTTTGTAGGAGCACGTTTTAGGGTGAAGCGGTGGCGTAACGGTTCGTGCACTTGCGCCGTGGACTTGGCGACCTGAGTTCGATTCCCAGCTACGGTTGACATCAGCGCCGAGTCATATCAGATCTCTTCTATGTCGAAACAGCCCTTTATCAGCACTGGGGAAACAAAGGTGGCCGGGCGTGGCGATGGCCACCCACCCGCTAGTGTGCCGTGCCAGCCTTAATAGGTGCTCGCTAACAGCATTCGCCCCGACCGTCTGTTGAAGGCTATCTGGGGGACCTTTGTGCTTTGTGTGGATGCGCGTGCGTGCGTGCGTGCGCGTGCATGCGCTTGCGTGCGTGTGCGTGTGTGTGCGTGCGCGTGTGTGTGCGTGTGTGTGCGTGCGCGTGTGTGCGTGCGTGCGTGTGTGTGCGTGCGTGTGTGTGCGTGCGTTTCCCTACCGCGTCTCTCAGTACGAGTATGGGGTTCTGGACGCCGCCCTCTCGGTGCTGGACTGCGGCCGCCTCCCGCTGCCCGGCCGGGACAACCCCGTGACGGTGGCTCGCGTCGCCTCCGCCGCCGTGAGTCCGCAGTGTCGCCCACGTCACGGAGGCAGTCGCCCTCATACAACGGAGGGCGGAGGAGCGACGCTCACAACTACGAGCGGAGCGCCGGGTGGCTAAAGCACAGCATGTTGGCACAGTAGGGGGCACAGGTGGCCCATCAGCCAGTCATCTCAGTCATCTTAGTCAGTCGACCCGTGGCACCTGGGTCTGCCCCGTGACCTCCTGCCAGCGGGCGTTCGACACTTCACGTGGCCTCAAGGTGCACATAGCCTGGCACAAGCGTCGTGGTGACGTCACTGCCACTTAGTGGCGAATGGCGGTTGTTGTTGTTGGTGTATGCAGTATTGTGTGTGTGGTGGTGGTGTGTGCAGTGGTGTGTGTGTGGTGGTGTGTGTGAATAATACTTAGAGTTACCAGATTTCCTTTTGGGCAGTTCTCTCGCTTGGTTGCCATCTTGGCAACCAAGCGAGAGACAAATCCTTGCACGTCCACCCCTCCTCACGCGCGTCGCAGGTCAACTCCCAGGACGACAACGGGGTGGTGGAGGGCTGCTGGGTGGACAACTACACGGGCGGAGTCGCCCCCACGGCGTGGAACGGCAGCGCGGAGATTCTGCTCGACTTCAAGATGTCGCGGCGGCCGGTGAAGTACGGCCAGTGCTGGGTGTTCGCCGGAGTCGCCACCAGCGGTGAGGATGAGACGATGATGAGGACGACGATGACGACAATGACGGCGATAATGATGACAATGACAATGACGTCGTCGTCAGCTGGGGGGACGGCTCAGTTGGCCGGCGCGAGGTTGAGAGTTCAAGCCGGGTTGCCAGTTGGTTGGCACAGGCCGATCGCGAGCACCGTCGTTGTCACCGCGGTCAGCACTGTCGTTGGAGTCGTCGTCGTCGCCATCATCATTTGCGACGTTGTCCCCCGTCGGTAACGGCGGCAGCGCCGTCATCGCCGCATCAGCGCGTGGGTGGTGCATTGGCCAGATGTCGAGCTGAGTGGACTTGCCGATGACCGGTACCAGCGGTGTCAAGATCGGCCTCTGTGAAGGATGCAAATGGGCAATTAAACTAAAACTATATTTTTATAAAAAATATATATTATACCAGGTAAGGCCCACTGAGTTGTATAGCTATTTTTCAAAAGCAACCTGGCCGTAAATAATAGCTCAATGAAGTGGCTTATTACGTGGAAATTTATAGCAGCCAAATACTCTAAACGCGTGTTGATTCTAAATGTGGAGGCCAAAACCGGAGGACCTGGAGAAAATTCCACGCGTCCATGGGGAGAACTTGCAAACCCCAAATATGCAGCAGGCGTCAGGGTCGGGATTGAACCCACGATCTCTTGTATACCAGGCGAGCTAGTTAACATCTCGCCACCGTGGAGCCAGTTGGAGGCAGCCACCCTCCAACAGCAAAGGAGGGCAGAGGAGCGACGCTCACAACAATGAGCGGAGCGCCGGGAGGCTAAAACGCAGCGAGGTGGTGCATCTGCCAGTCAACCCGTAACACCTGGGTGTGTCCCGTGATATCCTTCCAGCGAACCTTCCTCACTTCACGTAACTTCAAAAACGAAACTGTGTCTGGCACAAGTCACTCGGTGGCAGCAGCAGCTGTTGCTGTTGTTGTTGTCGTTGTGTTGCGACGGTGCAGTGCTGCGCTGCCTGGGCATCCCGAGCCGCCCGGTCACCAACTACTGCTCGGCCCACGACCGCGACGCCAGCATGTCGTACGACGTCTACCTGGACGAGAGCCTGGCGCCCCGGGACGACCTCAACAAGGACTCCATCTGGTACGAGCGTCTGTGGCGCCCGTGTGCCTGAGTGCGTGCGTACGAATGCAGGCTTCCTTACGTGCGTGCATGTGTTTTCTGCGTTAGGAGTCACAGTAGTGAGTGCTGTGCTCGGTTAAGATCCTGCTCATTGGTGGGGAATTTCTGAATTGGTCCAGGGCCGCTCTTAAGATGATTTGCCCCGGTGGAGAGACAAAGTTTGCCGAGCCTGGTATTGGCCGCGCCTTCCCCCCCTCGTGCACCGTGCTGGCGTTTGCCGTAACGCATGGCACACCGAGAGTCATCAACCCCGCGACCTGAGTTTTATTCCGTTAACCCGGACTGACCGGCGCGATGAAGTATGGCCAAACCGCCCCCCCACCTCCAAACCCCACCAACGTACCCCTCCTTCGCCCCGCCGCAGGAACTACCACGTGTGGAGCGAGTGCTGGATGGCGAGGCCCGACCTGCCGCTCGGCTACGGCGGATGGCAGATCGTGGACGCCACCCCGCAGGAGAACAGCGAAGGTGACGTCGAGGCTGCGCTCTGTGCAACAAACGCGGGACGGTGCGGGTTTCCACTCCAAGCCCCCAACCAGCCGTGGTGGAAATCCAACATCGTAATAGCGAGGACGGGTCTCTTCCTTGAGCTTATCTGATTCATTACGCGGATGGTCCCGCCTAGCCAGTAGCTCGCGCTATTTAAAACACGGGAGATTCGTGGTGCGTGAGCACAGTTGGCAGCAACAAAACAACGTCGATATTTGGGTGATGTCCTCCGTCAATTTTCCCGCGGGTGAAGGCTGGTTCCCAGCTCTCCGCGCTGGCATGCGTTTGCGTGCGACTCGACCTTAAATGTACAAGCAGCGCCACTCGCGAGACAAGGGCGGGCCGGGCGTGGTGCTGGACACTCACCCCTTTCGTGTTCCACCGTGCCGGCCTTCGTCAGTGCCACTGCTACTCGCGAACGGCACTTTGCCCCCGACAGTCCGTTAACGGCGACGTGGCGGAGTGGGGGATCTTTGCCTTTGTCTCCCGCAGGGATCTTCCGCTGTGGACCATCCCCCGTGAACGCGGTGAAGAGCGGCATCGTGTACCTGCCCTACGACACCAAGTTCGTGTTTGCGGAGGTGAGTGGCCCTCCGGTCCGCGCCGCGTGCCGCCCCTCCGCCTCGCAGCTCCAGGGCGCTCCCGCTGCAGACGGACACCGCGCTCTGTTAAAATAATAATATTAATCGTTATTAAATAAAGCAAACATTTAAATCTGATCGTTTTACGCCAGTGAAGCTAAATTCACAACCACATCGCTTTAACTCATGTAGGCTTTTGCGACCAATGATTTTCATAAAAATATTTTTTTTTTGGGTTAGATCGCATGAATACAAACGTGTCGTTAAACTCGCCACCACGCAACACAGCCAATTGGTAAGGTTTGTCACGTAAACAAAACGTGCCACTTTGTTAATACTTCAGCACACCGATGTGTTGCAGAGTAAACCCACACCGTTTGAAATTTGAGTATGACATTTCACTGGCGATTACAACCAGCCTCATCAGACGACAGCTAGAATTGTGAATAAGTCTTCCTGTTTCCGGTATTTGTTCGCCATTATCTGTTGTTGCTCTGGAGACTGCGAGGTCGATGGTCGATGTTCGGTAGCCACGTTGATGGCATTCGTCTGTTAACAGAGTGGGCTGTGTGAAGGTTGCTATCATCCACTCCAAGCTCATGATCCACCCTAAACTGCATCCGCTGCACAAACCATGGCAGATGCGGATACCGGATGCACAAACGGAAAAGTATAAACTCTCTAGGAGTGTGCGACTGTGGTCATCCAAAACAGACCTTACAACGTATAACGATGCAATGCCCGAACCACAGTAACACGAAGGAGACATCACAGCGATACACAACTCCGCTACTCTTGACGCGGTTGTCTGGCTTGACCACGTGAATGTAAAATTGTAGTTGTTACTCCACATGAAAGAAAAAGAGATTTTCTGTTTATTTGTCTAGATGCAGATCTTCCAACGCCTGTGCAAATCGCTCCTGCTGTCAAGTGGCACTTCACTGTGCACAGCAGTGGTGGGCAACTGGCCACCAGCACACGGTGGCCTGGTCTAGGCGTGTCTAGGGCAGGCGTCGGCAACCTGCGGCTCCGGAGCCGCGTGCGGCTCTTGTATTCACCCACAGTGCATTGCGGGTCTTGTTGAGTTTATTTTTTACCGAATTCAACAAAGACGGCTCTTCTTGTTATCTCGGTTGCCGACCGCTGGTTTAGGGCGATGCGTGGGGTCACGATTAGTGCACAGGCGACGATGTGAAGCCTGCGGCCCACTGAGGTGGAGGAGGAGGGCCACTGGTGTGGCCCTCTGACTCTCTGGGTTGCCCATCGCTGGTCTGCAGGGTTCCTGCAACAGAGTATCAAACAACGACGCCAATAATGCGGCATTGCAACACGCGAATGTGGTTTTGATTATTATTATGAAGCTTGTTTACTGAGGGAAAACCTCACTGAGCCTCATGCATCCTTCTCAGAAGGGTTCTGCCAAGCTTCACAGCATGGGCAGGGGTAGCGATGGTTGCTGCGTACACTATATACGAACTGAGTAGCTTGCGGTGTAATGTTAGACAAATGTGGACCATGATGCCAGGCACAGCGGACTGCTCTTGTGAATGTTGTCACGGGGATCTTTAGCGTCCGCTGCGAAGCAGAAGGCGCGTTGTATTGTTTTTTTACGGTTTGAACACCTGCGGCGTTTAATCACGGCGGCCGCCGGATCCGAACCGCGAAATTCCAAAATTTGAGCCTGGCCTCATCGTCCTTGAGGTCGACTCAGCCTAAAATGAGCATCGGGTGCGGTGTGCTCGTGAGCATGACGGCTGTACAAAGGGCTGACAGCTTCGCAGCGCGGGGTGCACTAATAAGCGACCGTGCCACCACTCCGCTCCGCGTTGTGAATCTTCGCGCTCCCGCGATCGTTCCCACGATCGTCGTTTTCGCTCGGCTGCGTACGCCGCAGGTGAACAGCGACAAGGTGTACTGGAAGGTGGGGCTGGACGGGGAGCTGTCGCCCGTGGACGTGGAGCGGAGGGCGGTTGGCCACTGCATCAGCACCAAGGCCATCGGCTCAGACAACCGCGAAGACATCACTCACGCGTACAAGTACCCGGAGGGTGAGCGCCAGTGCCCGGGGGGGGGGGGGGGGGTAAATACATGTTGTGATTGTGAGCAGGTAGGGGGGTGTGTGTGAGCGTGTGTGACCGTGCCAGCCTTCATAGGTGTTCGCTAACAGTACTTGCCCCAACGGTCCGTTCAGGCTATGAGGGAGATCTTTGTCTTTATGCAGTGGTGCAGGGATTAGCACGCCTCAAATTAGTCCCTGGTGTGGTGTGTTAACATCGCCACTGGGGAAACAAAGGCGGCCGGGCGTGGTGTTGGCGGCCTTCTCCCTTATGTGCCGTGCCGGCCTTCATAGGTGCTCGTTAGCAGCACTTCCCCTAACAGTCTGTTGAAGGCTATGCGGGCGGTCTTTGTGAGCGTGCACTGTTTATTGGGGGTGGCATTACAACGGCTAGCGCACTGCGCTTCGAACTCTCAGAATAGCCCCACGAATGATTGACCGTTTGAACGAATGGTCGAATGGACACACAAACGAATGTTGAACGAACAAACGAATGCACACCGCGTGTGCGTGCGTAGGCTCGGATGAAGAGCGCGTCTCGGTGGAGATGGCCTGCAGGTACGGCACCAAGCCCAGCCTGCTGGCGGAGGCGCTGGGCTCGCGGCCCAACCACGACGTCGTCCTCGAGGTGACGGCGCCGCTGGACGGCGCCCTCACCATGGGCCGCGACGTGGCGCTGGGCGTCCGGCTCAAGAACCACAGCGTGGACGGCGAGGAGCGCCACGTCTCCCTGCTGCTGCACTGCGACGCCCTCTTCTACACGGGCGTCGTGCGCACCGCCGTCAAGCGGCAGAGATTCGACTTGGACCTCCCGCCGGGCGCCGGTAGCGAACGGACACATGGACAGACGGGCGGAGGGATGGATAGACACATGGACACGTGGAGAGAGCTCAATCCCAGACAGCTGTGGCTGCAATTACTTAAATTAAGCTCTGGATTCGCTCCTATTTTTTTCATGTATTGGAAGCCCATAAACTTTAGCCTGACTTTGCTGATTTGACATTGTGTGTCGGATCTGGTCCAGAGTTTGCTGGCATTGAACCAATGCCGCTGATGCACTCCCAGAAGGCCGTGGGGCCGGTAAGTTGTGTCAAAAATACTTTAACGTTGTATTCACGTGGAGAGGACATGTGAAAGCGATGTAGCATCTGCATCTCGATATGAATCATGTGTAACATTGATCATTAGCTGCGTATCGATAATTCAATGTTCACGTGTCGTGTTTTTGAGGGACAGCTGCTGTGTGGTGTTACCTCGGTGTGGTCTGGGAATGTTTTGTCGTTATTGCTGCCTTGCCCCATCTTGATAAATCGGACTTATGAAATGAATTAATTTATTATGCATTTATATTTAGTGAGTTGCTTTATCAGTTTTTCAACTTGTTTGCCCTGTTATTGTGTTTTTGTTTGGTTTGCTGTTGTAACTTTCTGACCCGCCCATACTGGACATCTGTGAAAAAAGATCTTAATAGCTCATGGGATTCCTCCAGTCTAAATAAAGATTTTGATCTGAGTAATAATAACGTCATTATCATCATCATCATCTCTACATTGTCAGCCTTTCACTTTGTTTGCTTACGCCAACTCCCCGCCCTCCCGCACCCCCCCCCCCCGCCACTCCTGCGGCCCAGAGCACCAGGTGGTGCTGCAGGTGCGTCGGGGCGAGTACCTGGGCATGCTGGTGGACCAGGGTGGCCTGATGCTCACGGCCACCGGGCGAGTGCTCGAGACGAGCCAGCCGCTCGTCGCGCAGCGAGCCTTCCACCTCACGCTGGCGCCGCTCCGCATCACCGTGAGTCCCTCCCTCTCGCCCGCCGGCTTCGTAGCATGGCGCACTAACCACTGTGCCACCAGCTCCTCCTTATCACCACCACCATCATGATTATCACCATCATCACCACCAGCTTCAGAGCCACCACCAGCACGACCACACGTGGCTCCACATCATCAAGCAGAGGGCATGCGACTTGTACCTGTATGTGTGTGTGTGAGCTTGTCTTGTGTATGTTGTTGTATATGCCGGGTCTTGAAAATTTAATAAATGTGAAATTCTCTCCCCTCTCTCCGCGTCTCTTGCGAGAGAGAAACAAAACAGATGCCCTCTGTCACCGTCCTACTCCCGTGGCAGCAGCCGCCTGGTTGCCCCCCCCCCCCCCCCTTTTTGACCTTTGGCTGTTTTCGATCACCATGTTTATGTTTTTGTTTGCATTCCTCCCTTCGTGGTGTCTGCTAAATTGAGGGGAGGCACTCCCCCTTCATACGTATTTATTACTATCACGTGTTGTGTCACATTGTTGGAAGACAAAGGCGGCCAGGGAGGCTCTGATTCATGGAATATATATTATCTGGTCTTGTGTGTTTGACCTATTTTCTTGTATCTCTTATGAGTTACCCCCGGTCAAATATCTCGTGGTTATTATTTGGTTTATGTTTAACCAAGATTCGTAATGCCCGTCGTTGTTACCACCGGTATTTCAAGGGTTTTATTAACTTTTGCTCCCTGTCTGTATCCAGGGATCCGTGCTTTTTATTCTCGAGGTCAGAGATATAGCTTAGTTTGGACTTAAGCTTTCGTGATTGCAGGAACTCATGTACTTTGGTTCTGTTGGTAAGTCACGTAGATAGAAAGATACAATAAGAAATAAAATAAGGAATACTGCAGTCTATAATGTCGACTTATTCTTATAGCCAAGCTTAAACTTTTTCCATATAAAAATATATATCAGTTATAATGTCCGTTTGCCCCGTGTCCGTGCCTGTGATTCTGGATATTTGTTTGTGAGCTATCCAAAACGTCATCACATGTGGTCCTTTGACAATCTGGAGATTTTCAGATGGTCGTTAACCTCCCTTTGCCCCGGAGTTTATTATTTAATCTCTCTTCATGGCCTCCTCCCTCGAGATGCTGTTAATGCGGCAAGGCAGCTGGGTGTGAAGGGTGGGGTGTGCCTCACCCTTTCATGCCCCATGCTCGCCCCGATCAATAAAAAAATGGCAGAATTATTCTTAATATTATTTTTTGGAAAAAGGCCTATATATACAACAATGTATCTGTCTCGTCTGTGCGTGTGTGTCTGTCTCGTCTGTGTGTGTGTCTCGTCTGTGTGTTTGTGTGTCTCTCTCGTCTCTGTGTGTGTGTCTGTCTCGTCCGTGTGTGTGTCGTCTGTGCGTGTGTGTGTCTCGTCTGTGTGTGTGTGTCTGTGTCGTCTGTGTGTGTGTGTGTCTCGTCTGTGTGTGTGTGTCTGTGTCGTCTGTGTGTGTGTCTCCTCTGTGTGTGTGTCTGTCTCTGTGTGTGTGTGTCTCGTCTGTGCGTGTGTGTGTCTGTCTCGTCTGTGCGTGTGTGTGTCTCATCTATGCGTGTGTGTGTCGTCTGTGCATGTGTGTGTGTGTCTGTCTCGTCTGTGCGTGTGTGTGTGTGTGTCTGTCTGTCTCGTCTGTGCGTGTGTGCGTGTGTCTGTCTCGTCTGTGTGTCTGTCTCTGTGCGTGTGTGTCTCGTCTGTGTGTGTCTGTCTCTGTGCGTGTGTGTGTGTGTCTCGTCTGTGTGTGTCTGTCTCTGTGCGTGTGTGTCTCGTCTGTGTGTGCGTGTGTCTCGTCTGTGTGTGTGTGTCTGTCTCTGTGTGTGTGTCTGTCTCTGTGCGTGTGTGCGTGTGTGTGTCTCGTCTGTGTGTGTGTGTCTCGTCTGTGTGTCTTTCTCTGTGTGTGTGTCTGTCTCTGTGTGTGTGTGTCTCGTCTGTGTGTGTCTGTCTGTGTGTGTGTGTGTGTTTCGTCTGTGTGTGTCTGTCTCTGTGTGTCTCGTCTGTGTGTCTGTCTCTGTGTGTGTGTCTCGTCTGTGTGTCTGTCTCTGTGTGTGTGTCTCGTCTGTGTGTGTCTGTCTCTGTGTGTGTGTCTCGTCTGTGTGTGCGTGTGGCTGTCTGTCGGGCTGCCGCCTCCCTCCGAGCAGGTGCTGGGCGAGGTGCGGAGCGGCTGGGACTTCATGGCTGAGGTCAGCTTCACGAACCCGCTGCCCACAGTGCTGCAAGGGGTCACCTTCCGGCTGGAGGCCACTGGGCTGCAGCAGAACAAGGTCATCCGCCACGGGTGAGATTGTCCGCGAGTCGGCGATGGCGCCCGCCTCGGGTGGTAACCTCCGTCGCCGCAGGCACCGCGCTCTGTTTAAAATTAGAAAAAAAATGTTCATATACACAAGAACGTAGGCCCGTCGCAGAACGTTATGGTGAAAAAAAAAAAACGCTGGGCCCATGTACCCATGTACCCATGTACCGGACACGCTCTCATTTGATGGAGGGGGGCCGAGCGGTGAAAGTCAACTCGGGAAAGAGGGGGGGGGAGAGAATCTATAACAGAGGTTTTTGGGTTAGATCGCGTAAATATATAAATATGTCGTTAAAACCCGCCACCACCCGACACGGCCAACTAGTAAGGGTTGTCACGTAATCAGTTCGTCACTAATACAGGAGAGCCAAGCCACAACATTTACAAACTGAGTACGACGTTTCGCCAATAATTACAACTAGCTTCACCAGGCGACAGCCAGATTTGTGGAGAAATCCTCCTGTTTCGTGCCTTATATAGAGGCGTAGATGTGGTGACCTGCGCTCTTGCACAATGTGGCGGGTGGGGTTACTGAGGCAACGTACATTATGCACGTGCATTATGCAAGCCCTTTGAACCCATCTAACCCAAAACACCTCTATTATGGGTGATATGGGTCGCAAAAGCCTACATGTTAAACAGGGAGATAATCTATTGCCTCGTTTACGTCGAAAAATTGCTCCGGTAGAATATTAGTTTTTTGTGTTGTAATGTAGGGGGAGGGAAGGGGGTGGTTGTGTCGGAGAGGGAAAAGGGGGGGCTGGACCCCTCCCGCGCTCCATTTTTTAATTTATTTTTAAAAAGAATCTGCTCGTATTGACCCTATAAAGCAAAATCCACAACCGCATCGCTTTGCTCGGCCATCATCTGTTCATTTGTTCGATGTAGATCCCGCACCGTTCCTGTAAAGTGCCCGTGCTGCAGAGAGTACTCATGTAAAGCAGCACTTGACCACGTACAGGCTTCCTGTAACGTCGTGTGAAGTAACCACGCCAATAATGACATGGCATTACAACACAGGAATGAGGCTTTGATTATTATTCTTATTAATATCACGCTTGTTTAGCCAGGGAAAATTTCACAGAGTGTCATGTCTCTTTATCAGAAAGGTCATCACCAAGCTTCGCGCGCTTTCAGACGTGCTTCTGCGGACGTCTGGAACGCTCTTCCTTCCGATATTAGGAAGCCACTGGAGCTATGCACTTTTAACTCAGCTACATTGAAAACGAATTTCTTTAGAATAACTTCTTGTGGTTAGTTTGTTGTCCTTCCCCCCGTACCTCCGCCTAGCACATTTGGCTACGTACGGAGCGAAGTAAGTTCACCATACGTACGTACGCGGGTGCGACGGTTGCTTCGTACAAGCCGAGTCGTTTTGCGGCGTAACGTTTGCAATTTTTGGCAAAAGTGGACTACGACGGCAGGCACACGGTGGACTTGCTTTTGTGAATGTCGTCACGGGGATCTTGTAGCGTCCGCTGCGAAGCCGAACGTGCGCGCCGCGCTGTTTACGCTTCCCCGCGGGTTGTCGACGCGCCCGCCGCTGGCTTCGTCGTCGTTGTCATCGGCAGAAACGCCCTCCCGTCGGCGTCGTCTCTCCGCGCGTTTCATTTCCCGCGGTGTCTTCCTCCGAGCTCCGCTTGACCCCCCGCCCACCCCCCTGCCCTGCGCGTGGCCCTCACTCACTCACTCATTCACTCACCGCCGCTGTTTTCCAGCGACATCCGAGTGGGAGAGACGGTGACGGTGCGGGAGCGGCTCACGCCCACCCGCCCGGGACTCCGCAAGCTCGCGGGCAGCATGGTGTGCAGGCAACTCACCCAGGTGCTGGGCGACACCGACCTCAACGTGTACTGAGCTGCGAGGTCACGGTCAGGGTCAAGGGGATGCCGCAGCCGGTGCCGTCGACGCTGCCCACGGCCCGACTCTGCCACCTTGGGGTGCTGCTGTGGCTAGGAGATGTTAACTGCCCCGCCTGCTACTCAGGAGGTCGTGGGTTTGACCCTGATTCTGACGATGCCTGCTGCTGCTGTATATGTGGAGTCTGCGTCTCTCTCTCATCATCATCACTGTGGCTAGGAGATGTTAACTGCCCCGCCTGCTACTCAGAAGGTCGTGGGTTTGATCCCGAACTCGACGCCTGCTGTAGGGGTTTGCATGTCTCTCTCTTTTATTCCGGGTCTTCCGTTTTTTTCCCTTCCAAATTTAGAAACGTGCATTTAGAGTATTTGGCTGCTATAAATTTCCGCCTGATGATAAGCTACTTCGTTGAGCTATCATTTGTGGCCAGGTTGCTCCTGAAAAAGAGCTCACATAGCTCAGTGGGCCTTACCTGGTGAAATAAAAAGAGTTTTTAGATTAGTGTCTGATGTGTCGATTAATTGATGCTTCGTTACACCACAAACATATTAAACATCCTTCATATTCGTTTTTGTTTATATATACTATGTGCATTTTGAGAGGTCGGTAGGAGTATGTTCTACGAGTTTAGGTCAATATGAATGTTTCTTCATGCCTGTAGCCTGCTCACTCGCTCATCACTGCCGGCTGTGGGGCCACTCTAAGAGAGAGGGGGCACGGAGAGCTCCTGCCAGAGGACCATTTGGCCTGCTCTTCCACGCTGGGCCAGATGCCATAAATAAGCAGCCACCCACACTTTACCCCACCACACGCAACCTCCCAGTCGCCGGTGTGGTGAATCCCTTTACACTGCTGGGTGGACAGAGTCAGTGGGGTTTGAGGGGGTTCTAAAAACGCGTTTCAACTGCCGCGCCAGGAGGTCAAACCGGCGACCTCTGGATGGAAAATCCTCTGGATGGCAAATCCTCTGAATGGCAAATCTACTCGGACATCTGTGAAGAAAGAGCCATCATAGCTCATCGGATTCCTCTACGAAAAATTCTGATTCTGGAATCCGGTGGCGCTGACGGTTATCCCACTGTGGCAGCATCTCTTGGCAGAAGTGAGGACAAATGATCCCGCTTCCTCCGAGATGGAAAAGCCCAGCGGTGGACACACAGATGAGCGTACGGAGAAACTTCCCAGCTCGAAACTCGGCGGCAGGAGGCCCAGGATAAGCTGAGGGGTCTTATTTTTGGACAAGGGCCCTGTCTAAGAGCACCACTGCAACCCTCGGTCAATTCGGCAGGAAAATGGAATTACAGTGCAGGGGCACCGAAGCCGGTAGGCGCGCCTTCGAGACAGCGGCGGCACTGGGTGCTTTACGGAGTCTCAATGTCACCCGCACAGCCGACTGGTGTGACACGGTGACAGAGCCCCGTTGTAACGGCAGCCCCAAACACGCCTGCTTTGTGTCATGCTACTGCGAGGTTGTCCGTGTTGTTAAAAAAAAGCTTTCAGCTGTTCGTTGGTATCGATGGTGGTGGGAGATTTGTTTTAAACTCCGCCGCTGTGCCTGGTTACCACCAATAAAATAAAAATAAAATAATTATACACATGGCTAAGAGCCACCTACAAAGTGGTACATATTTTAACAAACCCAGAGCGATGATGGGGCTGAGTCAACTCTCGGCCAGGAATTGAAAGGGTAAACTTCTGACAACGAATCGTGTTCTCTCCTACAGTGGCACGTGGCTAGGTACGGGATGGGAATTGTGATGATTTTTCTAAATTAAATGACAATTATAATTTTTAAATGTCGCATACATAGTAACTTTACGCTGTTAAACGTAACCCATTACCCAGTGCATGTCACGTTACCAAGAGTAGGCCATTGTGCGCCAGCGTCACGCTCCGAATTTTGACGAAAAAAAATTACACCGCAAATTCCGACAATTGGAAACTTATTAGCAATTAGTGCCCCTCTACTGCGATCAATGAGTTTACGATCAATGAGTTTGGAAAGTTTTTTTTACATCGTTCAAGACTACCATATAGATTTAAAATGTATCGTAGTTATTTTATATTGACAGAGTCATACGTGATTATTCACCAATGATATAATTTCTCACATTTTTAAATCACCTCACGTACCCCCTGGGACATCGCAACGTACCTCCATGGAGTCCATGTACCCACGCCTGGTTGAAGAGCCACTGCCCTAGACGACGATTAACGAGAGGCACGGAGGGGCGAGACAAGGGAACGGCACAGCGGGGGAAGTGGGCGGGAATCTTGAAGGGAATGTGGAGGACGGAGGAGGAGATCGGTGAGCGGAGATCGTGGGGGTGGAGCAGAAGGAGCGGTGAAGAGGGGACAAAGGGGGCGAGGGGAAGTGCGTGCAGAGTCTGTTGGACGCAGCGTGTGTTTGTTTACCTGCCGTGCGACCTGCTGTTGTGTCAAGCTGTGGCTCGCCAATAAACAGACCGGCCACACGTGCTCTACACGAACGTTCACTTTGAGGATCTACATTTGACAAATAAACAGATAATGGCGAACAAATCGATGTGGTTGTGGATATTCATTGACGGTGGGGCTTGGCTCGATTAGTCAAGTAAGTAATTTCATTAACCAGAAATTGTAATCAACTACCCTTTTTGTTGTTGGTTGCTCTGACCCTTTAAAAGAAACAATTTTTATACAACCAGGTAAGGCCCACTGAGCTGTATAGCTCTTTATCAGAGGCGACCTGACCACAAATGATAGCCCAACAAAGTGGCTTTTCGCTTGGAAATTTAGAGCAGCCAAATACTCTAAACACGTGACGTTGATTCGAAATGGGGAGGGGAAAACCGAAGGACCCGGAGAACAATCCACGTGGCCATGGGGAGAGAGAGAGACACGCAAACTCCAAATATACATTGTTACTTAAAGCTTTCGTGACTGTAGGAATTCATACAGTGAGGGAAAAAAAGTATTTGATCCCCTGCTGATTTTGTACATTTGCCCACTGACAAAGAAATTATCAGTCTATAATTTTAATGGTAGGGTTTATTTGAACAGTGAGAGATAGAATAACAAAAAAATCCAGAAAAACGCATGTCAAAAATGTTATAAATTGATTTGCATTTTAATGAGGTAAATAGTATTGACCCCTCTGCAAAACATTACTTAGTACTTGGTGGCAAAACCGTTGTTGGCAATCAGAGGTCAGACGTTTCTTGTTGGCCACCAGGTTTGCACACAACTCAGGAGGGATTTTGTCCCACTCCTCTTTGCAGATCTTCTCCAAGTCATTAAGGTTTCGAGGCTGACGTTTGGCAACTCGAACCTTCAGCTCCCTCCACATATTTTCTATTGGATTAAGGTCTGGAGACTGGCTAGGCCACTCCAGGACCTTAATGTGCTTCTTCTTGAGCCACTCCTTTGTTGCCTTGGCTGTGTGTTTTGGGTCATTGTCATGCTGGAATACCCATCCACGACCCAATTTCAATGCCCTGGCTGAGGGAAGGAGGTTCTCACCCAATATTTGACGGTACATGGCCCCCTCCATCGTCCCTTTGATGCGGTAAAGTTGTCCTGTCCCCTTAGCAGAAAAAAACACCCCCAAAGCATAATGTTTCCACCTCCATGTTTGACGGTGGGGATGTTGTTCTTGGGGTCATAGGCAGCATTCCTCCTCCTCCAAACACGGCGAGTTGAGTTGATGCCAAAGAGCTCCATTTTGGTCTCATCTGAACACAACACTTTCACCCAGTTTTCCTCTGAATCATTCATATGTTCATTGGCAAACTTCAGAAGGGCATGTATATGTACTTTCTTGAGCAGAGGGATCTTACGGGCGCTGCAGGATTTCAGTCCTTCACGGCGTAGTGTGTTACCAATTGTTTTCTTGGTGATTATGGTCCCAGCTGCCTTGAGATAATTGACAAGATCATCCCGTGTAGTTCTGGGCTGATTCCTCACCGTTCTCATGATGATTGCAACTCCACGAGGCGAGATCTTGCATGGAGCTCCAGGCCGAGGGAGATTGACAGTTCTTTTGTGTTTCTTCCATTTACGAATAATCGCACCAACTGTTGTCACTTTCTCACCAAGCTGCTTGGCAATGATCTTGTAGCCCATTCCAGCCTTGTGTAGGTCTACAATCTTGTCCCTGACATCCTTGGAGAGCTCTTTGGTCTTGGCCATGGTGGAGAGTTTGGAATCTGATTGATTGCTTCTGTGGACAGGTGCCTTTTATACAGGTAACAAGCTGAGATTAGGAGCACTCCCTTTAAGAGTGTGCTCCTAATCTCAGCTCGTTACCTGTATAAAAGACACCTGGGAGCCAGAAATCTTTCTGATTGAGAGGGGGTCAAATACTTATTTCCCTCATTAGAATGCAAATCAATTTATAACATTTTGACAAGCGTTTTTCTGGATTTTTGTTGTTATTCTGTCTCTCATTGTTCAAATAAACCTACCATTAAAATTATAGACTGATAATTTCTTTGTCAGTGGGCAAACGTACAAAATCAGCAGGGGATCAAATACTTTTTTCCCTCACTGTATTTTTTGGGTCTTTCGGTAATGTCACGTAGATAGGTTGAAATAAAATAAAGAAAAACTACGACGTTTCGATCACAACACAAGCGATCGTCCTGATAGACCCAAAGAAAATAAAAATATACAGTCGGCGTCAGCGTCGTGATCGAACCCACGACCTCCTGTATACCAGGTGAGGGAGTTAACATCTCGCCACCGCGGCACCCCAGGCATTGTCACACCCAGAGTGGCATTGTGCTGGTCAGGCCAACCTGTGGCAGAGACGTTGTTGAGGTGCCGCCCTTCGCTGGTGGCCGCGTTGCCCGGCCGTAATCCAACGTGAAGCCAGGCTTGAGCCAGGGGGAAGTTCTTTGCCTGGGCCACCACACGTGATTAGAAGAGGTGTTGTAGGCTGTGGGGGCAGTGTCGCGGTTAGCGCTACGCTGCTCTACAAACCTGGCGAGCAGAGTTCGGTTCCCGCTCACGTCCAACACCGGTGACGATTATCTGAACCGGTCCTGGGCCTTCCCCTAGGTCGACTTAGCCTCAAATGAGTACCTGGTGCAGATTTAACATCGCCACTGGGGAGATAAAGGCGGTCGAGCGTGGTGCTGGCCACCCACCCCCTCGTGTGCCGTTCTGGCCTTCATAGGTGCTGCTCGCTAACAGCGCTTGCCCCAACAGTTTGTTAAGGCGATACGGGGGATCTTTGTCATTGGGGGTTACACTGTGGGCAGCAAAGGGCAGTGCGGCAACATCCACGGCACTGCGCTTCCATGGCTCAACACGTCGATGCACCTTCAGCAACGTGCGCGGACCACCAGCGTGGGGACTTGTGGTCAGACCCTCACGGCGTGGGAGGAAACCTCAACTCGCGGTGGATGACTGTGGTGAGAAGGCTCCAGCAAGAGGTTGGGAAGTAATATCCTGGTTGAGGGTTTTGACTTTTTCCCATTGGTCTTTTCGTGGCCTGAAATGAGTTCCACTTTGGACGATGACAACAGTGCTTGATCCTGTGGAAAGACCACCAACCCCGTGCCCGTCATGGGAATGTGGAGTTTCCAACATTCACTTAGGGACATGAGCGGGGAGATGCTCCGACTTGATTTAAAGTACAATATTCCCGCTCGTTTTTTTTTGTTAAATAAAAATCGCGTGCTGTAAATTGATCTCAATCGGTAAAACCGACGTTGCCACAAATTGCCTTGGAATGCAATCTTGTAAAGCTAGTACATCAACCAAAACATCTGTAGTGCCCCCTTAAATGTCCTGGTCCCTGATGACAGAACATGAACAAAACAACACGGACTTTGTGGCAGTCGGAGTGATAGTTTTGGGGGCAGGTTGTTTAATTGGAGAGAAGCGAGGGACTCGCGCGGGTGGCTTTGTGTGTGGCTGCAGGTGTGTGGGGTTGGATTGGCTCGTGGGCACGCCGTGCTCATCAAGTGGGGGAACTCAATCAAAGGGCCCGCCGCGAGGAACCAAGGGGGAGGGGTGGGGGATTTCATTCCGCGACTGATCCTGTTCAAGGTGGCTGGGGGGGCTGATCCGTTTCGGTGGTGTTTGGAGCGTTTTGTTTGGTCTGTTCCAGAGCCGGGTGATGCTTCGTGCGTTCCTTCGGGGGTTTGCTCCGCAGTTCTCCCACCAGCGTGGTGGTGACGTCTGTGAAGCCGCGGTTGTCGGGTTGTGTTGGTTGTTGTGTTGTTGCGAGGGTCATTTGAGTTGGTATGGTGGCTTGTGATGTATGCACTCCTCCGGAGAAGTAGTAGGCCTGTTGCCCTTTAACAATGTAAGATTTGTGTCGAGATTAATTTCTAAGTAGACCGATACATCTGGAATATACCGGCAGTGGTCTTGGTTACCTTCTGCACACAGTCATTTGGGGCGTCGTGTAAAATAGGGGCCCCACCACAATTGATAAAAGTGGTGCTAGCTAGGGTTTCGGGTGACCGAAACCCGCTGAAGATTGTATCAAAAGGACGCACCCTTGCATACTTGTATAATTCGTAGTAATAATAATGAATAACAATAAATCAATATTTAATGTCGGCAGCTTGGCCCAAAATAATCTGCAGCCATAGATTCGTCCGCAAGAGGGCGTCACGTGCCCGTGAAGTGGAAACCGCAGGGCCAGGCGCGAGCCAGTGTTGGAGTCATTGTGCTGAGCTAGCGTCCCATATCTAACGGAGCGGGTTCCTGCCAATTGGCAGTTCACCAGTGTCGGTTCAAGAGAGCCTGACTGCCGATGAGATAACATTTGAGTGTCAAAGTCTGTCTCCAGGTAATTGCTTGCGTTGAACCGATGCCGCTGGTGAGATGCGCTCTCGGAAGGTCGTGCGGCTGACGTGACGAGTCGAGCCACTCACATTGTTCACGTGGAGAGGCGGCGATGCGTAGATTGTCGTTCTTGCTCTGTTATTTCGTTAGTTGCAAGGCAGCGGCTGTAGCTGTGCGTTTGTCCGCAAGAGGGCATTACGTGATTTGTGTAGATCCAAACAGTGCACCGATAGCCACCTCAACCCCAGTGCCGGATTAAGCTAATGCGGGGCCTGTAGCATGTTATAAAAATAAAACCCACAGACCCGAGTGAGACCCGGAGGCCACTGAGTTCCATAGACTGAGAGATCCACACACACTAAATTACTCCGTCTGTACATTCCCATGGACTCACACAGAGATATATACTGTACTAGTAAAAACAGACCCACTGACTCGTACAGCCTCTCATACCAGTCCCAGACTCGGATGCCCATAGATTCGTAAAAAGAGCCATAGACTTAAGACATCCATCGGGCATAAGTGTCACTCGCTCAAATGCATTAACTCGTAAAGAGACAAAGACTCGGGGATATCCTAAAATACTCGGATCTTTAATTGTAAGTTGTCTTTTTTAAGTGTGAATTTAAATACACAATTCAAATTGTAATACATAAAACTATCGTCGGCTTTTCCACTTAAACACAAATGGGCACAAAAACGCTTCAACATTGCATTTACTTGGAGAACTGAGTTGTGCTCAAGTAATGCCGAGCTAGAAAGTACAATTTGCATGCAAAACAAGTTTTACTTTCTCATCCCCTATGGGACATGAAGCATCAATGAGCTCTCTCCATCTTTCCTGTCTATGGCTGCATGCTGTGACTCTCTCCACGAGAGGTTCATCTGACCAAGCTCTTTGGTGACGGTTCTTTGCTAGGTGGTTTTTGGCCTCCCCGGGTTTCTTTTTGCCCGAAGGCGTCCATCTCAGGTACATTTTAGGGATGTGGTTCTGTTCTATTCTTAGGACATGGCCCGGCCATCGCAGTCTTCGTTGTTTTATCTCCTTTGTGATTTTCCAGCTTCGGATTCTCGAGTACAAATGATTGAAAATTTTCTTTGGCCAAAATATATGGCAAATGAGGCATCCATTGTTGAAGGCTTTTAAGATTGCACTAAAATCCACAAAGTTGATGAATAAAGGTGTGTTTCATTCTAAGCACTGGCTCTCATTCCAGTAAGGATCTGGCTTTCTCCTTAAGGGAGTGCCATGGTAGCACGATGTATAGGAGTTCTCATGCCCTGACTACAGCACCACCAATCTGTCATTCATCACAAGACGGTCCAGAGCCGGTCCAGCGACGTTCACTTATCCCCAGGATATCGAGATTGCGCCTCTTCATCTCGCCGAGGACTTCCGCGGTCTTGGAGGTCTCGTACATTGTTCTGACATTCCATGTGCCAAGGTGGATCTTGGTTTTAGGCTCCAATAGGCCCTCTTTCACACTCCCGGTTTCTGGTTGGCTTTCATCAGGAGTGATCATAATAGTAGTGATCATACTGCCACTCGAGAGGCTCGAATGGCAGTATGATCACTCAAGTCTACTAAGGGCCTGATGTCAATCGTTTCGTTCATTGTCATTTCTGCAACATTCAGTTTTTTTTTACGGGGTGACGTTGTTAGCGCCACGCCCAACCTCCAGCCTGGAGGGCCAGTGTGCTGGCTTTCATCTGGCCTCTCGCCTGAAACCAATCCGGTTAAACCTGCCAGGAGCCCGAAGCTCCCACCGACATCGCTCTCCGGGGCTTTGGGGCACACAAGCCTCTCCACCACAACAAGGTCCACAGCCATGTATTCATAATTCCGTATGTGGTGTTGCACAAACTGGACTTTAGCCATGTAGTCATAATTCCGTATGTGGTGTTGCACAAACTGGACTTTAGCCATGTAGTCATAATTCCGTATGTGGTGTTGCACAAACTGGACTTTAGGTAGGAATTCAAACTTGAGGTATTTTACTTTCCTTGTGAAAATTTGACCAAACGAAAGTAAATTTAGTGTTCTATAACACTGTGATTGAATAAGCACGTTTGTAAAAAGATGTCCAATTGTGGTGGACGTTTGAAGCAATGTAGAAATCATTCCTTTGGCAAAACAAGTGACAATTCCTCCAGATAAGACGCCATCACTTTCATTCCATTCATGTAGTTTGAGCTTCAAAACACAGGTACAAACGACAAACGGAAAATCATTAGTATTACTTCCATGAAATTACGTCCTAAAAATATTCCAACATGTAATTGCAATATGCTAAATTGCACTTGGCCGCACCAGGATGGATAATAAAACACATTTTTAGGTAATCTAATCATTTACATACTATATACTTTTAAAGATGTGATGTAATATATAATGCATACTTGAACATCATATGTGTACGTGTAAAACATGCAAAAAAATATCAAAACGTGAGTAAAGGAGGAGGGGGGTTGGTGGGAGATGGTGGGAAAGGGTTATGAAGGAGAGGTAGGTGGGGGTAAGGGGGGGAGCTGCATCCCCTTGGACCGACGAACACAACTACAGGACTCTATAGAATGCAAACCAAAAGTACTTTATATTTTTTATCTGGCTGGGGTTTCCAATACCTTTCGGTCCGTGCATCTTAACCTGGGCTGCACGCTGCATGGGCATGTACGTACAACTAATTTGTTTAATCAAACCGATGTATTTATTAATATTATAAAATAAAAAAATACGATTTAGAACCAAAGGGGTGTAAGGCTGCAGAAAAGGATAAGAACCACGACTTTAAGCCAACCTTTCTGAAACACACGGACCACTGTCAAAATCCTCAAAACAAATGTTGTGGACCACCGCACACCAATAATACTTTAAAATTTTAACTGCAGGAGACCCCTTGAAAATTGCGGGTTTATCGTTTGCGGTTTGGACCTATCACGGACAACCTCTTTGTATACCAATTTAGCTTTCGTGTGGGTTGGTTTTGACCTTTCGCGGGTATCCTACGCCTGGAAGCACTGTACCACTGGCTGGTGCAGTGGTGCGGAGCGTTGTTTATCACTGGCTGGTGCCGTGGTACAGAGCGTTGTGTATCACTGGCTGGTGCCGTGGTGCGGAGCGTTGTGTATCACTGGCTGGTGCCGTGGTACAGAGCGTTGTGTATCACTGGCTGGTGCGGAGCGTTGCGTATCACTGGCTGGTGCCGTGGTGCGGAGCGTTGTGTATCACTGGCTGGTGCCGTGGTACAGAGCGTTGTTTATCACTGGCTGGTGCCGTGGTATGGAGCGTTGTTTATAACTGGCTGGTGCCGTGGTACAGAGCGCTGTGTACCACTGGCTGGTGCCGTGGTGCAGACCGTTGTGCACCACTGGCTGGTGCCGTGGTGCGGAGCGTTGTGCACCACTGGCTGGTGCCGTGGTGCGGAGCGTTGTGTATCACTGGCTGGTGCCGTGGTGCAGAGCGTTGTGTATCACTGGCTGGTGCCGTGGTGCGGAGCGTTGTGTATCACTGGCTGGTGCCGTGGTGCGGAGCGTTGTGTATCACTGGCTGGTGCCGTGAAGCGGAGCGTTGTGTATCACTGGCTGGTGCCGTGGTGCGGAGCGTTGTGTATCACTGGATGGTGCCGTGGTGCGGAGCGTTGTGCACCACTGGCTGGTGCCGTGGTACAGAGCGTTGTTTATCACTGGCTGGTGCCGTGGTATGGAGCGTTGTTTATAACTGGCTGGTGCCGTGGTACAGAGCGCTGTGTACCACTGGCTGGTGCCGTGGTGCAGACCGTTGTGCACCACTGGCTGGTGCCGTGGTGCGGAGCGTTGTGTATCACTGGCTGGTGCCGTGGTGCAGAGCGTTGTGTATCACTGGCTGGTGCCGTGGTGCGGAGCGTTGTGTATCACTGGCTGGTGCCGTGGTGCGGAGCGTTGTGTATCACTGGCTGGTGCCGTGGTGCGGAGCGTTGTGTATCACTGGCTGGTGCCGTGGTGCGGAGCGTTGTGCACCACTGGCTGGTGCCGTGGTGCGGAGCGTTGTGTATCACTGGCTGGTGCCGTGGTACAGAGCGTTGTGTATCACTGGCTGGTGCCGTGGTGCGGAGCGTTGTGTATCACTGGCTGGTGCCGTGGTACAGAGCGTTGTTTATCACTGGCTGGTGCCGTGGTGCGGAGCGTTGTGTATCACTGGCTGGTGCCGTGGTACAGAGCGTTGTGTATCACTGGCTGGTGCCGTGGTACATAGCGTTGTGTATCACTGGCTGGTGCCGTGGTACGGCGCGTTGTGTATCACTGGCTGGTGCGGAGCGTTGCGTATCACTGGCTGGTGCCGTGGTGCGGAGCGTTGTTTATCACTGGCTGGTGCCGTGGTACAGAGCGTTGTGTATCACTGGCTGGTGCCGTGGTGCGGAGCGTTGTGTATCACTGGCTGGTGCCGTGGTACAGAGCGTTGTGTATCACTGGCTGGTGCGGAGCGTTGCGTATCACTGGCTGGTGCCGTGGTGCGGAGCGTTGTTTATCACTGGCTGGTGCCGTGGTGCGGAGCGTTGTGTATCACTGGCTGGTGCCGTGGTACAGAGCGTTGTTTATCACTGGCTGGTGCCGTGGTATGGAGCGTTGTTTATAACTGGCTGGTGCCGTGGTACAGAGCGCTGTGTACCACTGGCTGGTGCCGTGGTGCAGACCGTTGTGCACCACTGGCTGGTGCCGTGGTGCGGAGCGTTGTGCACCACTGGCTGGTGCCGTGGTGCGGAGCGTTGTGTATCACTGGTTGGTGCCGTGGTGCAGAGCGTTGTGTATCACTGGCTGGTGCCGTGGTGCGGAGCGTTGTGTATCACTGGCTGGTGCCGTGGTGCGGAGCGTTGTGTATCACTGGCTGGTGCCATGAAGCGGAGCGTTGTGTATCACTGGCTGGTGCCGTGGTGCGGAGCGTTGTGTATCACTGGCTGGTGCCGTGGTGCGGAGCGTTGTGCACCACTGGCTGGTGCCGTGGTGCGGAGCGTTGTGTATCACTGGCTGGTGCCATGGTACAGAGCGTTGTGTATCACTGGCTGGTGCCGTGGTGCGGAGCGTTGTGTATCACTGGCTGGTGCCGTGGTACAGAGCGTTGTTTATCACTGGCTGGTGCCGTGGTGCGGAGCGTTGTGTATCACTGGCTGGTGCCGTGGTACAGAGCGTTGTGTATCACTGGCTGGTGCCGTGGTACAGAGCGTTGTGTATCACTGGCTGGTGCCGTGGTACAGAGCGTTGTGTATCACTGGCTGGTGCCGTGGTACGGAGCGTTGTGCACCACTGGCTGGTGCCGTGAAGCGGAGCGTTGTGCATCACTGGCTGGTGCCGTGGTGCGGAGTGTTGTGTATCACTGGCTGGTGCCGTGGTGCGGAGCGTTGTGGGGCAGGGTGAGGGATGCGAGACAGTCGGTGGCACGTCAACCTTTGCGTGCAAGCATCTCAAGGACAAAGTCTATCAACAGACTGTTGGGGCCAGTGCTGTTAGCGAGTAGCACCTATGAACGACGACACGGCACACAATGGGGTGGGTGGCCAGCACCACGCCCCGCCCCCTTTATCTCCCTAGTGGTGACATTTACACATCGCACCAGGTACTCATTTGGGGCTGAGTCGAGCTAGTGGAGGGCCACGACCGGTTCGGATAATTGTCACCGGTGTTGGGCATGAGCGCGAATCAAACTTGGGTCGCCAGGCTTGTAGCGCAGCGCTAACCATTGCACTACTGCTGCTAAGTGGCGGTGACATCACCGCAGCACCTGCACCAGGCCAGGTATCCCCCCCCACCCCCCCAGCAATATTCAAGGGTCTCCTGTACTCTCAGTCATCGTATCTGCAACAATTATGCCCACTAGAAGTTGGAAACCACTGCTTCGGAGAAAACAGCCAAAATAAATTAGTGGCGAGACCGCGTTGGCTTACAGATTGAACTTCTCATTCTGCGAGTGGGCACCGTCATCACATGCACCCAGTGAGAGTAGCAGCACATTAAGCGCAGTGTGGCGAGAGAAGGCAAGTGTCACGGGGATGCTGCACCCATCACGGATGAGGTTTGGCTCGACACCAAACACTGCATGCACGGCCACAAACAAAAAAAAACAAAACATCCATAAGAGGGTGATCACCTTTTCCACGGGCCAAAAATTGGACATGCAGTATTTCTCAGTCAGCCTAAGCGCTATCGAAAACTGCGCATGACACCGCAATGAAGTTCAACACAATACCACCAGAGATCTCTGTACACATCAATTTCTGCCACATGAACACAGCCGCCTAACTCCAGGACTGTCCACCAGTTCAAACTAAGACAACAGATGGCAACCCTATCTACATGGGAATTAGAAGAAAAAAAAATCACAAATGCAGCAATATATATGCTTTTTCATCATCTGCAAAGACTGGGCACAAGGCATACAGTATTCTGTTAACGATATAAAATAAAAACGTGGATTTCAGAACAAATACAGATTAGAGACATCCTATTGACTTGTTGAAGAAATTCAGTGGCAATGGGGTACAATGTTAGAATGTATGATGGGCAATGGCCAAGAGTAATGACAGAATGGGAACTAAAATAAGGGAACAAGTTTGAGAGGATGACTGCTGCGGAGATGAAGTAATTTAGTCAACGTGTGTGCAGAAGGTTGATTAATTATTGCATCGTGAGACTGCAAAGAATGGCGATGACTTAGGAGAGTCATCCGGCAGTAAACGACACATGGCTAATGATGATATGTTACGATAAATGCCGGATATTCATACAGATGTACATACCTACAAACAATTGTGGCAATGCCTCGCACGAGTGTGTCAATATTCAGTGACCAGGGGGCACTGTCCGTGGAATGCGCACGCGCGCAGTTTGTGTGCGTGGCATACCCCTCCGCATGGCATTGCGTCCAGCGGTGTAGTTGGGGTGGGTGGAGTCGGCCACCCAAGCCTGCGATCCCACGGGCATGGTGATCCGGAAGCGATTAGGACTTCGCAGCTCAGAAAATGTCTGTGCAACATAATCTTTCACCTGTTACAATGAAAGGATACACACAATTACACGCAATTACAACACCAACAACAACAAGTGGCGCACTGTACAAAATACTGTTATAATCTCAAAAACTCTGGAACCTCCATTCACCCTCGGCACTCACTAAATATATCCCTTTCTCTCAGGTGTGAATATTTACATTGATTTTGGCTATTAGCAGGGAGATCAATAACCACGTCAGTTTAAAATAGCACAATAACTTTACATCTATGTGTCTAAAATTTCTATGTTATCTTAAAACCAAAAATTCACTTACGCTTTCTGCCCTGTTCAAATGTGAAGTCTCAGCCGCGCTGATGTCTCCTCCCTGGCAATGTTGTGTCTATCTGAACTGATCTCGACACAGGTAACACAGATAGGTCAAACCTTTCCCCCCACCACCACTGTGCCACCTTCATGGTGTCAGCCCGTATGGACATTGCAGACATCAAAGTACTTATCATACTGTACAACATTTTGGTACAAACAAAGTGTAAACCAGTTTGCGAACATTTAAGCAATCAACATCAGAACTACAAACGTGAACTTGCATTGAACCCCGTGGTACAGATTTAGATCACCGTATCGTTACAACTATGCGCCCACGAGTTCACTAATGTGTGTGAAGTATGGTCAGATGTCCCCGATAACCTGCATGGCGTAGGTAGGCTCTCATTCAGCAGTGGATCGACAGAGGGCTGTACATGTACAAGTCTTCGCCATTATCCGACCAGGTTTGCAGTACAGTTGATCATCGATAACACTGTGTAACAAAAAATTGCTTTTGTTCCTGGATAGTAAGTGTTATTTCCTAATTGCTTATGCCCCAAAAGTATAGTAAATGGATATTATTCCCCACAAACTTTGCTTTTGTGACCAGGACAGTGATATTTTGAAGTGTACCTATTTTCAATGAGAACACGTGGTGTGCATTTGTGTCATTCCTTCACATAAAGTCCTCGTCACAAAAGCAAAGTTTGTGGGGAATAATAGCAATTTACTGTACTTTTGAGGCATAAGCAATTAAAAAATAACACTTACTACCCAGGAACAAAAATAATTATCCGATGCACGATTATCCGGCTTCCAACATATTCCGGCGAAACGGTCAAAACCGCTCTAAAGGCTGTAAACAGTCCAGCGATCGGCTCCATGTAGCGTACCTAAAAAGGTCGCTATGCTTAATTTCAGTGCCAAATATTATATACAGTACATTATACGCTGCATATAACTTAAACAATGCCAATGCTGCACGTATGTACATTTTTCATGACTACTAACTGCAGTAATAAAAACAGAAAAGATACAGTGCCATCCGGCGATAAGTGTGCATGTTCTTCGGCGTACGTGGTCTAAAGGCTACATCATTGGTCCGGAGATCGTCAAACACTACGTACATTACCCCATGCAGAGTCTTCGAGATTGAAGTCGTAAGTACGGAACAGTAAATACAATAAATGTTTACAATAGGAAATACATTTTTGTCTATTTGAATGTTTATATATGCCAATTTTATATCGTAAACAAATGTAAAATACTAAAAAGCATATACACAATAGACAAAACGTGTTATTCAAGAATGTGCAAAAATAAGCTATTTTAAATAATGATGTAGTGATTGTCCGGCGTTTTTGAAAATCCGGTACCCCCTTCCCTCCCCCCAAAGCCACCAGTTAATCAATCACCTACTGTATTTACTTTAAAGTTATTTCCATCGTACAAAACTAAGGAAGAGGTAAAACATGTTGCAACGTCATTTAGAATAACAATGGTAAAGATGGTGAGAATTTTAAAGGACACCGTGTTTAATCTAGGTGAGAAAAAGGTCTCATTTGTCAGCGTGACCTGGGTCACCAATATGAAAAAAAACAATAATAACATAACAAGGAATACAACAATGAAAACATTTATAATGGCGCAAAAACATAAACCAATATTACATGCAGATTTCCTGGACACTACATTTTGCACCGTCAAATTACTTAAAAAAAAACAAAGTTAAATTAAGTTACAGATCTCACCTGCCTCTCTACCTCATCCGGTTCCATATCTGGGACGGTCCGAATTGAGAACTTTCCGACCACCCGGCTGGGGATGACCGTTTTCTGACCGAGCTCCGAGAATGCTCCCTCGATGCCATGTATGGAGAGCGATGGCAAGTGCCAGCGATGATTTAAAATGTCCTCCTTCAATAAACACAACGCACACACAATAATAATTATAATCACACGCTAGAAAACTACACGTAACAAGTTAGAGAATTAAAAAAGGGGAAAAAAACACAATTAGAATTTCAATGAAATGTTTAACTGCCACTGCGGTGGACACGATTTTGCACGGATAAAACCTGGACATATTTCTCAGTCAGCCTCGGTCTATCGAAACTTGCAGTAAACCTTAATGAAGTTAATACCAGATCTTGGTACAAAACAATTACTGGCACCAATTCCCAGATTGTCTGGGACAAACACAGGCAGATGCATTATATGCGTTAGAGTTCTGTGGTGAGCGCTGGCATAGCGGTTAGCTTGCTACGCTACGAACCCGGCGACCAGAGTTCGATATCTGCTCACGGCCAACACCAGGTGACGATTATCTGAACTGGTCCTGAGCCTCCCATAGGTCGACTCAGACTCAAATGAGTACCTGGTGCTCTTTGTAAACAATCCCACTCGGGAGACAAAGACAGCTCGGCGTGGTGCTGGCCACCCACCCCTTCGTGTGCCGTCCCGGCCTTCGTAGGTGCTTGCTAACATCATTTACCCTAGAGTCTTTTTAAGGCTATGTGGGGGATATCTATGGGACCTTTTTAGGCCAGTACCAAGACTATGAAAAATAGGCTTTACCATTTCAGGCAAGAGTACAGTGTGGTTGATGCAGACTTGATGCCCTGTGATGGGTGTCTATTTGGCATTGAACATCTTAACACATGTACTCTTGCTGGAAAGGGTTAAGCATATTCTTGTTTTCGTCTTGATACTGGCAAAAGAGTCCAACAAATCAAACTGCTCAACCCAATCTATTGGTTTGATATCTGCATTGTCTTTGTACCATGCACCCTTTGATATTCTTCGGTCTAACGTATGAATGCTGAACTTCTTTCGCACCATACATAGCCAACCGTGCTAATCGAGAGGTGGGAGGACAACAAACTAAACACAGACTCGTGGGACAAGGCCATAAAGCAGCCTGTAGGCCAATCAGTTTCAAGGACAATGCATAAGCACCCTTAGCAAAACAGCAGAAGATAGCAGAGCTGTCACATCCATGGACAGGGGGCGGGAACATGTCAGGAGAGGAGGCAAGGAGGGATTGAGAGCATCTGTAGTCAATGCCTTGTAATGGATGTATATTTCGAACATCTTAACACCTGTATTCGTCAGAGATGGTAAAGCCATTTTTTTCAATATATGGGACATGGTTGTCTTTGTCTCGAGCCCTGCAATCCTGTTTGTGCCTGCATGTGTGCATATGCTGCCACTACGCACACATCTGTCTGTATCCAGCACTGTAACGAGATTATTCATTCCTAAAGGCAAGTTGGGGTTGGCCCCAAGTGGTGAATGTGTGACTTGGTGAGTGACATGGGTAAGTGAACAGGTCTTCTCAACCACATTCATGCCCTCCATTCTATATGCCTGCGAAACGTGGACCCCCCTAATGGAACATCTTCGCCGGTTAGATACATTCAGGCTGGCCTGCCTACGATCCAGCCTGAGTTTAGCTAGTCCGGATTGTGTGAGGAGCTCACAAACCCTTAAAAAATCTGGACAGTCTCATCAGTAAGCTCCTCCGACAGGCAAGGCTGCATTGGCTGGGTCATGTAACCCACATGCCCAGCCACCGCATGCCCAAACAGCTTTCGTTTGTCCGGATAGAGGGGACTAAACGGGCATGGCACAGGCTACAGAAGAGATGGAATGACGTGGTACGAGAGGACATAGCGCTGAGTGGACTTGCCAATGACTGGTTCCAGCGGTGTCAAAATCAGCCTCTGTGGAGGAGGCTTGTGAAGGATGCTATTGGGCAGTTGGAGGTAGTCGCCCACAAGCAACAAAAGAGGGCAGAGGGGTGACGCTCACAACAAGCGGAACGTAGGGCGGTGAAAACACAGCAAGTTGGCACAGTAGGAGGCACGGGTGGTGCATCTGCCAGTCATCTCAGTCAATCAACCCATGGTACCTGGGTCTGTCCCATGGCCTCCTGCTAATGGGCGTTCGACACTTCACGTGGCCTTAAAATGCACACAGCCTGGCACAAGCACCGTAGTGATGTCACTGCTACTTAGTGGCAAATGGCGGTTGTTGTTGTTGGTTGAGCGAGTTGGTGATTGGATGAATGGAGGAGTAGGTGAGTGCGTGGGTGAGTATCTTCCTTCCCTTGCTTGCTCCTTCGTGTTCCCTCTCGATTTTCCCATGGTTATTTTCTGTGCTATGAGACAATTCTTACAATTGTAAGCAGTTGTTGTTCACGGTGCTGTATGTGCCTTGGTATGCTGCTGGAGGGTTGTGGCCCCGATTTCCAGCCGGTATTCCTCAGGACTGAAGTCCACGTTCGCGCACAGCCGTGCCTCCATCTCCGAGAGCGGCTTCACAGATCTATGGATCCCTGGCACCAGGATCCTGCCACTGCTGTCCACTAACGATGCTTGAACACAAAGGCACACAAATATAGATGTACACATACCACACAATGTAACATGAGCAATCGGTTAAAGTATTTCTGCATTTGTGTATGTGTTAACTGGATTCGTGTATGAATGCAAGACCAGTACTTGCAAGTACTGGTGTTGCATTCCATGGGAAGTTGTTCCTTCTTGGTTCCGGCTCCTACTGTCTGTACTTCCATTTCTCTTGAACTTTATGATGTTGAGGCTCTGCCCCGTTTCAAGTCAAGATTCAGACCAATATCCTCCCCCCACCACCACCCCGTGACTCATCTGAACACCTTGACTGCATTAAATACTAATTATCTGTAAATTGTATTGTAACCTACCCAGAATCTGCATGAGATCTGTCATCGCCTCGTGGACAGAGCCACCGTAAACCCCTGAATGGAGGTCCCTCTGGGCACACTGCACCTGCAGTCACATTGCACAAACATAACATTCACACTGCACTTGCATTGACACTACACAAACAACATTCACACTGCACTTGCATTCACATTGCACAAACACAACATTCACACTGCACAAACACAACATTCACACTGCACAAACACAACATTCACATTGCACAAACACAACATTCACACTGCACAAACACAACATTCACATTGCACAAACACACCATTCACATTGCACAAACACAACATTCACACTAACAAACACAACATTCACACTGCAAAAACACAACATTCACACTGCACAAACACAACATTCACATTGCACAAACACAACATTCACACTGCAGAGACACAACATTCACACTGCACAAACACAACATTCACATTGCACAAACACAACATTCACACTGCACAAACACAACATTCACACTGCACAAACACAACATTCACACTATACAAACATTCACACTACACAAACAACATGCATATTACACAAACACGATATTCATGTCATAAATATATACAATGTATAACGAAAACATTAGCATGTCTTATTATTATTATATAAACCAGTAAATATATCAGGGGTATATGTCCCTCGAGATATCGAAAAAAACATACGTATTTATACTTCGTATTGAGTAAAAAAAACTTTAATGACAACAGGCTACAAATTATATCCAAATTGTATGATTGGTCAACTGTATCGCTGCATAAATCAGTGGCGGCTCGTGACATTTCCACTAGGCGGGGCTGTTTTGAGTGACCTCTAAAAAATGGTGTTCTCATTAAGAAAACCTCGTCATGTTATTGAACTTCCCGTGAAAGTGATGTAACTGTGTTATATACCAACGGTGAGGCATTTATAAACTCATTAAGAAAACCTCGTCATGTTATTGTTTTTTTTTTCCCGTGAAAGTGATGTAACTGTGTTATCTACCAACGGTGAAGCATTTATAAACTCATTAAGAAAACCTCGTCATGTTATTGTTTTTTCCCGTGAAAGTGATGTAACTGTGTTATCTACCAACGGTGAGGCATTTATAAACTCATTAAGAAAACCTCGTCATGTTATTGTTTTTTTTCCCGTGAAAGTGATGTAACTGTGTTATCTACCAACGGTGAGGCATTTATAAACTCATTAAGAAAACCTCGTCATGTTATTGTTTTTTCCCGTGAAAGTGATGTAACTGTGTTATCTACCAACGGTGAGGCATTTATAAACTCATTAAGAAAACCTCGTCATGTTATTGAACTTCCCGTGAAAGTGATGTAACTGTGTCATCTACCAACGGTCGGCATTTATAAACTCATTAAGAAAACCTCGTCATGTTATTGTTTTTTCCCGTGAAAGTGATGTAACTGTGTTATCTACCAACGGTGAGGCATTTATAAACTCATTAAGAAAACCTCGTCATGTTATTGAACTTCCCGTGAAAGTGATGTAACTGTGTTATCTACCAACGGTGAGGCATTTATAAACTCATTAAGAAAACCTCGTCATGTTATTGTTTTTTCCCGTGAAAGTGATGTAACTGTGTTATCTACCAACGGTGAGGCATTTATAAACTCATTAAGAAAACCTCGTCATGTTATTGAACTTCCCGTGAAAGTGATGTAACTGTGTTATCTACCAACGGTGAGGCATTTATAAACTCATTAAGAAAACCTCGTCATGTTATTGAACTTCCCGTGAAAGTGATGTAACTGTGTTATCTACCAACGGTGAGGCATTTATAAACTCATTAAGAAAACCTCGTCATGTTATTGTTTTTTTCCGTGAAAGTGATGTAACTGTGTTATCTACCAACGGTGAGGCATTTATAAACTCATTAAGAAAACCTCGTCATGTTATTGTTTTTTCCCGTGAAAGTGATGTAACTGTGTTATCTACCAACGGTCGGCATTTATAAACTCATTAAGAAAACCTCGTCATGTTATTGAACTTCCCGTGAAAGTGATGTAACTGTGTTATCTACCAACGGTGAGGCATTTATAAACTCATTAAGAAAACCTCGTCATGTTATTGTTTTTTTCCCGTGAAAGTGATGTAACTGTGTTATCTACCAACGGTGAAGCATTTATAAACTCATTAAGAAAACCTCGTCATGTTATTGTTTTTTCCCGTGAAAGTGATGTAACTGTGTTATCTACCAACGGTCGGCATTTATAAACTCATTAAGAAAACCTCGTCATGTTATTGAATTTTCCCGTGAAAGTGATGTAACTGTGTTATCTACCAACGGTGAGGCATTTATAAACTCATTAAGAAAACCTCGTCATGTTATTGAACTTCCCGTGAAAGTGATGTAACTGTGTTATCTACCAACGGTGAGGCATTTATAAACTCATTAAGAAAACCTCGTCATGTTATTGTTTTTTCCCGTGAAAGTGATGTAACTGTGTTATCTACCAACGGTGAGGCATTTATAAACTCATTAAGAAAACCTCGTCATGTTATTGAACTTCCCGTGAAAGTGATGTAACTGTGTTATCTACCAACGGTGAGGCATTTATAAACTCATTAAGAAAACCTCGTCATGTTATTGTTTTTTCCCGTGAAAGTGATGTAACTGTGTTATCTACCAACGGTGAGGCATTTATAAACTCATTAAGAAAACCTCGTCATGTTATTGAACTTCCCGTGAAAGTGATGTAACTGTGTTATCTACCAACGGTGAGGCATTTATAAACTCATTAAGAAAACCTCGTCATGTTATTGAACTTCTCGTGAAAGTGATGTAACTGTGTTATCTACCAACGGTGAGGCATTTATAAACTCATTAAGAAAACCTCGTCATGTTATTGAACTTCCCGTGAAAGTGATGTAACTGTGTTATCTACCAACGGTGAGGCATTTATAAACTCATTAAGAAAACCTCGTCATGTTATTGTTTTTTCCCGTGAAAGTGATGTAACTGTGTTATCTACCAACGGTGAGGCATTTATAAACTCATTAAGAAAACCTCGTCATGTTATTGTTTTTTTCCCGTGAAAGTGATGTAACTGTGTCATCTACCAACGGTGAGGCATTTATAAACTCATTAAGAAAACCTCGTCATGTTATTGTTTTTTTCCCGTGAAAGTGATGTAACTGTGTTATCTACCAACGGTGAGGCATTTATAAACTCATTAAGAAAACCTCGTCATGTTATTGAACTTCCCGTGAAAGTGATGTAACTGTGTTATCTACCAACGGTGAGGCATTTATAAACTCATTAAGAAAACCTCGTCATGTTATTGAACTTCCCGTGAAAGTGATGTAACTGTGTTATCTACCAACGGTGAGGCATTTATAAACTCATTAAGAAAACCTCGTCATGTTATTGAACTTCCCGTGAAAGTGATGTAACTGTGTTATCTACCAACGGTGAAGCATTTATAAACAACACGAAACAAAAGAACAGAGCACTCAAGTGCTGTCCCCATGACCATCAAGTCCACACGACACAACCCCAGTGACGGTGCCAAAAGCCTACAGCTTGCAGGCCGTGAGCTGCTGCTCTATTTGCACAGTGCACCTCGCGTTGTGACGTCGTCACTACAGCCATGGCCGCATTTTTCACCGCCCTGAATGGGTCTGTCATGTTATTGAAGCTAATCGCAATGAATGAAGGGAAATCTCTCTCACTCGGACGCCTTCACAGCTGCCCCGAGACCTCCCCAAGACACAAATCAGACTGCGGTGTTGCAGCGGTTTCTAGTAGGAACAATTTTAAAAGTTATCTTAATTAGGCAATTCAAGTTGAAATATGCACTATATTTCAACATTTTTAAACACCGCAAAACTATTTATAGAAAAGTATTTTTTTTATTAGAAAATAATTTCTCATCTCCAGCTGCTTGGTGGAGCGGCGTCCCAACAAACCCCCAAGTGGACAAACCGCGCCCGGCATAAATGCATAAATACTGATGGAGTTGAGGAGGGAAGATGAATATGGAAAGGTGGGCGTGCCTTGACAACGTACATGAAGTTGCTTGTGGAACCGTAAAGGCTGCCGTCCACAGGATATATTTACAGAAACACAACGTTCACGTTCCATTGCACAGTCCGAGAGGAAACACCGAAAGGGTTCTGACCTCAATTTCAAAGTAGCAGAGACCCCGCAGGCCAAATGTGAGGCACGGCGTCTGCGTTCCCAACCAGTAACTGTCGGAGATGCACACGCAGTCCACGTTTCCAAAGAAGGATTTTCTCCGCTCAGCAATCAGCTCACCGAGCCCAATGGAACCCGACTCTTCCATGCCTTCCAAACACAGCTTCACATTCACCGGCAGGGCCTGCAGTGATACTCACACATCCGCACATTTCACGTATACATTCCCATTTCCCACAATGATTTATGTTTCCAAAGCTGAAGAGCCTCGTCAGTTTAACACATAGGCCAAAGAGCTTATTTATTTAGTGAATCTATTAGGTGTCTATTAGGCACAGTTACGTAAAAAGTTGTATTAATCTCGATTCTAAAGAAGAAACCAAAACCCCCCTTTGGTCTAACAAATTTTAAGATTCATTAACTGATATTATTTTGTAAAAATAAATATTTTACCTGGAAAATCTCTAAGAGATGGAATCTCTATTTTTACAAGTGTGTCTGGGGTGTCAATTACTGCAAATAATGAAAGGTATACAAACATTAAAAAAAATATCCAACTCATCCAGTGTGCTTGTATGCATTGTCCATGCGTTGACCATCACACGTCACACCCGTCAATTCGTAAAACACGGACATACATAACTTTTCACGTAAATATATGGTGCAAATTACCATTTCATATATAACGCACTCTAGCTGTAACTCACAAATGTTGTGAACATGCTTTTTAAATTAGACTTCAATTTAAATCTGAATTGAAACTAATTTCTTTCGAACAGCTTTTTGTGTTAAGTTTGTTATCCTTCTCCCGCACCTCCAATTAGCACGGTTAGCAACGTACGGTGCGAAAGAAGTTCAATATACAAATACACACATAAATACAGACTGGCAGCAGTGTGTCTGAGAGACCGTTCCATGAAGAAGAGGCTCTCTGTCTGAATGAGAGTGCCGTTCATACATTTAATTCTTGGGACATTAAATGTTTCCCATTAGCTATTCACGATAGCTACTGGTCTCTGTACCTTACTGACAGCTTGAAACGACTCAATGCAGTTCAGCCAAGACAGCACAGGACCCTTGTCATCCGTTGCACCACGGCCATACAGCTTTCCTGTGAAAATTAACGAATTCAGTAATTTACACGCATAAACATATATCACCAAGGCTCAATCAGCAATTGTCCATCAAACTGAAAGGCTTGTCAAAAGACTGCAATGTTTGATGTACTACAATATTAGGAAGCCACTGGAGCTATGCACTTTTAAATCTAGATTGAAAATATTAGTTTCTTAAACTGCTTTTTTGTGTTTAGTTTGTTGTACATCCCCTGCATCTCTAATTAGCATGGGTTGGTTACGTATGGTGCGAAAGAAGTTCAACAAACAGGTGAACCCCGCACCTACGACCTAATTGGTTGCTGTGGAGCCGTCGTAAGTCGAACCTTCGTTTCCCATAGGTGCAATGTTGTACATTGGGGTTCCGCTCCTGGCAACCCATTATATGCCATAAATATACCAAAATTGACCACGAAAATAACAAACATTTATTGTAAGTTAACACAACTTTTACAAACATATATCAGGTAAAAACAAACACTTACATTTGAAAATCCTAAAGTGCTTCTCTGCATGTGCATCACATTTATTATTCTCAGATGTAGCGAAATATTTTTTTTCTTATTTGAAGAAAATTTACAAAAAAGCGAAGAGTGTTGCGAAAGAGATGCGTCTCACTCTAGGCGCAGCTGCAGACTGCCGTGCTATACTCTACATACGCATATGGTGGTAGAGAAAAGCAGCGCCATCAGTCTGAGTCTGGGCATGTCATGCCTGTCATGCGCAGAATCGTCGACAATCGACTCGACGTCGGTAGCAGTCATAAAGCAGTCGTAGGTTCGAGTTTTGGTCGTTACAGTGGCGGTCTTACTGTAAGGTCGTAAAAGTGGGAGTCGCAAGTCGAGCCGTCCTAAGTCGGAGGTCACCTGTAGATGCATACAAAGTCAAACTCTCCCAATGAACAGGTGATAAAGCCGTTGTCACCTTGTTTCCTTGATTAACATCATAAATCTTCCTTAAAACAATATTCTGAAGCAGAATATGGGTACAAACCACATTTACAAATGTGGTTTGTACCTTTGATCCTTACCCATGTATCGACAGTTACATTTTAATGTGCAATTTTATTTAGGGACTGTGTTCTCTTGGTGTGGTCTGGGACTGTTTTTTGTTTTGCTGCCTTGCCCAAGATTGCATTTGGTGTAGAAAAAGCGGCAGGGATTGATGTACTTATCATCATTTGATATACTCCTGTGTATCGATATTTCAATGTTAATGTGCCACTTCATTGAGGGACTACTGTGTGTTATCTTGGCGTGGTCTGAGACTGTTTTGTTGTTTTTGCTGCCTTGCTCAATCTTGATAAATCGGACTTATATTATTGATTAATTCATTATATGTAGTGACTTGCTTACCATTTTAGACTCCTATAATGTTTTGTATTGTTTGTTGTTGTAACATTCTGACCCACCCCTACTGGACATCTGTGAAAAAAAGATTCTGACAAATATTTAGCTGTCAAGGTCGGTTCATTTAATACATGGCCCAGTGGTGGCATGTTGACTACTTGTTGCAGGGATTCATGGTTCAAATCAACCCATCACGCCACTCTATTCACAATGTGCACGCGATGGACTCACCATTCCGATGCGTCAGCGTGAAGGGGTCACTATCCCAGCCATCCTCAAGCTGGGCAGGTTGGACGTCCAAGTGGCCATACACACAAACCGTCTTCTTGGCCGGATCCCTCCCAATCTCTGCGAGAATAACTGGCGGTAGAGCTAACTTGGAGCCATCTGCTAGCTGTCAAAAACAAGTACAATCCAGCGAGACATTATGGTTTTTGTATTCCAGTACTAAATTCTACCGCCGACTACAAAGGTACATCCCTGCAATTGCTTTTCTCACGCCACTGCTGACGAAATTGTCTCCAATCGATTGAGCTCTAGAGGGTACTTGGCCAACTTTTCCACTGGTCAGATGTCTTGGAGCAAGAGATGGGAGTATCTACACTTTCCCCCCACCACACGAGACTTTAGGGTAGACAAATTGTGACATATCCACTTACACTCCTGGGTAGCCAGAGACAGCAGGGGATTAAGTGTACTTGCACCATGTATATCAACAGCCACACCAGGAGATGGAGTTGAACCAGTTAACTCCAGATTACAAGTGTGCTAACCAATATACCACACTGGCTGCTTTCATTTTTCCATTAAAGATAAACACGTTGCGATTATTGCTGTAGACATTTCTAACTGGTAACACTTGTTTTTAATACCATTTGTGCATTACCAGTAATGCATTACTGGTAATGAATTACCGGTAATGGAAAACAAAAACATGTAACAACTATACATACTCTCAATCCACCCATGTAAATGAAGTTCAACGTTAGTAGCATGGCCTACCGTCTCCGTGCCAATGTCCACCATCTCCACAGATCCTCCTAGGCGCTCGATGTGCTGTGCTGTCATCTGCACCATGCGCAACACTTCACCGCGCAGTTCAGGCTGGCTTGACACACTGCGCACAGACACCCACTCAGCCAGCCTCTGTACAGGCAGGCACACAACACACGCGTATCGGCAAACACGTTACTCACTCCCCACATGTAGCGCTTACAGAATGACAACAGAGTCAAAAGATTATGTCTGACAAAAAAATATTAAACACAATTGCTGAGTCCAGGGATGAAGGTCCAAGAAAATCCGGCAGCCAAAACAGTCTGGGAGTCCACAACATGCTGAATATATTTGTCTGGCACTATAAACCAGAGTAGAGTAAATGGTGGTTAATGCTTGCATTTTCCAATTAGAAAGTCTGCAAAACAACCACACCTTGACACCGCTGTACACTATTACAATTTCTTACAACTATACCAGATTTAGAAACAGGCGTTTAGAGTATTTTGGCTGCTATAAATTTCCACATGATAAGCCACTTTGTTGAGCAATCATTTATGGCCAGGTCGCTTCTGAATAAGAGCTATATAGATCAGTGGGCCTTACCTGGTGAAATAAAATGTTCACAAACTATATTCCAGTAAAACAAAGGTGTTTTATGGTAGAGTTGTGGAAATATGCCGGTATACGATAGTACACTCATAACGGCACTTCTAAAAAAAAACACATTCGTGTACCAGCACTTTTCACGGCGATTCTTTTCCTGTACCCGCAATGTTTACACGGACGGGAATTAGCAATGAGCGTGGGCTGCAGGATGCATAGGCCTCATACCGGCACTTCCACATTAAATTTCCACCACTGCTTTTGTGAAATAAACGGTATGGATATCTTTTGATTTAAAGCTTTTGTGACTGCAGGGATTCATATTCTTGGTTATCCATTGTAATTTATATGAATACCTAATTAGCTCACAAGTTACGATATCTTATTTACCCCCTCTATTTAAGACTGAAACACACGAGTATTTTTCCACAATTCTGGCTGTCGCTTGATGAGGCTGGTTGTAATTACCAGCGAATTGCAAATGCTGTGGGTTCACTCTCCAACACACCGGTGTGCTGAACAAGCAACGAATTGGCACGTTTTGTTCACGTCACAAACCTTGGTAATTGGCTGTGTCGGGTGGTAGCAGGTTTAACGGCACATTCATATTAACGCGATCTTATCTTATAATTTTTCTTATGTATAAACGGGTAGTGTCTGCAACAGTTCTGCGGATGACTCCCCACGGTTTTGTGGGCCCACTGGTGGCTCGCGCACCACAGGATGGTAACCACTGCCGTACACCGATTATTCAGATTAATCCGAAGTTGGGCCTAGAGATACGAAGACGATATAAACATTAACAAAACAAATAAAAGTTTTGCATTACAAACAAAAATGCGACAATAGCAACGAGTGTGGTCGCTCGCGTGCCATCACTTTCGCGCTATTCTCGTCGAAGCGTGTCATGTAACGTCATGTTAATGACCCACGATTGTCACGAGCACATTAACTTCGTTTTCAAAAAGTTCTAACATTAATGTTTCTTCTTTCCAGTGGAACTTTATATAAAAATGTATAATTTGATTAATAGTTCGAATTTTTTTATTATTATATTGTGTGCATAAAATATAAAAATTCTTCAGATTAAATGTTTAAATATGAAATTAAATCAGACATTGGGCTTAGAAAACCAAAAATGTTACATCACCAGGCCAAGAGGTCTTTGTTGTATTAAAAACTAGCTTTACTACCCGGCTTCGCCTGGGACTTGGATTCACCATGCCCGGCCACCTTTGTCTCCCCAGTGGCGATGTTCACACACTACACCAGTTACTCGTTTGAGGCTGAGTCGACCTAGGGGAGGCCCAGGACCAGTTCAAATAATCGTCACCGGTGGTGGCCGTGAGCGGGAATCGAACTCGGGTTGCCGGGTTCATAGCGCAGCACGCTAACCACTACACTACCGCTCCCCCCACACAGACACACACGCAGACACACACAGCACGCTAACCACTACACTACCGCTCCCCCCACACAGACACATGCGCGCGCGTCCATAGGTACACATACACGTGCTTGCTGCAGACACACAACTTTCAGGGTGCGTACGGCAGTAAACGACTCAAATAATAAACCAATCCTGCGCGAAGAACGCCTTAGACCTGCAACACATTTGTATTTCACTTTACCCGCGATCAGCAGGCACACTCCGTTACGCTTCCGCACACGGGTCACATGACAGATGTGACGTCACAGCTCACTTGCCGTGCAAAATATATGCATAATTGCGCCCCCCCGCCCCCCCCAAAAAGTGTATTTTTATAATTTTTGCATGGTGTACAGTCTGGAAAGTACCCACATGGCAAATTTCAAGTTTGTTGGATGTCGGGAAGTACGCTAAACATTTTGAACAGACACACATATTCACAAATTTCCCTTTTTTATATATAGACAAACAAAAAACAGACTTTGATAAATGTCCAAGATCCATTAATATCACATTCATGTCATTAAACTCCGAGACTACTAGGATAAATGTGATCATACCTTGACAAACAGCTGCTGGTTGTTCTCAATGTGCGTGAACACATCTTGGATGCTGGAAGTCATCCGTCTGACAAGGCCAAACCCTGGAAGCCACTGGGGCACACACCGTACAGCATAGATATTGTTTTGTCATTACCCAACGCTTGCATTTACATTGCACAATAGTTGATAATCGATTATCTAGCTGCGGTCCCGGGACGATCCGCCGAAACTGCTCCAAAGGCCGCAACCCAGTCCGGCGATTGGCACCATGTGCTTGACAAAAAAAACGAGGTGAAAATCTAGTTTTTCAATGCATACATGTTTTATTTTGACCCCAGAACTAATCAAATTTGATGTGCTGAATAAAAGTGGGTGGCTTGCATAAACAAAATTAAACTTATCGAAAGGAAACCACCCACTCTTATTCAGCTCATCAAATTGTATTAGTTCTTAGGTCAAAATAATTAATTTTATACTTTTAAGAGCAAATAAAAACTGTGTGCATTGAAAAGCTAGATTTTCACCTATTTTTTATACTTTTGAGTGCAAATAAAAGTGTGTCCATTGAAAAACTTACTTTTTTACCTAATTTATTTAAAATCTTGACTTAAAGCTTACGTGACTGCAGGAATTCATATTCGTTGGGTCTTTCGGTAAAGACAAAGTCACGTAGAACTGAATTAAAGTAGTTTTTTGTAAAAAAAAATTGTTCCACGTGACTTAACATTAAAATAAATGATATTCTTTGGGTCTTTCGGTAATGTTAATCTTGTAAAATAATTTGTATACGTACATATTCATTCTAAGATCTCTAACTATTGCCTGGATATTTCATATACATTTGAAATAGTGCAATACATTAAAAAAAAGAAACAAACCACTAAGAGGCCCAGGATCGATGGGACCTGGACTGGTTCTTTACAATAAATCTTGAATTGTCACGCGAGACGACCACAAGTCTGTGTGTACAAGTCTGCGTGTCCAAAACTGTGTGTACAAGTCTGCGTGTACAAGTCTGTGTACAGGTATGCATGTGCAAGTCTGTCTGTACAAGTCTGTGTACAGGTCTGTGTGTACAAGTCTGTGTACAGGTCTGTGTGTACAAGTCTGTGTGTACAAATCTGCATGTGCAAGTCTGTGTACAAGTCTGTGTGTACAAGTCTGTGTACAGGTCTGTGTGTACAAGTCTGTGTGTACAAGTCTGTGTGTGCAAGTCTGCGTGTGCAAAACTGCGTGTGCAAGTCTGCGTGTGCAAAACTGCGTGTGCAAGTCTGCGTGTGATAGTCTACCCTCGGGGCTCCTCCAGAAACAACGAAAAGCCACTTCGTGTGGCCACGAGGAATATTCGAACGCTCACTGCGGAGGAGAGGCTGCCACTCCTCTATCGGGAGCTGGACTGGTACCGCCTGGATCTCTGTGGCATTCAGGAGGTCCGGTGCACCGGTTCTGGCTCCTGCCACCATGAGGGGTGGACAGTCCTCTACTCGGGGCAGCAGACTGCCAAACAACAGGGTGTGGCTCTTCTTCTGAACAAAAGAATGAAGGGGGCGTGGGAGTGTGGCGGTGAGGCGTGGGAAGCTGTAAGCCCCAGGCTACTTTGGGCTCACCTTCCCATCAACCGGAGGTGAGGAGTGGTGGTCGTGGTTACTTATGCCCCCACCGAAGACGAACATCCGTGGAGGGATGCAGGCAAAGCCGATGAGTCAGATGCCTTCTATGACCTCCTTTCACAGGTGCTGGCTAAAGTGGCCCCTCGGGATAGAGTCATCTTGTTGGGTGACTTCAATGCCCGAGTTGGTCATGATGCTGGCACCTGGTCTGGAGTGATTGGAGGGCATGGGCCAGATCAGCTCAAGAACAACAGCAGGAGGCTGCTAGATTTTTTTGCAGCCTATGGGCTTGTAATTACCAACACGCTGTTCCGGCATTGGCGCATCCACACAACATCATGGATGGATGCCGGGTCCAAGCAAGAACATCTGCTGGACTACATAGTGCCGGACCAGCAGATGCGAGCCCATGTCCTTGACACCAGGTCCTACCGTGGAGCTCATTTGCCCTCTGACCATCGACTAGTCATCTGTAAGATGCGCCTGCCATTCTTCCACTCCGGTGGTGAGTGTACACCCAGGACCCCATTCCAACCTAAAGTGGCCTGGTCTCAGTTATCTGATGAAAGTTGCAAGCGAGAATTTCATCATCGCTTGCGGCTGGGGTTGGCATTGTCCCCCACTCCTCCTGATGTCGAGGGTAAATGGGCGAGGTTTAGGACTGTGACTCATGCAGCTGCAATAGCTGCTTTGGGTACACGGTCCAGACCTCCCCAGAGACCCTGGCTGACAGAGGTGTTCAGGATGGTTGAGAAAAAGCGACAGGCCCACTGTCATCGGCTACAGAATCTCACGTCAGAGAATGAGGAGGCTTACCGCAGCCTTCGCTCGGAGGTTCGGAGAGCTGTGAGGCGCTGCAAGGATGGGTGGTGGTCGCGGGTTGCTGAGGAGATGGAGTCTGCCTCAGTGGCTCGCGATCACAAATCTCTATTTAACTTCATCAAAAAAGTAACCTGCAGCGCCACACCTATTACCATCATTAGGGGAAAAAACGGTGATCCAATCTCCAACCCCCAGGAACAGGTTTGCAGATTTGCTGAGCATTTCTGTGAGGTCCTGGGGGAGGGGAAATCCCTCAGCCAAGAAAACATCGTGGCACAAAGTGGGGATGACCCTGCTGAGGCTGCAGTGCCTCAAATAGTGGAAGAAGTCACCCCCTGTGAGTGGCTGGCTGAGGTGCCATCTGTTGAGGAAGTATTGAAGGCGATCCGGAGTCTGAGACCAGGAAAGGCACCGAGTAGAGATGATCTCCCAAGAGAAATGCTGAGGGTGGCGTTTGTGCAGAGTGCCCTATATGACATCATAACAAGTCTGGACCACTGGACGGGTTCCACAGTATTGGAAGGATGGCCTGGTGGTCCCCCTCTTTAAGAAGGGGGACCGCACAGACTGTAACAACTACAGGGGAATCTCACTCCTCAGTGTGCCGGGAAAGGTCCTGGCAAGGATTATTCAACATCGCCTTGCCAGGCACGCTGAGGAGAGGCTTGCGGAGCCCCAATGCGGTTTCAGGAAAGGGCGGTCCTGCACAGATGCCATATTTTCTGTCCGTCTGCTACAGCAGAGGTGTAGGGAATTCCAACAAGACCTACATCTCTGCTTTATTGACCTGGTCAAGGCCTATGATACCATCAGTAGGCCTGGGCTCTGGGTTGTTCTTCGTGCTTTTGGAGTCCCTGACCCTCTGCTCACGATCATTAAGGACCTTCATGATGGTGAGCGGGCCCAGGTAAAACTACGTGGCCGGGAGTCAGAGCCATTCCCTGTACACCTTGGGGTGCGACAGGGATGTCCTCTGGCTCCAACATTATTTTACATCTATTTTGACCACGTAGTTCGTGAAGCCTTCAATAGCTGTACCGGGGGAATCACCATTTGGTACAGATATAATGGGAGGCTGATCGATGCCCGGGTGTGGTCAAGGGATGGCTCCCTAATGCTCAACAACGTTATGTATGCCGATGATTTGGTAATAGCTGCTTATTCAGAGGAGGAGTTGGAGATGCTGCTGCTGAGACTGGAGCGTGCCACTAAGCACCTGCCTGGGTATTTTGTACCATCGGACACTCCACCCCCACAACTCCCAATCGGTGATGGGGCAGTTGTGGAGAGAGTGGAGAGTTTCCCATACCTGGACAGTGTGCTTATGACCGGCTCCAGTTTCATCGGTTGCGTAACGCTGTGTGGAAGCTACCTGGTCTGTCGCTCCACACTAAGCTTCAGGTCTTCTCGGCCACGGTCATTCTCTCTCTTCTCTACGCTTGCGAAACGTGGACCCCCCTAATGGAACATCTTCGCCGGTTAGAAACATTTAGGCTAGCCTGCCTACGATCCATCCTGGGTTTAACCAGGCTGGATTGTGTGAGGAGCTCACAAATCCTTGAAAGATCTGGGCAAGGTCCCATCGGTCAGCTCCTCCGGCAGGCAAGGCTGTTGGCTGGGTCATGTAGCCCGCATGCCCAGCCACCGCATGCAGAAACAGCTTTTGTTCAGCCGGATCGAGGGGGCTAAACGGGCGCGGCACGGGCTAGAGAAGAGATGGAGTGATGTGGTACAGGAGGACGTGGAGCTGAGTGGACTTGCCGATAACTGGTACCAGCGGTGTCAAGATCGGCCTCTGTGGAGGAGACTCGTGAAGGACGCTACTGGGCAGTTGGAGGCAGTCGCCCTCCAACAACAACGGAGGGCGGAGGAGCGATGCTCACAACAACGAGCGAAGCGCCGGGTGGCTAAAGCACAGCAAGTTGGCACAGTAGGGGGCACAGGTGGTGCATCAGCCAGTCATCTCAGTCATCTTATTAGTCAGTCGACCCGTGGCACCTGGGTCTGCCCCGTGACCGCGGGCGTTCGACACTTCACGTGGCCTCAAGGTGCACATGGCCTGGCACAAGCGTCCTGGTGACGTCACCGCCACTTAGTGGCGAATGGCGGTTGTTGTTGTGCAAGTCTGTGTGTACAAGTGTGTGTACAAGTCTGTGTGTACAAAAAAGTTCAGCTCGCTAGGCTGCGTAGATCCGAAGATATCGTACCTGTCAACCCCTTATCAAGGACCAATTCAGACCTTATCGGTCACCCCGTGCCCTTATAAATCTCAACTTTCATCCTACAAAGTCCCATCACAAGAGGAGAAACACAGACAAATAAGACAGTGACTAATTTTGTGTTGCCCGTATTGAAACGTCTGTGCGCCCGTATGGACCTGAAAACTCAATTTCACTGCACAATAATACGGCGCAAAACCGTATGGGTTGGCAGCTATGGGATATTAAGCGTCAAAGATTCCACAGAATATAAACAGACAAAACAGGGCAAGTTAAATAAAAGTGTGGAATAAAAATGATAATAATAGTTATTATAAATAGATCAGGGCCGTGCTTCGTTACCTCGCCTCGGCGGCCTCTCCCAGCCGCCGAGGCCGCGACGCGCATCGCCCGGGCCGGGCCCCGCAGGAGGGCAGACATGAGAGCGGCAATCCGCTCTCCTCCCCCTCCTTCTTCTCCTCCTCCTTCTCCGCCTCCTCCTTCTCCGCCTCCTCCTTCTCCTCCTACTCCGCCTTCTCTGCCTCCTCCTTCGCCTTCTCCTCCGCCTTCTCCGCCTCCTCCTTGCTCAAGTCACCCCGAGACGCCAAGGGCACCACTGCCCATCAGTGACCACCAAGGGCACCACGGCCCCCGCCCGCTCCCACCACGCTCTCGAGAGCGCCCGAGCCGCGCCAGGCGTCACGAAGCCCGCGTGTGCACTGTGGGGAATGCAAAAACGGAGACTCGGCCGTTGTCGCCCAAGAGCTGTAGGGAATACAAACGATAGCTCGCCGGCCGCTTCGTGTCAACGTCTTGAAATGTAAACGAAAAAAAATTACGAGCTCGGAGTGGCGCTCAACAGTTGTGGGGAATTCAAACGGCTAGCTCGGAATGCCGCTCAACAGTTGTAGAGAATGCAAACGGCAAGCGCGGGGTGGGGCCTATTCGATGTAGGGAATACAAACGGCAAGCGCGGGGTGGGACCTATTCGCTGTAGGGAATACAAACGGCAAGCGCGGGGTGGGGCCTATTCGCTGTAGGGAATGCAAACGGCAAACGCGGGGTGGAGCCTATTCGCTGTAGGAAATACAAACGGCAAGCGCGGGGTGGGGCCTATTCGCTGTAGGGAATACAAACGGCAAGCGCGGGGTGGGGGGCCTATTCGCTGTAGGGAATACAAACGGCAAGCGCAGGATGGGGCCTATTCGCTGTAGGGAATACAAACGGCAAGCGCAGGATGGGGCCTATTCGCTGTAGGGAATACAAACGGCAAGCGCGGGGTGGGGCCTATTCACTGTAGGAAATACAAACGGCAAGCGCGGGGTGGGGGGCCTATTCGCTGTAGGAAATACAAACGGCAAGCGCGGGGTGGGGGGCCTATTCGCTGTAGGGAATACAAAGGGCAAGCGCGGGGTGGGGCCTATTCGCTGTAGGGAATACAAATGGCAAGCGCGGGGTGGGGCCTATTCGCTGTAGGGAATACAAACGGCAAGCGCGGGGTGGGGCCTATTCGCTGTATGGAATACAACCCCACATGTCACCGTCTCTCCCCCCCTCACATCTCTCTGCACCGTCAAGTTCGGGGCCTGTGGTGGAGTCGCGATGCGAGGAGGGACGCGGAGCGGGCGACTCGAGGACCCCGCGGCTCCCCCCCCACCCCCTCATGAGTAGCAGCAGCGGCGGCCAAGGTAAGGTTTCGGGTAAACTCACTGCTGCTACTGCTGTTGTTTAACGAGCAGAGTCCCGGAATTGGCATCTGGGTGTTCCGAGTGGCAGCGTGTAATGTGATTTGTGGCGCTGTCTCTGGCGGCGGCCTTGCCGGTGTTGACAGTCTTGATCGAGCCAGGGGCCAGACGGAGACACCCGTCTGGGGTGGAGACCTCTCAGCTCCGGTCCCACGAGTGTCCGCCCATGCCACCCCCTCCCATGTGTCCCGTCAGTGTCTCTCTCCCCGTACGTCCACCACCGCCGCACCGCAAGCCGGTGAGCTCCGCACCCCCACAACCATGGCCATGGCCTCCAAGATCATTCGCAAGCTCCGAGGCGGGAGCAAGAAGAGCCGTGGCCGGGGAGGGGCGCCCGGCCCGGAGGCCCGACCGGGGGACCTCGCCCCGGGCCTGGAGGAGGAGGAGGACGAGGAGGAGGCGTACCGGGTGGCCGCTCGCCTTGGGGGTACCCTGAGCTTCGACTCCGAGCTGCCGCGAGATCTGTCGAGCGGCGACTCGGCCGAGTCCGAGCGAGCGACGCCGGAGGACGCCGAGTGCGGGGGGCTCCCGGCGGAGGTGGAGCTCGCGGCGGGGGGAGGACGAGGAGGAGGCGATGAGCAGGCGGCGGGTACGCGCGCGGTTTGAGCGCAGCTCCTGTTGCGCCCCACGACACCAAATAACCGGCTATGGCACGGACACTCGGCTTGCTGCCAAGCGCGTCTCATCAGCAGCATGGGATCAACGCAAGGGAGAGAGCCGTGGACTGGGGTGGACATTCAGTGTCTCGTCAGCAGGGCCCAGGCTGCCTTGAACCAACGCTGTTGAGCTTATACGGCTGTCAACCCGCACGGGTCACCCCGTAGTCGTGTACAGGGAAATTGAGTTTTCAGGTCCATACGGCGTAGAGCCGTTTCAATGCGGGCAATTTTTGTCTTTCTCCCTTGCGATGGGACTTTGTAGGATGAACGTTGAGATGTATAAGAGGCACGGGGTGACCAATATGGTCTGAATTGGTCTGTAATAAGATAGGCACTGATAAGGGGTTGACGGGTATCAACTTAGATGTTTATAGATATGGTTTCTTGAGAAATGTCAAATACCCCATGAGTCTCCTGTCCCGTCTGTTTTCATGTCCCAGGAGAATCTCCTGACCCGTGCTATACAGCAGCAGATTGGCTCACAATGTAAAGGTTGCGAATTCAATTTGTGTTTGGGAGTTTACTCAGCCCGTCATCCGTCCGTCCTGCGTCTATAAAATAAGTACATATTGGGAGGTGTCAACACTGGTTGTCCTATGGATATACTTACCCTCGTCATAGGAATGTGGAATTTCTACCACTCATTTAGAGCTGTAAACATGAGATTTGAGCGCTGCGTCAATGCTCATTTGAGCAGGAAATCAATTTTAAATGTGAACATTGCCCTGGGCATTGGAGTAGTATTTTTTGCCGACAGACATGTAAACGTGCGTCACGGACAGGAGGAGACCGAGCAGATGACTCGACCCGGCTCACCAGTGCCCTGCAGGCCTCCTTCCGGTGCAAGCGCGACCAGCAGCGGCGGCAGCAGCAGCGCGGCGACTCGCTCACCTTCGAGGTGGTGGCAGCGAACGTGGTGCAGGAGTCCGGCTCCAAATACGTGGTGCGCAATTATACGTGTCGTCCAAGAGGTCACCCTCATTTGCACCAGTCACTCGCTCGCCAGCTTCAGTAGCTTCCTTATCACTTCGATAATGTAACTACCCATGGTTATACTGTTCCTCGTCAACTTCACTTATCGCATCCTCCACCCGTGTTGAGAACTCGGTCTACGAGACTATTTTGTCCTATCAGTACAGTGTTCAACCACCACACTGCAGATCGCCAAACTTCTCTCTCTGCTTCTTCCCCCACAGTGCTCCACTTTGGATACTCTCCCGGCATCGCCTTTTCCAAAGCTCTTATGTAACAACCTCTCTCAATTCAAGACGCGTATTAACAACGTAATTATTTCAACTTTGGTAGGACTGTTTGTTGCTGGGTGCTTAATGTGTTTGGCCTTTGCGCCTGTTTTCAGCCAACTGCATTTTAGCAAAGAATCACGAAGGCCTTTCCCAAAACATGGCACGTTGGGCCAATGGTTCCAAACACCTGCCATTGACCCAATTTAGCTTTTTTATTGGTAGACACCAGAATCTTCACAACATGAAAGCCGAGCCGCAGTAGAGAATGCAGATACAAGACAGCATATTGCACCCAAGGCAATTTGCCGGAGTGTTATTGGTTGGCACACCTTGAACTCCGTCAAGTGCAAGTGAGGTACGAATTGGGGGCTTCACCCAAGATATGACAACAGCAGGATTCCAACTTTGGCCGAATGTATGCTTTGTTTAGCAAAAGTAATAATTGTGCTGTGCAATATGGCACGAAAACCAAGCTTCTTCAATGGCTCCTTATGCAGATGAGTAATTTAGTAATACCCTAGTTTATGTGGGGGATGTGTTCCTGAAAGTTGCAACGAATATTAAAACGACATAAGTCAAAGCAATTTGTCTCATAAAAATGGGTTTCCTGCAGATGTACAACACGTTCAGGCTATATTCGGTCTCAGTATTATTAAGCCATTCAAGATAGATTAAACCACTCGGTAAATATTTTCTGTAGAAGTGACTGCTGTTGTTGATCACCAATACCGGTGCGCGTGCAACTGTGGGAGCGGTAGAGTAGCGGTTCGCACGCTGCGCAACAAACCCAGCGACCCGAGTTCAATTCCCGCTCACCGCCAACACCAGTGACGATTATCTGAACCAGACCTGGGCCTCCCCTATGTCGACTCAGCCTCAAATGAGTACCTGGTGTGGTGTGTAAACATCACCACTGGGGAGACAAAGGCGGCCGGGCGTGGTGTTGGCCACCCACTCCCTCGTGTGCCATGCCGGCCTTCATAGGTGCTTACTAACAGCACTTGCCCCAACAGTCTGTTCAGGCTATACGGGGGATCTTTGTCTTTGTTTGCAGCTGTACACTGTGCTCGTAGTAACGAATGGCTGTCTCGATGACAAGAAGGCGTCCATCAACCGTCGGTACTCGGACTTCTCCCACCTGCACAAGACCCTCCTCCGCTCTGCGCCTGCAAATGACGACAAATCGGACGACAATGATGACAACATGCGGTACCGCCGCCAGTTTGCCAGACAACTCTCTTCGGTCTCGTTTCCCTCCAAGAAAATCGCCGGGAACTTCACAGCCGTGACGATAGCTCGGCGAAGTCGGGCATTCGAGCAATACCTGTCTCACATCACGCAGATACCCTCCGTACGTGGCACCCCCAGCCTCTGGGCTTTCTTCTGCCTGCCTGATTTAAAAGCTGGGCACAGCGCAATCCGTGGAGGGGATTACGATGGAGCCCTGCAGAGCCTCACCAATGCCTTGCATCTGCAGGTACATGTTTTATGTTTAACACTCATTTTGTGTTTTTCATGTTCACGTCAAATCATGGGAACATGTTTCACAGACAAGAGTCTGCAGTTAGGGGGTAGTGATGCTGGTATATGTGACAGCAATTAAATAATATACGGGTAATTTTTCAAATTCGGCAAATTTGTACCATAAATCCGGCACACAATGGTTCTTTATCGTACACTGTGAAGCACACAGCGCGTAATATTTTTGTGTTTAGTTTTTTTGTCCTTGTTTTTTTCCCCCCGCACCTCCGATGAGCACGGTTGGCTCCGTGCGGTGCGAAATAACCCATAAAATAATACGCAAAGAATTAACCAGGGTGTCCTGCAACAAGCTCAATGAACACGGAACTGCTGGGTCATGTCATCACCCTGTGAGCCATTTGTAAAATAGTGTATATTTTGGAACGTACATATTGAGGCGTGAAACATTACAATGCGATAATTGGTGACATTTTATTCTTGCCTGTGCAGGAAAAGATAATTCCTCCTCCATCACACAAGTGGGAGCTTCCTCCCACGCTGTCTGCAATGGCAGTGTGCTGTCAAGCACTGGGCAGACGAAACGAAGCGCAGGGACACTGCCAGCGAGCCCTCCAGGTCATGGGCTCCGCTGACGACGAGGACGACGACGAAGACGCCAACACGGCCGCCGAAGATCAGGGTGGTCCCGGCGTCGAGGGCTCAGGTGGAGCCGCATCGAGGAAGGCGAACGGCGGGCAGTGGGGTGACCTTCTCGTCGCTCTCCTAAGTGCAAACGTTCACCTGTCCTGGCAGTTGGGCTTGGACAAGAGAGAGAGCGAAGCCAGGCTGCAGAGACTGCAAGGGCGCCGAAGTGCGGGGTGCCGCAGCCCGCTGTCTCTCAAAGAGTGGGTTATCCAACAACATCTCCAGTGAAAAACCAACGTCATCGTCGTTTTAATGGCTGTGCAGAGAACCGTGGACACCCTGAACAGCTGCGTCCATTCTCTGCAGGTCACAAAGATGTAGTACATTTGTGCAAAAGGTGACCGAAACATTTATAGAGGGGTTGTTAAAGTAATGTTTGTTTTGCCGGTAACCGCATGAAAATTAACCCAGTATTAAAATCGGTTACCGGTGTGCTGCACATAGACAGTGTCTCTAGCAAAACAAAAACACGTAACATGTTTACCTCTTTCACTGAGAAAGGGAGCTGCCATGGTATAATGGTGAGGAGCACACTGGACTTGCAATCCATAGGTCACCGTTTTGATTCAATATCGTGGCGCAGCAGTTTAATTGGGAAAGTTGATTAATTCCCCCACTCCAATGCCTGTCCCCCACTTGCTGTACTGTTTGAATCGGTGCGCATTCATGACTAAAATTCCACTGAAATTGTATGGCCGTCCCCCACAGTTCAGAACCAGTAATTTTGACAACGGTTTACGGGTTACCATTTGTGACAACCCGAGTTTATGAAGGGACACCACGCTCTGGCCTCGAATGAGATTTTACCATATTTGCCTACTTGAGTGGCTTGGCCATTTATAGTACAGCCAAGGGATGGAACGAACACGTGTCATCCCTCGGCTGCCGCTCCATTTTACACCATTGTCCATCATCCCTTCTAGCCGTGATGCGTCCTGTCCACGTCCATTATTTTTTTCCTAAAATGTTTGGATGTCATTAAGCTGTGTATATTCTACAACCTATGTGTCTCTGAATGTAATTCTTAAGCAGTGGAAACATCTCCCTCTGTTGATTTCCTGTCTCAGAAACTCAAGAGAAGCGCTACTATTGTGTTTGCAGCACCACTCCACTGCTACATGTAGGAGTGCAATACAAAAGTTGACAGCCTCAGTCCGTATAAGTGAAATGTACTAATACGAGCCAAAGCAAAATCTGTCAGTGGTTTAATGATGCTGATCAATTGGTGATGAAGTATAGATAGCATGCAAAGGGAGGTATATAGTATTAGTTTGCACTTTTGTAAATGGATCAAATCTTAAACCACACGTTAACAGACTTGCTTTGAATTTCGTAAAAAAAGCTGATTTGGAGATTTTGTGCTGTGATGTCATTGTATACATGAAAACGTCTAGTACATCACTATATAGCGCAATTCATACATATAGTGCATATCTTATCCTGTCGTATCCGTTATATCAATTATTAATTTTAATTGTACATGCTGAACTTCTTTTTGCACCATACATAGCCAATCGAGACATACAAATTCCACCTCCAAAGGCTGTAGGAATTTGTAACGTGATTTTTTTTTTTTTGCGCGTGGTAGACCACGGAGGGAGATGGCAGCAGGAAAAACCGGCAGTCACAATATCTGAAGCGCTTGTCCTATCTTGGGACGTTGGACCAACTTAATTCATGAGTGTTTACCCAGGACGCTATTGAAAACGACTCTTCTTGGTCCGTTGAGTTCTCAAATTGATAAGAAAAAAAGGCTTGCTTGTCTCACACACCAATGGAGGAATTTACTTGACGGTTCACAAACAGAAGTTTTAGGCCAAATCAAGCACCTGGATAATTGCAAGGAAAAACGTACACTGACAACTGATACACTTATAGATTCTAGATTTAAAGCTTTCGTGACTGCAAGGATCCATACTCCATACTCTTTGGTTCTATTCGGTAAAATCACCTAGGTGATTTTTGTTTTATTTTTTACCTACGTGACTTTACCGAATAGAACCAAAGAGTACACTTATAGATTGTCATCCACGTGCTGCACCTCCTGTGGTCGTGAAAAGGGAAGGCTGTATTATATTAATTTTGAGCTGCTTAAAGCTGCAGATTTGCGCACCTCGTGTCAGTTTTAGAGCTGGCTTACTGAGACGAGATATCATCGCACTTGAAACCAAGAAGAGCATTCTGCGAGAGCTCTTGCACATTTTTACGAGTAAACGGTTTGATTGCCTTAACACTCAACGGTGCCTTTTACTAACATGAAGATGTTGACTTTTGGTGTTTATAAAAAAAATAGCAATAAAATGCAATACAACACGGAAATAATGCTGCCATTATCTTTGCACTGTTTGTGCAAGTCGTGACATTAAGCCTCAAGAGTGAAGTGCCTGTTGGAACCAGCAGGTTAGGGTTTTTTTATGCTGATATTTTGATCTAAATCAATTATGCTAAATATTCTCATGATCAAAATAAAAGATATTAAAACATTAGATACTGTGACTTTATTAAGTTTTACTTGTTGAAGGATGTGAAAGACAGGTGCAGGTAATGTGCATCAAAACAGGCAGCACGAAAGATTGCCTTTAAATATCTGCCAGTCACCAACTCTGGTTCAGGCAAACCGAACTTGGCGAGGAGACACTGTCGAATGCGCTCTGTAGCCTGCTAGTGTTGAACCAATGCTGCGACTAAGATACACTCCGAGTAGCTGATTGGATGTGTAACAAATACCTCCTCTCCGTGTTAGGTAGAGGGTCAGGACATGTGAACGAGGCGGATTATTTATTTTGTTACATTCCCCACTGATGTTAATCATTTGTTTTGCACAGTAACATTTATGGAGTTTAAGCAGTAGTCTAACATTGCATCCTGCTCCGAACAACTTGAAAGCTTGCTCCCAGAGTGCTTTGAGTACATATTAACATCTCGCCACCGCGGCATTCGCGGTGGCGAGATGTTAACTGCCTCTCCTGGTATACAGGAGGTCGTGGGGCCAATTTTGACACCGACGCCTATATATTTGGAGCTTGCGTGTCTCTCCCCGTCGTTACGCGGATTTTTATCCGGGTCCTCTGGTGTTTACCTCCACATTTGGAATAATGTGTTTCGAGTATTTGGCTGCGATACATTTCCACATAAGCCACTTTGTTGAGCTATCATTTGTGGCCAGGTCGCTTAAAAAAATCTATATAACTCAGTGGGCCTTACCTGGTAAAATGAAATAGTTTAGTAAAATAGTAATAACAATTTCCTCTGTGATGTTAATACTAATTTTGGACTTGCATTAAATTTTCAGGGGCATATATTTTTCGTAGGACAGTCCCCGACTTACGAATGGGTTCCGTTCCTGGGCTCCCGTTCGTAAGTCTAACGGCTCATAAGTCGGAACACAGCAATGTGCCGTATTTAAAGGCACGTACGGTCACCGTGTTCTAAAATGTTATGGTTCAACAAGAGGAAGCATTGTTAAACTCATAAGACATTGTAAATCAGTCATCGACTTTATAACCGGATTAGTTACCGAGATCTATTCGTAAGTCGAAACAAAAATGCACTATTTAAATGCCCATACGGTTAGTATTATGAAATGTTATGGTTCAACAAAAAGGGAAGCGTTATTAAACTACACAGAGACAGACCAACGACAACGGTCTCCCTTGTAGCCTGCACAGACTGTTGGGGCAAGTGCCGTTAGCGAGCAGCGCTTATAAAGGCTGGAACGGCACACGAGGGGGTGGGTGGCCAGCGCCACGCCCGGCCGCCTTTGTCTTTCAAGTGGCGATGTTTACACCGCACCAGTTACTGTTTTGAGGCCGAGCCGACCTAGGAGAGGCCCACCGGTGTTGGCCGTGAGCAGGAATCGAACTCGGGTCTTCAGGTTGGTGGCACAGCACGCCTACCGTTGCACTACCGCTCCCCACACACACACACGTGCGTGCGCGCGCACACAGGAGGAGCCCACACTTGGTGATGCGTTGGTGATGCGTTGAGGCAGGGCACTGGGTGAGAGGATCGATGAAAGGGGTAGAACATGGATAAGTATTGAGATTGAATGATGACACCGGCTAACGAATAGAGCAGAGGATATTTAGACAGAAACCCTGAAACCATCACATTCCTACAGACCTGCACAGAGACCCATAGACCATACAGTCCCATAAACTTAGCCAACTCTTTTCCTCAAAATCGAAGGTGACGAAACTTTGCAGACTTCCCCCACCCCATCGTCAAACTCCCAATTGCTTCCCGAGAACAAGCCAGGCTTCGAACTGGACATAGCTACTGCAAACATTCATTGGCATGAAACAATAATAGGTTTTACCTTTTCTGGCAATTAAAAAAAAAACGCCAGTCTAAAGGCTGTCTCTGGTGTAGGCCAATCAGTTTAAAAGACAATGTCTATATTATCGAAGCATGATTGCATGTTCACCACAGGTACGTGTGTGGTTCATGCAGACGTGATAACTTGCAAAATGTTTATATTTGGTGTTTGAACATCTTAACACCTCTTTTATTGCCAGAAAGGGTAAAACATTCCTATTTTAGATACTTTAATCCTGACAAAAAGGCCCCATTTTATATCCATTGGCATCAAACGCATCCATGATTGCATTTTAATGTAGTTTTTTTCCATCTAAGGCCCATCTTTAGCAGCCACTTGAGTTTGTGCACAGTGGTTAGCAGTTACACGAGGACGCGCGGCCGCAATGCGAGCAGCTTTGAGACCCCCACGTTGCCATCCTGAACTTGTACATGCCACAGACATCGTCGTCATCAGCCATCATCAATCCACTGCTGATTGAAGGCCTCGCCAAGCCATTATTAATCTTGACCCACAGTCAATGATCTCTTCTCGCCATGCAGTGTCCTGCCCATGGGCGGGGTTTGGTGGGGGGCGGTTGGAGGGGGGGTACGGTGGCAAATGCCCCCCCCCCCCCCAAACTGGACATCTTTAATAAATTATTTTCAGTAGTTTACAATTAAGATAAAAAATACATTAATCATATGCACCCGCGATTCCTAATGTAAGGGACAAAGCGAACCCCCCCAAACTACACACGTTATTATAAAAGTATTTATCAATTTGTAATGAGCGACTTCCACGACACGTCGTGTAGAGGGTGCTCTTCTTTATTCCACGTACGGCACGGCACAGGCCAACGTTATAGGCACACACTGAGATGTGGACGTTCTACAGACTACACACACGGTCGATCACACAGCTGGTTCCGCCCTCCGCTCCCGGTCTCGCCGCTGGCTGACGGCGTTGCCGGGGAGGGCGGTGGAGCTTTGCCGGAGATCCGCCACGTGGCCGAACGACGGAGAGAGATGACGGCGAGCAGCGACGCAGTCCGGACCCAAGACTCCCCACACCGACCCCCGAGTCCTCCTCCGCTGATATTCTCCCAGGCGCGCCAAGGCTCCGCCTCCGGCCACGCCCTCTCGTGGAACTTTCCAGACGGTTCTCGGAGTTTCTCGGCCAGCCCCACCCCTCACCTTTGGCCCGGATACCTCCCCCTTTGGGGATTGGATAATGTTTATAATGGTGCATGTACTCGTGCTACCCTTTACCAACCAGTAGATGGCACTATCTCATTACACATTTATTTCCAGTTGTTTACAATGAAGATTTATAATGTACTGTATGCACCCGTGATTCCTACTATGAGGGACAAAACGAACTCCTGCGTCCCCCCCCCCCCAAATATAGAAGTCAAACTCCGCCTGTGGTGCTTCCTGCCCTCAGCCCACTCTTCCTCAGTGTGGATGATGGCACAAACTCCAATCACGCGTTTCTCCCTCCTCCTGTCAATTTAATTTCAAGTATGAATATTTCCACGCTTCTGTGTACTTTTAACATTTTTTGGCGTTTCTATTCTTCATGGATGATCCGTGTTGTTTCTGAAGCGTACACACCGTAGCGGAGTAGTGATTCACTGACGGACAACATTGTTATTGTTGAGACCAATCAGGAATGTTTCTTTTCACGATCAACTTCAGTTGTTAAAAAAAAAAACTCCAACATGCTCTTGTCCACCCCCCTTATGACATAATTTTCATCCTGGTCACATTCAATAGCGGACCAGAGTATGAGCATTATCCCGTGTTCTCTAGTTAGGTCTCTAATTCTGCCGTAACGGCTTCGTGATTAGTTTTGCGAGATTTACATTTCTAAAATAAATAAATAAAAACCTGTTACCCATTCGTGTGATTCCCAGTAATAGTGCACATTATCCACTAACAACGAGGACTTTACGGTACTCTCTATACGACACACATGGCAAAAGACGGGTCCGCTGTGTAAGTGCGCTAAAGCACGGAGCATTCAGCAAACAAACTTAGCACTCCCAAGTGTATACTTTTATTATTTTACACAAGTTAATACAAAAAAAGAAATAGACACATATGGCAGGCGATTATTGTGATTATTGTACATTGTAAATCAACAGCGCAAAGACTTATTTCCAGGCAAGTCAAAGGGCCAGACTTCTCGTACAAAGCGTTGTTCGCTTTAGTCTGCGTGTTTTCCTTTGTTATAGCAAAGAATGTGCGTTTGTCTCTACTATCAACCATGGGGCGAATCACCCAGGGTGACTGATCAATGATTTTTGGCCATCGCTCTCATGACAACGTGGCCTGGGCCAAAAGTGTCTCACCCTCCTGCTCAAGTGGACAAAGTAGCGGCACTCACAACTCCCACTACCGCGTCTCGATGTACAAATGAGACAATCAGGCGTGATACACCGACAGACTCGGGCGAACCTTGAATCCACAAGCGTCGGTTAACTCTGAAATATTAAAATGGTTAAGATTACAGCTTTCATTGTCACGAGTCATCAGTGGCTGTTAAACCCAACAGCGATAATAATATTGCCACCTTTTTCACAGGAGACCTGGACACATTCCTCGAAGTCAACCTCGGTCGACTATCCAAGCTGCGCGGTTTGCCGTGATGAAGTTCAACACGATTCCGCTACGAGATCTCGGAACAAATCAGCTCCTGCCATCCGAATACAGATGCCAATTCATGGTCTGTCCGGATCAAACCAGGGCACGTCTGACAACCCTAACCGATAACATCGAACACGTTTGAATGCACAATCACTCCCTCTAAGATGACCAAGCATGCGTCACCATCTATACACAGTGCCGGATTATTCTAGTAGCAAAAGTAGCTACATATGCTACGGGCCCCGCACTTTCAATGGCCCCGCGCTAAATGCTTTAAAGCTATTAATTCCGGTTCAGTGATTTTGCACTTGCTCTATTACTATAGTACTATACTGCCTTCAACTTTTATGAACGGCTGGGTGTTTAAGGTTAGCGATTTGTCGTATTATCTGGCTGTATAGCAAATGAAAAAATACAATTACTTGACTATGCGAGTTGAAAATGTCTTTTAATATTTTTAAAATTTCATCCGGCACTGTCTATACGAAACCTACAAATACCTAATTCGTCTGTCAGTCACTCGCAAGGTCAATCTAAGTCGTACAGGGTTCGGCCAGGTCTCATTCTGACCACAAGAACCCCGGAGATCTTTGGTATTGAACGTGACGTGTGTACAACCTATGACCTCTCACCCTGGACCTCAGAAACGATCACCGGCGTGGCAATCGCGACGAGTACTGTGCCGACGTTGCACGTCGTACTGTCACGTGCGACGGAGAGTTGATGGAGGGTCGTGTCACGGTGGAGCGGCGAGTCTGGTGCGTTTCATGCTCAGTGGAATCTGGCGAGTGGTGTCTGACGTCTGTGTTGTTATCAGTGTCAGGTGAGCGTTTGGCGATTGTCAGGTGAGTGTAAGGTCACCCTGCCCACAGACTTCCCGTATAGATGGAACCACGAAGGCAGCCCGATCATTGGAAGCTACAGCTGCACTTGTAGCCCTCCTGTGCATCGAGATACCTCGAAGTGCACGAAGTATCAGACGACATCTTGACAGCAGGGCACAGAGCAAAGTAAGCGACCTCGGAACACACACTTGAGATGTTTATGCGGTAGAACTCGATCGACCAGACTGACCGTTTTATCTGATCCAAATTGCACGTCACGACAACTAACTCGCACACCCACTCACCCCGCATTGCTGGCTACAACAAAGACAAAGATCCCCCGTATAGCCTTAACAGACTGTTGGGGCAAGTGCTGTTAGCGAGCACCTATGAAGGCCGGCACGACACACGAGGGGGTGGGTGGCCAACACCACACCCGGCCGCCTTTGTCTCCCCAGCAGCTCCCCAGGCTACAACACCACCTACCCACACACACACCCCACTCCCCACGCTGTCGTTCACGACGCTTCTCTTTCTGTTTCTTCCCTCGTGAACTGCTCCACTTTGGAATTCACTCCAGTTGGCACTTTTCCTAAACCATTGTAACAACTTTGTCCAATCCAAGACGCTTGTTCATTATTATCGTAAACTCTTGACGGTGCTGTGTGTTGTTGGCCGCTTGTCTTTTTGGACCTTTGGCCTTGTGCTCGGCAGCTGTTCATAAACTTTGTACAAGGACTCCTCTACTTACGAACGAGTTAGGTTCCAGGGCTATGTTTGTAAGTCGATTTGTTCGTAAGTTCGACTTTACTCCTGTCGATTCCAAACGTGCTGTTACGGCATTTACACTAAACAAGGAGAATGGCTTTAAAATTTGTATAATCTCCCGAAGATGTAGATGCCACTGGTACTTCACGTTCTACAGATGTAGATTCCACCACCGCCATCTATTGCGTGGCGATTGCATTTACGAATTTCGATCTGAACAAGCAACTGGACATAAGGACAGGTTTGTTCGTATCTCTGAAAGTTCGTAAGTCGAATGCTCGTAAGTAGAGGAATATCTGTATAAGTATGTGCTGTGTCTTAGCATAGTATTGCAGTGCAATAGGTGGTGGTGTGTGGATGCCTGGCAGGTGAGATGTATACTTGGGGTGCAAGGTCTGGGTGGTGTGAGGTGTCTGGGTGGTGTAGCATGGTGTCGAGTGGTGTATAGGCAGGGTGGTGTGTAGGCAGGGTGGGTGGGGGTGTGGTGTGTGGTGCGAGATGTATATGGTGTGGGTGGTTATGTTTGGTGAGTGGTGTGGGTGGTTATGTTTGGTGAGTGGTGTGGGTGGTGTGAGTGGGTTATGTGGTGTAATTGGGATGTGGTGAGAGTTTGATGTGGTATTAGTTGGGTGTGGTGTTGGTAGGGTGTGGTGTAAATGGGGTGTGGTGTGGGTGTGGTGCTGTGTGGTATCTGGGTATTGTGAGGTGGATGGGAGTAATTTGGCAGTGTTAAGAATGCTGTAATAATGTTTTGGTAATTTCCCATAAAACCTATGAGACCAGGTATAATTAAATCCACGTTCCAAGCAATCACCTACAGTTAGTACTGGAAATACAAATATGAATGAAACAATATTTTACATCATCCCACACCTTATTTGAACCCTGGTAAAAATGTCAATGATAAAAGTATGGGCCTCTTGGTCAAATTAGTCATTAAGATTTATTTGCATGAATAATAATTCTAATTGGCAATATCATTATTTACAAACTGCTTACTGTTGAGTAGTTACACTGCTCATCTCATTTACACAACAGACTTGTGCAGTAGTACAAAGCACACGAACGTAAGCGCGAGACATTCAAATCGGGTCACCGCCTTTTCCCACAGCTGAACAAACCCAGCGATATTTCTCAATTAGCCTAAGGCCTATTATCAAAAACTGTGCCATACACATTGTAATAAAGTTCAATACAACTCTAGTACCAGCCAGACCTTGGTACAAATCATTTACCGGCGCGCGAACACAGACACCCGATTCCCGGACTGTTTGAGTAAAACCCGGACAGGTGGCGGCGACCCTGCACTGAATCCCCGAGTGAGACACATAAATAGCGAGTCATGAACTGCAAAATTAAAATCAACCACAGATCGAGCAACGATGCCAACGACCAAACCCTGCAATTTGATTGGTGCCTTCCCCAAAAAATGCTCCACAGCATTCAGGTATCTTTCCACTTGTGCATCTCTGTGCTTTTCCCGCGTAACGCAGACACGCGCCTCTGGCCTTGCGTTGTAGTGCCGGCAATGAGACTACCGTGTGCCTGTCCCCAGCGGTGGGAACGTGAGTGCAGAGGCGCTGGTGTGAATCCTACCCATCTTGCTGCTGCCCATTGATCACTGCCGTTTCCCTTCTGCGGAAACATCGCGGCGCGGAAATAGGAAACGGTTCCGAAAAGTGTCAGAACATGCGTATTTGGTGCTCCAGAAGCGCCGGTAAGGCATACCGGCGTATACCGGCACATTTCCACCACCCTTTGTCACGTATAAAAGGCAGAGTCTGAAATAGACAAGAGATTAAACGACTGCAGAGTAACAGCAGACTGGCCTTGGCACAGAATCCAGAGGATACAAATGGTCCAGTGACCTTAAACCACCTCGGGGTCACCGATCAGCGGGCCGTGACGTGAGCACGGCGGAGTCCCTCGTCCCACATCCGTGGCGCCCTCTCTGGAGCGACGACGATCAGCCTTCGTCCGTCGAGTCGCTGGACTTGTCGCGGTGCGTGGGCCCTCCCCCCGCCCCGGTGCCCATCATCGCCCCGTGCGGCGTGCCACCCCCCGATCCGTCTTGGCTCGCCTTCCGCCGTTGTACCACCTTCTTTCTGGCGCGGGAGGCCGCTGCCAGCTCGTCGCCATCACCGCCCCCCGACTCGGAGTGGCTGCGGTGCGCGCCGCCGCCGCCGCCGCTGCTCAAAGCAAGTTCGGCGCCAGGGCCCGGCGCTCCCCGCTTCTCGTGCGTGCCTGCAGCGCACGCACGCACACAGATGTTATTATTATTTTTCCGCCTGTGTACCCAGCAAAACGTCAACGAGTTTCAAGACCTTTTTTAGGAGGCTCCTGCTAAGTATATTGTGGTCGAGGGTGACGAGCACGTTGCTTTTTTGGGGAATTTGGCAAAAAGACTTAAGACCGCGGCACCGGTTCAACCGTGGACCTTACCCGGCAGGGGGGATAGCTGCTCGTGGGCTGGGTTGGTGAGGTTGTTGTTACGTTGGGACATCTGCTCAAGCTCGTTGTCGGTATCCGTCCTCAGATCATCACCGGAGAGCTCACCTGCTTGGCACACAATGCGACGGACCAATAAGTAAAGTGGCGATGCCTTTGCACCTGGCCTGCAATATGCTTCTGGTGAATGTGCATATTTGCATGCAAGTATATTTATATCAGCGAGGTTGTGCATTGTTGCGTGTTGCGTGTGGGTTGCATGCGGTTGCATGTTGTTGCGTGTGGGTTGCATGTGGCTGCGTGCCCTCGGGGGTGGCAGAGCGACTGCTGTGGCCCGGAGTGGCGCTGCTCTCCGACGGAGACCGTCCCTGGCCCAGAGACACGGAGTCCCCGCTCTCCTCTAGACATGCACAGAGGCACACAGGGACAAACATGGACAGGCAGGGAAGCACAGGGACATGTTGGGACAGTCAGGAACACACAGAGAAAAACAACGACATACAGGGGACAGACGGGGACACACCGGGACATGCAGGCATTAACCCACAGACAATACTACACAGGCAATACTCTGCATACAATACCCCAGGAAATACCATACAAGCAATACCTTAGAGACAATACCCCAGAGACAATACCCCAGAGACATTACCCCAGAGACAATACCCCAGAGACAATACCCCAGAGACAATACCCCAGAGACAATACCGCAGAGACAATACCGCAGAGACAATACCGCAGAGACAATGCCCCAGAGATAATGCCCCAGAGACAATGCCCCAGAGACAATACCCCAGAGACAATACCGCAGAGACAATACCGCAGAGACAATGCCCCAGAGACAATACCCCAGAGACAATACCCCAGAGACAATACCCCAGAGACAATACCGCAGAGACAATGCCCGAGAGACAATACCCCAGAGACAATACCCCAGAGACAATACCCCAGAGACAATACCCCAGAGACAATACCCCAGAGACAATACCCCAGAGACAATACCCCAGAGACAATACCCCAGAGACAATACCCCAGAGACAATACCGCAGAGACAATACCCCAGAGACAATACCCCAGAGACAATACCCCAGAGACAATACCGCAGAGACAATACCGCAGAGACAATACCCCAGAGACAATACCCCATAGACAATACCCCAGAGACAATACCCCAGAGACAATACCCCAGAGACAATACCCCAGAGACAATACCCCAGAGACAATACCGCAGAGACAATACCCCAGAGACAATACCCCAGAGACAATACCCCAGAGACAATACCCTAGAGACAGTACCCCAGAGACAATGCCCCAGAGACAATACCCCAGAAACAATACCCCAGAGACAATACCCCAGAGACAATACCCCAGAGACAATACCCCAGAGACAATGCCCCAGAGACAATGCCCCAGAGACAATACCCCAGAGACAATACCCCAGAGACAATACCCCAGAGACAATACCCTAGAGACAGTACCCCAGAGACAATACCCCAGAGACAATACCGCAGAGACAATGCCCCAGAGACAATACCCCAGAGACAATACCCTAGAGACAATTCCGCACAGACAATACCCCAGAGACAATACCATGTGCAGCAGAGGAAACGAAAGTGTAACGCGTGCAGACGAACGCAGGGACATGTGCATCGATCACAGTTCTGAATACGCAGACAAAGAGCCTCCTTCTCATATCTGTCCCTGCTAATAAAAGTATTTTTAACACATCCGATCGGCAACACAACCATCTCAGGAGTGCGTTATGTCAACAGCATTCGTTCAACGGTGGCAAAAACAACTCCGAGTTGGTCTCCACCTGCAGCGTCTCGTCAGCAGTCAGGCTCTCTCGAATCAACGCTGACGAACTGCCAGACGCCGACGCGCGTCATTGCCAATCGTTTGGAGGCATCATTCCGCAAGTTCGGCAAAGCCTCACCTGAGGTCCAGCTGGGCTTGGGCCGTGGCGAGAAGGCCGGCTTGCCGAGGGGCGACGGCTTGCTTGGCGGCGAGGGCGACAGGGGCCCGCGGGGACTGGTGGGACCCGCGGGACACAACGGCGCGACCTTCGCGGCGGCATCGCGCGGGACGGCGACGCCGAGACCCAGGCCCTCGGCCTCCGCTGACTTCTGGTTCTGGAAGGGGCGAGAGGGCGGAGGAGGGGAAGGCGTTCTCGAACGACGTGGACCGAGGACGCCGCGACCGCGACGGCCAACGAAGCGCAGACAGCCGTGCCGCCGGCGACAGCGTGGTCGCTGTCGCCGAGTGGTGGAGCGAGCTCGCCGCTCGTTGCAGAGGTTCGCGGGTTGGATCCGGCTTGCATGCCGCAGGCCACACCGGGCGCATTTAACCGTGAAATACTCCGTGGTGTCCGCACACCTGCCAACCCATACGGTTTACCCCGTATCCTTGTACAGGGAAATTGAGTTTTCAGGTCCACACGGCGTACAGATGTTTCGATATGGGCAGAAAAAATTGTCTATTTGTTTGTGTTTCTTCCATGTGATGGGACGTTGTAGGATGAACGCTGAGGTTTATAAGGGGCACACGGGGTGACCAATAAGGTCAGAATTGGACTGTAATAAGGTAGGCACTGATAAAGGGTTGACAGGTATGCGTCCGCTTCACAGTTGACTTTAAACATCGCATAATGCCAATCGTAGAAGTGTAGGCCATTGTGTTCCAGAACAGTGGTCCAAATTTGCTGAATTTGAACGTGTACTGGATTGGAATAGCGTTACGTTCCTTCTTTCACATTTGACGGAGGCTCTTACCATAGCGGGACATTTAAGCATTGACAATCGTCTACTCGATGGGCAACGGCAGAAGGACTGAGAGCTTGAGGGCACAGGCCCGAGTCAAAGTGATTTCCTTCGCAAATCACTTCTGCCTACGGCCCTGAGCCAGTGGTGGAAATTCCACATTTCTCCGGCGGTAGCAAGTTCTTGATCGTCCTCACAAAGCGGTGCTCATTTTATCCACATCGGAGGGAATTGTGGGCCGATTCGACACCCAAGCAAAAATCTGACCTCGTGACCTCGTGACCTTCCGACCGCAAGCCGCCCGCCCGCCGAGCCATGAGGACGGGGGTCGTGACCCCAGCGTACCCGCTGCTGGATGATGGCGCGTCTCTCCTGCTTGGCCTTCATCTCGGCCAGGAGGCTGCCCCCCATCACCGGGTAGCCTGGCGGGACACGTCGCGCTCCCGGGGGGCTCGGCTTGCTTGGCTCCGCCACCGCCGCGACTTTGCCAGGCTCGATGGCCGCTCCCCCGGCCCTGGCAGGCTCCACGCTTCTCACGGTGTCCTCGGCGAACGGGTGCGGCGACCTGGGGAGGCAGGATGTGGAAGAATAACGACGCGGCCGACCGTGCTCTGCGGAGGGCTGCACCCCGGTGTGTGAGAAGCGGAGCTGCAAATCTTAAGCGTGGCACTACGGGGTCGGGACTGCGTCTCGAGCGTCGCTCTCCTCTCGAGCATTTGTCCAACGCGCCGCTCGCTGCCGCGATCGATGCGTACAACCGCAGCACCGCGCGGGGGACAGTTTTACGGGAGGAAACGCTCAATGCGCAGGAGCACCCCAAAAAACCAGACCTGGGATTACACGAAGCTTTCTCTCGCTCCCAACAATTCACAGCTCCTCCACAAAGAACAGGATTTGGCCGAAGCTGGAAACCTGTTGCTGTCGTATCTGGGGTGGAGCAACCCGGTTTGTACCTCGCTGCATGTGACAGGATTCACCGTAAAGGAGCACTCACCAATTAAACTCCAGCCACTCGTGGACAGTCGCCTCCACATTGCTCTTCTATTGCTACTAACATGGTCACTGTCCCCGTGAACTTTACTCGTCGATTCCTCCACCCATGTTGAGGACTCGGTCTGGTAAACCCCCGTTTTATCTTATCCACCACACTGTTCAACCACCACACTGCAGGTCACAACAAACACTCACCCCCACCCACTCACCCACTCACCACACTGCAGGTCACAACAAACACTCACCCCCACCCACTCACCACACTGCAGGTCACAATGATAATTATATTTCCACTAACATCACACACTCTGCTCCACTGTGGAATTCCGCGGCATCACCCTCATCCTCCTACCCCCAGGCCCTCATAATAAAAAAATCGACTCGAGCCACGGCTGGAGTGGAGCGATAGCTGCGGAACGAAGGGGGGGGGGGGGGGGCTTCTGCCCCCACGCGCGGCGCCCCTCTCTCACCGCTCTTCCTCGTCGGGCTTAGCGGCGATTGCCGGCGCTTCCATCTCCGCGGCCTTCACCTCCGTCCTCGGGGCCTCCGTCCTCGGGGCCTCCGCTGCGGGCTCCGCGGCCGGACCTGGGGCCGCGGCGCCGGCCGTGGGCCCGGGGCTGGGGGAGGCCTTGTAGCTGCCCCGTGGCCGCATGAACCCGAAGAAGCTCCCCTTCTTAGAGTCGCGCCGCCTCTCGGAGGCATCGGCGTCCGTGGACTCGGCCCTCCGCAGCGAACCCCTCCTGCGGGGCCGCACGTCACCGGGGTTGAATCATCACGAGCGCTCTCGTTGAGAGAATACGTGGGGCCTCAATACATTCTCGGCTACTACGCCTCCTAAAATGATTCACTCCCGGGATGCTCTCTGCCTGATGCGATGTGTGACAAAATAATAGGTCGGTTTTTTTTGTGCGGAGGGACAGATATGGGAAGGAGGCGTTTATTGTCAGCCTATTTATTTTGTAAATTAATCATCTTGTATTGGCGCCGTTCTCACAGCACAAGGCTGTGGTGTGATGTGCGGTGTGGTGACTGTGATGTTTGGTGTGGTGGCTGTGTGTGATGTGTAGTGGCCGTGAGTAATGGTGCTGTGGGCGTTGTGCGCCCGCTAGAGACGTAAACGCACTTGGAGGAGACTCGTGACACCTTCTTGGAGAAAAACTCATCGACTCCCTCATCCACGCGTCCCATGATGCCGTTCTGTTCGCCCTCCTGAGACTCCGCGATGCCGCCCGTGCAGGACTGCAGCCACACACACACGCACATGCACACACACACACGCACATGCACACACACACACACATGCGCGACGGCTCAACGACCACGTTGTGCCGGCACAGACACAACGCGCGTTCCGCACACAGCACAACTCCGGGAAGCGTTTGCTCACATAGCCGGATGCCACTGGGTCGGCGGCGGAGGGGGGGGGGGGGGGGGGGCACAGGCGGTGCGCCATGCCGTGATGCCGCTGTCACAGAGAGGATCCGGAAATGGAGCTCGACCGGCCAGTGCAGTTCACCGCGTCCACCGTCACACCCTCCCCTCCTCCGTAGGACGGGCGGTGGAGACCGATGCCACAGGGGAACGCCAACCCCGAACGAACGTTTGAAATCTGGGATTCGCCATTTGGTGACGACGCATCTGCCTGCCGAGTCGCCCCCGGGAAAAAAGGCTTCTTAGCTCGGGGGGGAAAAAACTTCCGGTTCCAATTCTGAGTGTGGACGCCTCGCACGTTACATTTCCCACCCATTTCCCTACGAGGGGGGCGAAGCGAGGAATTGCCGCTCACCGCCAGCCGCCCCAGCGGTTGCTTCTTGGCCCTGCGAGGCCGCCCCTTGGTCACGTGCTCCAGCTTGCGGCACTCCTCGGACGGTAGCTCGGCCAACGCGGCGTGAGGGCTGCGGTCCGTGCCGCTGCCGCCGCCGCCGCCGCCAGGACTCTCCGGAGTCGCGGCCTCATCCAGGAGCGACGTCGGGGTCGGGGTCAGGGTTGTCTCCGTCGTGCTCGTCATGGCGACCGGGTCGATCTCAAACTCTGCGGAGAATCGAAGGTCGTTCGCGGGCGTTTCCACGCGGAGAGCACGGCTTCATTTGAACGCAATTATTTGTTTGTTATTCGTTGAAATATTTCACCGGGAGAATCCCGTGAGATTTGAGATGGGCCGTCTCACTTGCAAGGATGTGGAGAGTGTCGATTGACACTTTCCAAATCCTTGCGTCCACCATCACGTTGCAACACCGCATTGCACCACCGCGTTGCACCACAGCAGTGCACCATCACGTTGCACCACCGCGTTGCACCACCACATGCACCACCACCACGTTGCACCTACCAAACAACTTGGACACGGGGCGTAGTTTCCGGCTGTAGATGCTTTTCCGTTTACTTTTTGGGGTGAGCTGTGGCATGGACAGAGAGAGGGGAAGAACGTCATCACATGGCCTGCACAAGTCGTTAGGCAAGTCACGTTAGCAAACGCCTATGAAGGCCGGCACGGTGCATCAGGTGGGTGGTGTGGCCAGCCCCACAGTCGGCCACCTCTGTCTCGCAGCCCCTGATTATTACTACGCAATGCATCAGGTACTGTAGTAATTTTAAGGTGGATTCAACTTAGGAAAGTGCAAAGGATCAATGCAGATTTCTGCCACTAGGGTCAGGATCTTGTCCAGAGCTGACCAAACCCACAGTTCAGTCAGCCTAGGCCTATTGTCAAGACGGTACAGTTACAACTAAAATAAAGTTCAACACAATACCGGTAATATCTTGGTACAATTTCATTATTTTCTGCTACCAAAACACAGAGGGTGCCACGGTGGCGATATGTTAACTACCTCGCCTGGTATACAGATGTCAGGGTTCGATCCCAACCCTGACATCTGTATAGTTGGAGTTTGCATCTCGCTCTCCCCGTGGCCGTGTGGATTTTTCTCCAGGTTCTCCGGTTTTTCCCCCTCCACATTTAGAATGAAAATCAAGCGTTTACAGCATTCGGCTGCTATAAATTTCCACATGATGTTAAGCCACTGCGTTGGGCTACCATTGGTGATAGGTCGCTTTTGAATAAGAGCTATAACATAGCTCAGTGGGCCTTACCTGGGGGAAAAAAAGCCAATTCCTGGACTTGTCCCGAGCCAAGCCAAGCCAGGCGGCCACCCTGTTCACTGATTTTGGCTCTCCCTGAGAACCAAACTCACCAGCTTCATAGCACAGTGGCACTAACCACTACCACTACTGCACATTGACACACACAACAGCCGCTGTTTCCCACCAAGTGATGGTGACATCGCGAACAGCGGTCGTACCAGCTGAGGTGCACTTTGAGGCTACCACGTGAATTGTGCAAGGCAACGCTGGTAGGAGGTCACGGGACAGACCCAGGTGGTGCCATGGGTTGATTGAGGACTGGCAGATGCACCACCAGTGCTGCCCACTGTGCCAACTTGCTGCGTTTTAGCTGCCCAGGCCTCCGCTCGTCGCGAGCAGTGTTGAGTTGCTCACAGTAACACGTGCATACTGCTTACGGACATGCAAGGTCTCAGGATAAAGCGGCTGAAGTTACTTACACTCGGGCAACAGAGCGTCTTCAGTGCCGAGTGTGACAGGGAAGCAGTGAGAAGAGGGAAAGAGAAAGAGACACGGCAACACAACACCGTCCCCTTACAGAAGAGTTAGACAAGGACAGTGCCGGCATCCACCCTCAAACACAGTCATCATCGGCATAATTCAACCATTCAGAATGTGCAGCATACGTAGTTTTTTTGATTACTCTCACGAGACACAGAACGACGATTCAGAAGCGTGGGAAAACCCACAGGCAAACGGGAATGCAGCCAGAACCCGGCACCATCAATTGTGGGCATGTGGCCAAACTCCATTTGCATCTGCGTGCAACTGCTCATCATTAAAAGAGCCGAGGCCTGGCAAGCTTACGTGTCTACGATCCTCTAAAAGCATCATCTGGCTTCCCGTGTAATATTTCAATTGGACGGCGTTGATCATAAAATCGCAACGAGCGACTACGGCACTGGGTGCTTTGATCACGCAGTCTTTACAGAGCTCTGATGACACTTGGCTGCGACTGGCGTAGGGGTTTAGCGCTAGATTTACGGTGAGAGCCTCGCATAGGGTGAGGATTAGGGTGAGGTTAGGGGGCTAGGTCTGGGTTCAGATAGCAGTGTGGCGAGCGTTCTTCTGGCTTTTGGGTGAGGGTTAGGGTGAGGTTAGGGGGCTATGTCTGGGTTCAGATAGCAGTGTGGTGAGCGTTCCTCTGGCTTTTGGGTGAGGGTTAGGGTGAGGTTAGGGGGCTATGTCTGGGTTCAGATAGCAGTGTGGCGAGCGTTCCTGTGGCTTTTGGGTGAGGGTTAGGGCGAGGGTTCGGGCACCGTGCAGCTGTCCGCGTCCTCGTGCCGCTCGGCATCGTGCGTCCCCGCGGCCTCGTCGCCGCGCCGCTCTCTCTCGTCGCCGCGCCGCTCTCTCTCGTCGCCGCGCCGCTCGCGCGTTCCCTCCTCCGGCGCGTCAAGCTCCTCCGAGTCTCGCCGCTGGGCGCGGGGGACGGGGCGCCCCGAGCGGTGCACGTGCTCACCCTGACGCACGCACGCACAGACGCACGCACGCACAGACGCACGCACGCACAGACACACGCACGCACAGACACACGCACGCACAGACACACGCACGGACAGACACACGCACGCACAGACACTCGCAAGCACAGACACACGCACGCACAGACACACGCACGCACAGACACGCGCACGCACAGACACGCGCACAGACACGCGGTGAGACCGTGCACCGCAGTACGAGCCGGTCACCCCACCTCTCTCCCCGTAGTGTTTTCTGGGCTCCACCACCACAAAGACCTCAAAAAAATGTTCAGAAACTGCAAACCTCTTCCTGGAGGTCATGTTACCAATTTTTCCCTTAATGATGGCGATGAGGTGCCGTTGCTGCAAGTTACCGTCTTGATAGAATTGAAGAATGATTTGTAAATTTCGTGTTGGTCACCGAGACCAGCCTCTTTTGGATTTGAATGGGGTCCTTTGGTGGATGTCTGCTATCAGTGGAAGACACTGTTCCCTCAGGGCCTCCAAGCTTGGTTTGGTGTTTCCTCTGTAGTTTTGTGGTGAATGAGTTTAACGGTGGAGAGGTTCCAAGCCCCGCCCCCACCCTCCAATACCTGTCCAGCATCCCATTAGCCACCGATGTGGCTGTGAGCACCATGAGGCTACGAGCCGATTAGCATCGGTCTTTCAGCTTTATTCCCCCAAATATCACTTGCTCTCAACACACCACGGTTACCATCTGATAACATCAAGGAGGCGGGAGTTCTTTTGTCATAGGTGAGGGCTGTTTTGATGCCCGCACACTAAAAATAATAAACTAAATTGTATTTATTTTACCAGGTATGGCTCACTGAGCTATACAGCTCTCCTTCAGAAGTGACTTGGCCACAAATGATGGATCAATGACGTGGCTTATCACGTGGGAAATTAGAGCAGACAAATACCATAAACGCACGTTTCCAAATGTGGAGGAGCCGGAGTAAATGCACACCACGACCTCCTGTATAGCAGGCCAGGTAGCTAACATCTCGCCATCCGTGGCACCCATGCACAGCGACGCACGGCGGCCAAGAGAGACGACGGCCGATGCTCGAGGCCACCGGCGAGAGAAATTCAGGCGAAGGAGCGAGCGCGCCAGGAAGGACGTCGCGCCGCGGAGACGGAGCGACGAGGTGGATGGAGACGCGGGGAGGCCCCGCATCCAGCGGGCAAACAGAGAACGGCTGCCGACGTCACGCGAAGAAGAAAAACCTACCAGCCGATGCTGCGACGTGGAGAGGCTGCCCAGGATCTCGTCCATGAGACGGTCGGAGAGGTGCGACGCCGTGGCGAGTTTCACCTCGCTGAGCGCGCACGCGCACACGGCAACAAGGACAAAGATCACCCGCGTGCAACCTTAACAAGCGCTCGGGGCAAGCGCTGTTCGCGAGCAGTACCTATGAACGCCAGCACGGCACACGTGAGATGGGTGGCCAGCACCACGCCCGGCCGCCTTTGTCTCGACCCAGTGGCTAAGTTTTCTCACCGCGCAATGTGCTTATTTGAATCAGAATCTGAATATTTATCCTGGAGGAATCCGATGAGCTATAGAGCCCTTTTTCACAGATGTTCAGTTGGGGCATGGGGTTAGAACGTTACAACAAACAAACAACACAAAAAACACGATAGAAGTGCAAAGTACAAGAAAGTAATCAAATCACCCAAAGGACAGGGTGCCCTCGAGTACAATAAAGTCTCGGAGTACGCAGGCTCATTGTACGCGGACCGCTCATACGTGACCGACCCCGATTCACTCACACTTTGTGACTTGTACTTTCGCTACAAATGCACGTGGACGTGTATTTGACGGAGTGTATCTCAAACCTGTCAACCCATGTAGTTTACCCTTATTCCTGTACAGTTAAATCGAGTTTTCAGGTCCAAACGGTGTACAGCCGTTTTAATACGGGCAAATTTTTTGTCTATTTGTTTGTGTTTCTCCCTTGTGATGGGACTTTGCAGGGTGAACGTTGAGATTTATAAAGGGCACGGGGTGACCTGTAAGGTCTGAATTGGTCTGTAATAAGGTAGGGCACTTACAAGTGGTTGACAGGTATTGCAAACACATACAAATAAAACTAAACCATCCCCATCCTACCAGGAAAAGCCCACTTTGAGTCTGGGTCGAACTATGCTAGGGCCAGGGAAAGCACAGGACTGAGTTCAGATAATCGTCACTGGTGTTGGCCGTGAGCAGGAATCGAACTCGGCTCGCTGGGTTCGTAGCGCAGCGTAGCACTAACCGCTGCACTCCCGCTCCCCAGCACCACGCACACACGCACGCACGCAAAGACACGCACGTGGACAATCGTGACAAAGTGCGGGATACCTGATTTTATTGAGGATGTCGGCGGCGGCCTGCGTGAGGAGGACCTTGCGGACGAAGTCTTGCGGCACGGAGACCTTTCCGGCGCTGGACGCACGCAGCTCCTCCCGCATCTCCCCGCCCGGCCTCATCACGTGCGGGCACAGCGCCTGCGCCGCGTCCAGCATCGAGTCCAGCAGCGTCTACCAGGCAGCCCGCAATCACGCCAATCGTGCCGGCCAATCACGACAATCGTGCCGGCCAATCACGCCAATCGTGCTGGAAATCGATGAGGGCAATCTTGGCAATCAATCAGTGCAATCACGACAATTGATGAGGAAAATCTCGGCAATCCGTGAGGGCAATCTCGTCAATCGATGAGGACAATCTCGGATATAAATCAGGGGAAATCAATCAGAGCAATCACGGCAATCACACAAATCATGCCAATCAGGTCTCTGCGTTCGTAGCGCGGTGTGCCAACTACTTTGCCACCACTCCCCACATGAGCTGGTGCGCACACGCGCACCGATACACACGTCAGGACACCGAAGGAGGATGCTCGGTTGTTAAGGCTGACGTGCTCGTGGAGTAGTTAGCCGACTCTGCTGTTTGAATACATCGCTGGGAGTCTGCTATTACCTCAGCCGCGAGCCAGCCGAGCTCCGATTGGCCCATTGGTCAGCACATTTGAATAGGGAAAGGCGGGAGGATTCGAATCTGCCGAATGGCTGAGGGAAGATTCTGTGCGTCCACGTCATCTCAAACCACCGTGGGCAGACGACACTGCCCGCCTGTGTCTGATGAAGACATTCACCACCTTGTCATGGCCCTACACACAACGTACATGTACATTGTCGCGTGCTGCGTGGTGTGCTGCGGGGCTAAGTGGTGTGCTGCATCGTGTGCTGTGTGGTGTGCTGCGGGACTAAGTGGTGTGCTGCATCGTGTGCTGTGGGGCTAAGTGGTGTGCTGTGTGGTGTGCTGCGGGACCAAGTGGTGTGCTGCATCGTGTGCTATGTGGTGTGCTGCAGGGCTAAGTGTTGTGCTGCAGGGCTAAGTGATGTGCTGCGGGGCTAAATGGTGTGCTGCGTGGTTAAATGGTGTGCTGCGTCGTGTGCTGCGGGGCTAAGTGGTGTGCTGTCGGTGTGCTGCGTGGTGTGCTGTGGGGCTAAGTGGTGTGCTGTCGGTGTGCTGCGTGGTGTGCTGTGGGGCTAAGTGGTGTGCTATGTGGTGTGCTGTGGGGCTAAATGGTGTGCTGTGTGGTGTGCTGTCGGTGTGCTACGAGGCTAAGTGGTGTGCTGCATCGTGTGCTGTGGGACTAAGTGGTGTGCTACGTGGTGTGCTGCGTGGTGTGCTGCGTGGTGTGCTGCGTGGTGTGCTGCGTGGTGTGCTGCGTTTGTGTGCTGTGCGGTGTGTCGCGGGGCTGCGGTGGAGAATCCCGCCTCACCTCCAGCTGCTTCTCGACGACCACGGTGATCTCTCCGGCCATGAGCTCCAGCTTGGCCTGAATGGGCGACCCGCGGGCGCCGCTCTCTCCGTACCACGCCTCGGCACCCACGTGGTACAGGTTGGGCAGCAACTACGGGGGGGAGACACGCACGGCGTCGTGACGTGCGCCATCGCTACGCGGCAAACGGCGCCCATGTGGGGCCCGTGGCCCCGCCGTATCCGGCCTTGTCGTGGCAGTAGAGATTGGGGGCAAGTCCTCTGTCGACACCCCCCACAAAGAGGGGTTGGGTTTGCGCGTGCCCCGGCATTGCTGCGATTGGTGGCGATTATCGCCGAATGGGCACCGAGATGGTGGTCGCCTGTTCCCAGCCCTGAGCCAATGGTGGAAATTCCTCATTCCTATGGCGGAGGGGTTGCGAAGATGAATCCGAACGACAACCAACGAACGAGGCGATCACCTCGGCGGGCGTGCGAGTGACGGGGGGGGGGGTTTGAACTTACTGTGCGAGCGTTCTTGGCATCGCGTACGAGAGACTCAGCGGTCCTGACGTCGTCGCGAACGCTCTCCGCCTGAACGTTGCGCAGGGAGTTGAGGTGATCCCTCACCTTGACGCACATGCGGTCCACCATCTGTGAGCCAACACCACGGCACGCAAGGAGGGGGGGGCATGGCAAGGTTGCGCGCAGCGTCCACGTGCGTGTGTGTCATAGGTGCTGCCGCTTGCTAACAGCACTTGCCCCCAACAGTCTGTTGAGGCTACGCAGGGGGATCTTTGTATTTGGAAGCGGTAGTGTCGCGGTTAGCGCTACGTCGCGCTACGAATCCGGCGACCAGAGTTCAATTTCCGCTCACGGCCAACACCGGTGACGATTATCTGAACCGGTCTCTGGGCCTCCCCTAGGTCGACTCAGCCTCAAATGAGTACCTGGTGCTATGCGTGAACATCGCCACTGGGGAGACAAAGGCGGCCAGGCGTGGTGTTGGCCACCCACTCCCTCGCGTGTCACAGTGCTGGCTTTCATAGGCACTGCTCGCGAGTAGCACTTGCCCGCAACAGTCTGTTTAGGCTATACGGGGCATCTTTGTCTTTAGCATTTACACGCGTGTGGAAACGTGGACACACGTGCGCGTGTGGAAACGTGTCCGAGCGCGTGTGCACATCCGCGGGGGCGAGGAACTCGGCCACGCGCGGCACGAGCGGCTCGGCGGGGTTTGCGCTTCGCAGGCCGCCCATTTGTGCGTTTCTGTTTTCATGTAAACATTTAAAACACAATTGGCTGAGCACGGGCTGAAAGGTCCGAAACATCGAATTTGCAACAGAAAAATAATCAAGGTGGTGGTATTTTATTGCGTGAGGGTACCGATTTATGAGACTGGGATAAAGAGACAGTAGATGGGGATTCCAATACTGCGGCGGTGCGATTTAACCATCGGAATCAGAATCTTCGTTTTAGACTGGGGGAATCCGATGAGCCAAGAAGCTCTCCGTGTTTTTGTTCACGGATGCCCAAGTATTTTCACAGACGTCCTCTCTGCGTCCAACCGTGAACACCGTCTGCTTCAGAGTGGATGTTCAAGATCCCGAGACGTCATTCGTGAGGATTGGAGGCAACCCACGTGCCGGCGTCATAGTTCGAGTTGGCAAAAAAAAGTTTAATTTACCTGGTAAATAGACGCCAATAGCGTCTACACACCGTTGCTGCAGCTTGTGGAGCGCACAGGGTTTTTTGCACGGAGGTGCGGGGGGGAAAACGTCGGCGCAAGCGAGAAGGAAGGCGACCAGAAGCGGTACCAACAATTGCCAAAGCTCTGTGGTCCTATATTGGGTTGTCAGGCCAACGCCATCAGTGAGCGCTCGTGCTCTCAATGTGAAACGAACCGGCGGCTTCCCTCGCGACGTCACCTTCTCGCCGCCGTTTCGGGAGCAGCACCTACGGCACGTGTGGAATCCCCGCCACTGGGAATTGTGATGCGGCGGACTCCGTTCGAACCGGACGAGCGACGCGGCGCACGGACAACAACCGCCGAGAGCAACGGAGCCGAAGACGCGGTGAACATTGCCGAGAAACCAAGGCAGCTGCCACGCAATCTCCGGTTAGCACGGTTGGCTACGCACGGCGCGAAAGATGTTCGACGCACACAGAGGTGTAACCCTTAGGAGCGCGCTGGACTTGCAATCCAGATGTAGCCGATTCGATTCCATCTCCCGGTGCGGCAGGTGAAACAATGGGGCCACGTTTTCATAAATCGACCCCTCCCACCCTCTATCCACCCAGCGGTATAGACGGGTAACAACCACAGTTGAGCCGGTTGGCAGGTCGCAAGCGGTGGGGCACATTGTGGCTACGGCCACCACTTCCAACCCGCATCACGTGGAGACCAAATACCCCTCGAGAGTGCCACAAAAGGTGGCGGTCGCCCCCCCCGGCAGCGGTGCGAGCGAGACGTTGCAGGGCCCACGCCTTTAACCTCTCAGCCGAGACACGAGGGCCAAACGCACGACGACACAGTCACCGTGCGGCTTGGCACGTTCGCGCGAGCCAGTCGGTTGCCTGCGTTCGCTGCCGACACCGCACTGGAATCGGTTACCGCTTCCTGGCCTTGGGAACCGGTAACCGATTTCCCAGGTTGCGGGTTGCGGTTGCGCGCCACCGCCACCGCCGCCACCGGTGACGGTGAAGCCGGAGGAGAGGAGTGTGACGATGGTGAGGAAGGGGGGGCGGGGGGGGGGGGTGACCTGCTGCGACGTGCTCGTCACGATGCCCTGCTGCAGCCGGTACGCTTGCTCGGGGGAGAAGCGCCGACTCTCGTGGTTCCGCAGCAACACGTTCTCGATCTGCACAGACGCAAGCGCGCACACACACACAAGTACATACACACACACGCACACACGTGCAGACACACAAGCACAAACACATGCGCACGCGCGCATACACATGCGCACACGCGAGCAGACACACAAGCGCAAACATGTTAGCCCGCACACACACGCCCGCACACACACGCGCACACATGCGCACAAAGACAAAGATCCCCCTTATAGCCTGAACACACTGTTGGGGGCAAGTTCTGTTAGCAAGCCCCTATGAAGGTCGTCACGGCACACGAGGGGGTGGGTGGTCAACACCACCAGGCCAGGCCGCCTTTGTCTTCCCAGTGGCGATGTTCACACACTGCACATTTGAGGCCAAGTCGACCAAGCAGAGGCCCAGGACCGGTTCAGGTAATCGTCACCGGTGTTGGTGGCCGTGAGCGGGAATGGAACTCGGGTCTCCGCCGGGTTCACAGCGCTAGGAGGAGCTAACCGCTAGCCCACCTTCTGGAGGGCCTCTTCCGTTTTCTCGGGATTCGCTTTCAGGGCCACGGAGGCGTCGTTCACCGGGGTCGGCATGTACCGCAGCGTGTAGTTCCTGCTCACGTGCACGTGAACACACAACAAAGACAAAGATCCCCCGTATAGCCTCAACAGACTGTTAGGGAAAGTGCTGTTTGCGAGCACCAATGAAAACCGGCATTATGACACGCGAGGGGGTGGGTGGCCAACACCACGCCCGGCCGCCTTTGTCTCCCCGGTGGCGATGTTCACGCATAGCACCAGGTACTCATTTGAAGCTGAGTCAACCGAGGGGAGGCCCAGAACCGGTTCAGATAATCGTCACTGGCGTTGGTTGTGAGCAGGAATCGAACTCGGTTCAAACTCGGTTCGATTGCTGCTAACCGCTACACTACCTCTCACCACACACATGCACGCATGGACACGCAATCGCGCACGTACGTAACACACGCATGCACACACGCATGCACACACGCATGCACACACGCATGCACGCAAAGAGAGATCCCCCCGTATGACCCTAACAAGACTGTTTGGGGGCAAAGTGCCGTTAGCGAGCAGCACCTACGATCGTGGAATTGTGAGCATCGATGCCTCATTGCTCGTTGGGCAGTGGCAGGATCTCACGTTGGCGACGCACGGCGCACGGACATCGCGAGAGTGGCGGCAGAGTGGGGGTTGTGCAGGAGGGGAATGGACGTGACACGGACAGAGGGGACAGGACACGGACAGAGGGGACAGGACACGGACAGAGAGGACAAGACACGGACAGAGGGGACAAGACACGGACAGAGGGGACAGGACACGGACAGAGGGCACAGGACACGGACAGAGGGGACAGGACACGGACGTGATACGGACAGAGGAGACAAGATACGGACGTGACACGGACAGAGAGGACAAGACACGGACAGAGGGCACAGGACACGGACAGAGGGGACAGGACACGGACGTGATACGGACAGAGGAGACAAGATACGGACGTGACACGGACAGAGAGGACAAGACACGGACAGAGGGCACAGGACACGGACAGAGGGGACAGGACACGGACGTGATACGGACAGAGGAGACAAGATACGGACGTGACACGGACAGAGAGGACAAGACACGGACAGAGGGCACAGGACACGGACAGAGGGGACGGGACACGGACGTGACACGGACAGAGGGGACAGGACACGGACAGAGGGCACAGGACACGGACAGAGGGGACAGGACATGGATAGAGGAGACAAGACACGGATTTGACACGGACAGAGGGGACAGGACACGGACGTGACACGGACAGAGGGCACAGGACACAGACAGAGGGGGCAGGACACGGACAGAGGAGACAAGACACGGATTTGACACGGACAGAGGAGACGTACTTCTCCAGGGCTCCCGCCACATCCTGGAAGCCTTGTGCGGTCGTGTTGTTTTTATCCCAGATCACAGTCCTGCGCACAGGGTGACAGCGGAGCGAGGGTGAGCGCACCTCAACAGCAGCGGCACATTCGGTGGCAGAGCGGCAGGGCCCGAGTTACTCTCCGTGGGTTCTAGCCAACGGTGGGAAATGTCAATGTAAAAGTTCCAGTATGAATTCGTCATCGAGTTTTGGGTCAGGCCACGTAAATAATCCGATCAAATTTGTGTCGTTAATACCCTCCACCACCTGGTCAAACATTAAATGGGCAGGCAGTGAACAAGCGTTTGACAATTCGCCGATTATTATTTTTCCAGCTCAGTTACTCATTCACTCACCCACTCACTCACTGTCGGAGAGTCGGAGAACAATCTTCACGAATACATTTAGCAGCGGATTAGATACGCGACGTTTTGCTTGAACCCAAGTCAAACATCCTCAGGCAAATATCCAGGAAGTCAGAATAACCGTGTCACCTAACCCGGCTTTTTCACAGCAGGAATCACGAGCTCACATGAACAACCAATCACATTTAAATTGGACAATAATGTATTCTAATTGATAATCACCCTACGATATTGATTAGGACTCATCGGTGTTACTGGTCTGTAGGACGGTGTTATGAAGTTTGACCGAATCTCAAAAAGCGAAGTGAAACCGATTGGTCAAGCGGCTCGCGCTTGCTGACATTTTTTCCCCAGCAGCAGAAAAAACATCTCGGTGCAGGGATCCGAACCAGCCAGAAAAGTGTGCCGATACACACCCGTGGTGTTTTGGAAACGCCGGCACGGTGAACCAGCCGATAAGTCCGTTGCCAAAGACGTCAGGATCGAGTCTGTTTGGCACTCGAGTGCGAGACCGTTTTGCGAGTGGCAGGCAATGTAGGTTTGGGGCAGACCAAGAGATGGCCAGCAGAGGGGGCAGCATAGCAGCGGATTCTTGAATCTGTCTGTGTGGAGCTTTACTAAAAAAAAATAAACTAAACCATTTTTATTTTACCAGGTAAGGCCACTGAGCTATGTGGCGGCTTATCATCACGTGGAAATTTATAGCAGCCAAATACTCTAAACGCGTGATGTTTATTCTAAAGGTGAAGGGAAAAATCCACATGACCACGGGGCGAACGTGCAAACTCCAAACATACAGACGTCAGGGTCGGGATCGAACCCACGACTTCCTGTATACCAGGCGAGGTAGCGAGCATCTCGCCACCGCGGCACCACACCCCCTTGTGAGTGTCACCCCCTTCCTCGCCCCCCTGCTACGCGTGCTGGGGGGTTTCTCCGGCACACCGTCACATCGCGGCACATTCCCACCACTGGCCGTAGTTAAAGAGAAGATGGACGCATGGGGAGAAGGGGGACGAGCCGGCAAGCGCACGCGCGAGAGAACAGGCCTCAGCTTGGTGTTGATCTGCAGGGCCTTGGCCAGCATCTTGGCCCCGATGTCGCCCATGCTGTTCCCGCTGAGGTCGACGCGCGTCAGCGACGTGTTACTTCCCAGGGCGTTGATCACGATGGTGAGGTCCGCCTTGAGCTTGGAGTCCGCCAAGGACAACGACTGCAGAGGCTGCGAACGGCAGCGAGCAGCAGCAGCAGCGACAAAGGCAACGATCGGCCGTGTAGCCTCAACAGACGGCTGAGGAGGCAGGTGCTGTCAGCAAGCACCTTTGAAAGGCCGGCACGGCGCACGAAGGGGGTGGTGTGGCCAGCGCCACACCCCGGCCACCTTTCGTCTCATCATTACCGATGTCCACGCAGTGCACCGGGTACTCGTGTAAGGCTGAGTAGACATAGAGGAGGACCAAGACTGGTTCTGACATTCATCACTGATATCCAGGAGTGAAAGATGCTCGCTGGCTTCATCGTGCAATGCACCAATCACTACGTTCACGGTTCCCCACCCAAGCCACCACACCCCATGCATACATACACACACACGCAACACGGATACACACACACACCACGCGTACACACACACCAGGCAACACGTGTGTTGTGCGTGCACACACACCACACGTGCACGTGCACACACACCACACGTGCACGTGCACACACACCACACGTGCACGTGCACACACACCACACGTGCACGTGCACACACACCACACGTGCACGTGCACACACACCACACGTGCACGTGCACACACACCACACGTACACGTGCACACACACCACACGTGCACGTGCACACACACCACACGTGCACGTGCACACACACCACACGTGCACGTGCACACACACCACACGTGCACGTGCACACACACCACACGTGCACGTGCACACACACCACACGTGCACGTGCACACACACCACACGTGCACGTGCACACACACCACACGTGCACGTGCACACACACCACACGTGCACGTGCACACACACACCACGTGCACGTGCACACACACACCACGTGCACGTGCACACACACACCACGTGCACGTGCACACACACCACACGTGCACGTGCACACACACCACACGTGCACACACACCACACGTGCACGTGCACACACACCACACGTGCACGTGCACACACACCACACGTACACGTGCACACACACCACACGTGCACGTGCACACACACCACACGTGCACGTGCACACACACCACACGTGCACGTGCACACACACCACACGTGCACGTGCACACACACCACACGTGCACGTGCACACACACCACACGTGCACGTGCACACACACCACACGTGCACGTGCACACACACCACACGTGCACGTGCACACACACCACACGTGCACGTGCACACACACACCACGTGCACGTGCACACACACACCACGTGCACGTGCACACACACACCACGTGCACGTGCACACACACCACGTGCACGTGCACACACACACACACTACTCGTGCACACACACCACACGTGCTTAAGACACACCACGTGTGCACACACACACGCACACGCCACACACACATGCGCACCCCACCCATACGTACACACACAGGTGTGAGGGGTTTGGGTCAAAGTTCACACGTACCGAGTCTTCGTCCTGGATCATCTGCACGATGTTATCCAGAACCGGTGCCACGTTCCTGCAAGAGTAAAACACGTTGTAGGTTTGATGTGCTCAGCTTATGTATTACAGTCAACGTGTATTATGTATTATTATGTATTACAGTCAACGTGTATTATGTATTATTATGTATTAGTCAACGTGTATTATGTATTATTATGTATTACAGTCAATGTGTAGTATGTATTATTATGTATTACAGTCAATGTGTATTATGTATTACTATGTATTACAGTCAATGTGTATTATGTATTACTATGTATTACAGTCAACGTGTATTATGTATTATTATGTATTACAGTAAACGTGTATTATGTATCACTATGTATTACAGTCAACGTGTATTATGTATTATCATGTATTACAGTCAACGTGTATTATGTATTAGTATGTATTACAGTCAACGTGTATTATGTATTAGTATGTATTACAGTCAACGTGTATTATGTATTGTCATGTATTACAGTCAACATGTATTATGTATTATCATGTATTACAGTCAACGTGTATTATGTATTATTATGTATTACAGTCAACGTGTATTATGTATTAGTATGTATTACAGTCAACGTGTATTATGTATTAGTATGTATTACAGTCAATGTGTATTATGTATTAGTATGTATTACAGTCAGCGTGTATTATGTATTAGTATGTATTACAGTCAACGTGTATTATGTATTGTCATGTATTACAGTCAACATGTATTATGTATTATCATGTATTACAGTTAACATGTATTATGTATTATTATGTATTACAGTCAGCGTGTATTATGTATTATTATGTATTACAGTCAACGTGTATCATGTATTAGTATGTATTACAGTCAACGTGTATTATGTATTAGTATGTATTACAGTCAACGTGTATTATGTATTATTATGTATTACAGTCAACGTGTATTATGTATTAGTATGTATTACAGTCAACGTGTATTATGTATTAGTATGTATTACAGTCAACGTGTATTATGTATTAGTATGTATTACAGTCAATGTGTATTATGTATTATTATGTATTACAGTCAACGTGTATTATGTATTATCATGTATTACAGTTAACGTGTATTATGTATTATTATGTATTAGTCAACGTGTATTATGTATTATTACATATTACAGTCAACGTGTATTATTTATTATTATGTATTACAGTCAACGTGTATTATGTATTATTACGTATTACAGTCAACGTGTATTATGTATTAGTATGTATTACAGTCAACGTGTATTGTGTATTAGTATGTATTACAGTCAACGTGTATTATGTATTATTACGTATTACAGGCAACGTGTATTATGTATTAGTATGTATTACAGTCAACGTGTATTATGTATTATTATGTATTATTCAATATGTATTAAGTGTTATTATGTATTACAGTCAACGTGTATTATGTATTAGTATGTATTACAGTCAACGTGTATTATGTATTAGTATGTATTACAGTCAACGTGTATTATGTATTATTATGTATTACAGTTAACGTGTATTATGTATTATTATGTATTACAGTCAACGTGTATTACGTATTATGTATTACAGTCAATGTGTATTATGTATTATTATGTATTACAGTCAACGTGTATTATGTATTGTTATGTATTACAGTTAACGTGTATTATGTATTATTATGTATTAGTCAACGTGTATTACGTATTATTACGTATTACAGTCAACGTGTATTATTTATTAGTATGTATTACAGTCAACGTGTATTATGTATTATTACGTAATACAGGCAACGTGTATTATGTATTAATATGTATTACAGTTAACGTGTATTATGTATTAGTATGTATTACAGTCAACGTGTATAATGTATCACTATGTATTACAGTCAACGTGTATTATGTATTATTATGTATTACAGTCAACATGTATTATGTATTATTACATATTACAGTCAACGTGTATTATGTATTAGTATGTATTACAGTTAACGTGTATTATGTATTATTACGTATTAGTCAACGTGTATTACGTATTATTACGTATTACAGTCAACGTGTATTATGTATTATTATGTATTACAGTCAACGTGTATTATGTATTATTACGTATTACAGGCAACGTGTATTATGTATTAGTATGTATTACAGTTAACGTGTATTATGTATTATTATGTATTACAGTCAACGTGTATTATGTATTAGTATGTATTACAGTCAACGTGTATTATGTATTAGTATGTATTACAGTCAACGTGTATTATGTATTATTACGTATTACAGTCAACGTGTATTATGTATTATTATGTATTAGTCAACGTATATTATGTATTATTACGTATTACAGTCAACGTGTATTATGTATTTTTATGTATTACAGTCAACGTGTATTATGTATTATTATGTATTACAGTCAATGTGTATTACGTATTATTACGTATTACAGTCAACGTGTATTATGTATTAGTATGTATTACAGTTAACGTGTATTATGTATCACTATGTATTACAGTTAACGTGTATTATGTATTCGTATGTATTACAGTCAACGTGTATTATGTATTATTATGTATTACAGTTAACGTGTATTATGTATTATTATGTATTACAGTCAACGTGTATTACGTATTATTATGTATTACAGTCAACGTGTATTATGTATTATTATGTATTACAGTCAACGTGTATTATGTATTATTATGTATTACAGTTAACGTGTATTATGTATTATTATGTATTAGTCAACGTGTATTACGTATTATTACGTATTACAGTCAACGTGTATTATTTATTAGTATGTATTACAGTCAACGTGTATTATGTATTATTACGTAATACAGGCAACGTGTATTATGTATTAATATGTATTACAGTTAACGTGTATTATGTATTAGTATGTATTACAGTCAACGTGTATTATGTATCACTATGTATTACAGTCAACGTGTATTATGTATTATTATGTATTACAGTCAACATGTATTATGTATTATTACATATTACAGTCAACGTGTATTATGTATTAGTATGTATTACAGTTAACGTGTATTATGTATTATTACGTATTAGTCAACGTGTATTACGTATTATTACGTATTACAGTCAACGTGTATTATGTATTATTATGTATTACAGTCAACGTGTATTATGTATTATTACGTATTACAGGCAACGTGTATTATGTATTAGTATGTATTACAGTTAACGTGCATTATGTATTATTATGTATTACAGTCAACGTGTATTATGTATTAGTATGTATTACAGTCAACGTGTATTATGTATTAGTATGTATTACAGTCAACGTGTATTATGTATTATTACGTATTACAGTCAACGTGTATTATGTATTATTATGTATTAGTCAACGTATATTATGTATTTTTATGTATTACAGTCAACGTGTATTATGTATTATTATGTATTACAGTCAATGTGTATTACGTATTATTACGTATTACAGTCAACGTGTATTATGTATTAGTATGTATTACAGTTAACGTGTATTATGTATCACTATGTATTACAGTTAACGTGTATTATGTATTCGTAGGTATTACAGTCAACGTGTATTATGTATAATCATGTATTACAGTTAACGTGTATTATGTATTAGTATGTATTACAGTCAACGTGTATTATGTATAATCATGTATTACAGTTAACGTGTATTATGTATTAGTATGTATTACAGTCAACGTGTATTATGTATTAGTATGTATTACAGTCAACGTGTATTACTTATTATCACGTATTACAGTCAACGTGTATTATGCATTAGTATGTATTACAGTCAACGTGTATTATGTATTAGTATGTATTACAGTCAACGTGTATTATGTATTAGTATGTATTACAGTCAACGTGTATTATGTATTAGTATGTATTACAGCCAACGTGTATTATGTATTAGTATGTATTACAGTCGACGTGTATTATGTATTAGTATGTATTACAGTCAACGTGTATTATGTATTATTAAGTATTAAGATCTCAGAGTGTGTGGGGGTTGGGTTTTGTGTACCTCTGTGTAAGCGTGTAATTCTCCCCTGTCCGACGCCGCATGTCTCATCATGAACAGAAGCACGAGACAGATGTGGAAACTGTCCCGTCAATACGCGCGCCGCCCCGGGCTGAGACGACAAATGGTGAGCAACTCACTTGGGCTTCATGTTGCTGAAATTCCTGCCCAGCGCCAAATGCTTGATGGAGCGGTTCTTGCACAGCCAAACGGTTAGCGTGGCCAGGTCGGACTCCAGGCCTGCGTAGCAACACGCAGCGACACGCAGCGACACACAGTGACACACAGCAACACGCAGTGACACACAGCAACACGCAGCAACACGCAGCGACACAGCGACACGCAGCGACACGCAGCGACACACAGCAACACGCAGCGACACGCAGCGACACGCAGCAGCACGCAGCGACACAGCGACACGCAGCGACACGCAGCGACACGCAGCAACACGCAGCGACACGCAGCGACACAGCAACACGCAGCGACACGCAGCGACACGCAGCGACACACAGCGACACGCAGCGACACGCAGCAACACGCAGCAACACACAGCAACACACGGCGACACGCAGCGACACGCAGCGACACGCAGCGACTCGCAGCGACACACAGCGACACAGCGACACACAGCGACACACAGCAACACACAGCAACACACAGCGACACACAGCGACACACAGCAACACACAGCGACACACAGCGACACACAGCGACACGCAGCGATACGCAGCGACACGCAGCGACACGCAGCGACACAGCGACACACAGCGACACACAGCAACACACAGCAACACACAGCGACACAGCAACACACAGCAACACGCAGCGACACGCAGCAACACACAGCGACACAGCGACACACAGCGACACACAGCAACACACAGCGACACGCAGCGACACGCAGCGACACACAGCAACACGCAGCGACACGCAGCGACACACAGCGACACACAGCGACACAGCAACACACAGCAACACGCAGCGACACAGCGACACACAGCGACAAAGCGACACACAGCGACACGCAGCGACACACAGCGACACACAGCGACACACATCAACACGCAGCGACACACAGCGACACGCAGCGACACACAGCGATAAAAGCGACATTGTTGTTTTACCGGCGTGACACCGCTACGTGAACGGGGCGATAGACTCTTATTGCCCCCGGCACGATGAGGGCTGTGCACACGGCTCCTCACCATTGTCGGACACGTCCAGGCTGCTGATGTTGTGTACATCTGCGATGCACCCTTCCAAAACTTGCGCACCCGCTGACCTTAGCTTTTAATAAAAAAAAACAGCTAGTTTAGTGAACGAAACGTCACGCGAATAAACACACAGCATGACATGAAAACCGGCAGCATGACGTAAGCGATCTTTGCGGTTACTCGACTGCTCTCACGTGCTATGAGGAAGAAGGATCACTGGCCAAAATATCACCTATTATATATTTTTACTTTCAGGGTCACACTGTTACTGATGAATGTGTTGAGCTGTTTGTGTTGGACTTGATTGTGCACCATTGCCAACGGAGCAGCATCACCAAATAAATGTTTTGTTATTCTTAGTTTTTTCGGTAAAGTCACGTTGAAGAGAAACAACAAAATAATAAAATATATATAAAACAATAAAAAATTCTCACGACGTTTCGACCATAACTCAAACGGTCATCTTCAGGTGTGTTGGTTTGCATAAATTTATTTTTAAACGGCGCATTTATTTATTTATAAAAATAAGCTATCTGGCTTCCATGAGAGATTCGTTCATGAGGCTATCCACATATACAAGCACAGAGACAATTTCAACCGAGAAGATGGATTCTATCTTAGCAATCATTGGAAAGATTTGATAAACCATTTCAGTTCTTAATTGATTGTTCACGCTTACAGTGGCTTTCAGACAGCATACATTATAAAAAATTTCGTCTCCCCCCTCCTCTTTTCAAAATATAGATGGACTAGTCCTGGGCAAACTGCCAAATCGCTGCGCGTGACGCTAACGTTTTTATAAATAAATAAATGCGCCGTTTAAAAATAAATTTATGCAAACCAACACACCTGAAGATGACCGTTTGAGTTATGGTCGAAACGTCGTGAGAATGTTTTATTGTTTTATATATATTTTATTATTTTGTTGTTTCTCTTCAACGTGACTTTACCGAAAAAACTAAGAATATGAATAACTGCAGTCACGAAAGCTTTAAATCAAAATTTAAATGTTTTGTTATTCATTTAGTAACGGGAAAGGACACGCGAAATAATTTACAGCCTCCCTGTCAAACCACTGCCGGATGAAGGCCTCTTTGGGTCAGCACCGTTTCCCACGGTGGCAGCGAGGAGCTCCAGAGAGCTCGCCCCCTGTGAGCAGAGTGGACGCCAGCCCAGGCTCCGCACGCTTACGCACCGTTTAAGCGGCGGAACGTCCCCAGGCCGTTTCGGACACACGAGCAGCGGGGGGGGGGGGGGGGGGGGGGGGGTCTCCGAATCCGCAAAACGCAGACGACAATGTCGGGGGTACTCACACAGTGACCCAGCTGAGCAGTGGGGAGAGGCAGGCGGCAGGCAGGCAAAGTAGGAGGCACACACGCACACACCCAGCGGCGGTTATCAGAGTATAACGTAGAAGGCACCCACACAGAGAGGCGGTTATCAAAGTATAACGTAGAAGGCACCCACACACAGAGGCGGTTATCAAAGTATAACGTAGAAGGCACCCACACAGAGAGGCGGTTATCAAAGTATAACGTAGAAGGCACCCACACAGAGAGGCGGTTACCAAAGTATAACGTAGAAGGCACCCACACAGAGAGGCGGTTACCAAAGCATAACGTAGAAGGCACCCACACACAGAGGCGGTTATCAAAGTATAACGTAGAAGGCACCCCTACAGAGAGGCGGTTATCAAAGTATAACGTAGAAGGCACCCACACAGAGAGGCGGTTATCAGAGTATAACGTAGAAGGCACCCACACAGAGAGGCGGTTATGAAAGTATAACGTAGAAGGCACCCACACAGAGAGGCGGTTATCAAAGTATAACGTAGAAGGCACCCCTAAAGAGAGGCGGTTATCAAAGTATAACGTAGAAGGCACCCACACAGAGAGGCGGTTATCAAAGTATAAAGTAGAAGGCACCCACACACAGAGGCGGTTATCAAAGTATAACGTAGAAGGCACCCCTACAGAGAGGCGGTTATCAGAGTATAACGTAGAAGGCACCCACACAGAGAGGCGGTTATCAAAGTATAAAGTAGAAGGCACCCACACACAGAGGCGGTTATCAGAGTATAACGTAGAAGGCACCCAAACAGAGAGGCGGTTATCAGAGTATAAAGTGAGACGGACTCGTGCCCGGAATAATTCCAGCAACCGGAGTGAAGAGGCACCAGGGTGAAGCTGCGGTGGCTCTTGAGTGAAAGGAGGGTTCTTAAAAATCTCTTTTCTTTATGCAACCGTTAATTAACTTTTTTAAATGTAACGGTTTACTCAGCCCATCATCCCTTCAAGGTCGATAAACAGAACCCAGGGTTTATTGGTACACTGAGCTCAGGGGCTTTGCCCTGTGAGCCATCTGGCCCGCTCTGAAAACCCAGCCAAGGACCAGTCCTGCTATCTCGCTCCCCCGTCGACAGCGGAGACCGCTCTCTCTACCGTGTCCCCAACAGCACATGGAAGAAGGTGAGGGGCATTTTCCTCCATGATTGTAACGATCAGGGACTCCACCAAACTACCCATAGCGGTGGGGTGCAAAACCATCAGGCGCACAACACCGCTGAGTGCCCAATACAGCACGCGCATTCCCGCAGACGACTTCACTCAGCTACCCCAATACCAAAGGGCGCGACGGTAGTGAGATGTTAACTACCTCGTATGCAGGAGGCATGGGTTCGATCCCAACCCCTGACGCCTGCATATTTGGCATTTGCATGTTTCTCTCCCCGTGGCTGTGTGGATTTTTCTCCAGGTCATCCGGTTTTTCCCTCCACACTTAGAAACATGTGCTTGATAGGCGACTTAATTGAGCTGTCATTTGTAGCCAGGCCGCTGCTGAAAAAGAGTTTTATAGCTCAGTGGGGCCTGACCTGGTAAAATAAAACAATTTTAGTTGAGCAAAAAAATGGTTTAGTTTAGTTTTAGTTGACAACACGCATACTCTGGTGGAACAACTACCCGGACGCTGCCGTGGGATGGCGCACAACGTTAAACACGCACGACTCTCGCCCTGCTGATTTTTTCAAACGCCATACGACAGGAGGAGCAGCAGCTCCGAATTAACGGGGCGGGGGGAAGGGGGGACGACGCCTTGGGAAGCAGCCGCAGCCACCGCACCTCGGTGCTGCTGATGTCGAGCGAGACGTCGCGCGCGTGCTGGTTGCAGGTGAGGCCCAGCAGCAGCGCCCTGCGCACCACACGGCACAGCAGGGCTCGGCGGCAGTCGCGCACGGCGGTGGCGACGACGACCGGGACCGGCCGTGGTTACGGGGGACGGCGGCGAGAGCCGCGAGGGGACAGGTCGCCCTCCCGCGCCGTGTCCGCTCGTGCCGCGTGGCCATGGCCAGGTGCTCAGGGTGAGACGATGTGGGGGAGGGGGTGGTGAGATTTCCCTGCCTGCGCTGGGAAATGTTATGCCCAGCACCGCACCCTGAGGCTAGAAATACATTCATCCCCCTGAGGATAGAAATACATTCATCCCCCTGAGGATAGAAATACATTCATCCCCCTGAGGATAGAAATACATTCATCCCCCTGAGGCTAGAAATACATTCATCCCCCTGAGGATAGAAATACATTCATCCCCCTGAGGATAGAAATACATTCATCCCCCTGAGGATAGAAATACATTCATCCCCCTGAGGCTAGAAATACATTCATCCCCCTGAGGATAGAAATACATTCATCCCCCTGAGGATAGAAATACATTCATCCCCCTGAGGATAGAAATACATTCATCCCCCTGAGGATAGAAATACATTCATCCCCCTGAGGCTAGAAATACATTCATCCCCCTGAGGATAGAAATACATTCATCCCCCTGAGGATAGAAATACATTCATCCCCCTGAGGATAGAAATACATTCATCCCCCTGAGGCTAGAAATACATTCATCCCCCTGAGGATAGAAATCCATTCATCCCCCTGAGGCTAGAAATACATTCATCCCCCCTGAGGATAGAAATACATTCATCCCCCTGAGGCTAGAAATACATTCATCCCCCTGAGGATAGAAATACATTCATTCCCCTGAGGATAGAAATACATTCATCCCCCTGAGGCTAGAAATCCATTCATCCCCCTGAGGATAGAAATACATTCATCCCCCTGAGGATAGAAATACATTCATCCCCCTGAGGATAGAAATACATTCATCCTCCTGAGGATAGAAATACATTCATCCCCCTGAGGATAGACATACATTCATCCCCCTGAGGATAGACATACATTCATCCCCCTGAGGATAGAAATACATTCATCCCCCTGAGGATAGAAATACATTCATCCCCCTGAGGATAGACATACATTCATCCCCCTGAGGATAGACATACATTCATCCCCCTGAGGATAGACATACATTCATCCCCCTGAGGATAGACATACATTCATCCCCCTGATGAAAGGCGTTGATTGGACAATGCCAGCTGGGCCGAGCCTGATTCGTCCTTGGGTGGGAGACTGTTCGCGAACAGCAGGCGCTGTGGGGGCTGGGACGGGCCGCGAGGTGACCAGCAGAGGGCAGCACAGTGACAGATTCTTAAATCCATCATTGTGGATTTTTGAATGTCACCGCCCTCCCTGTATTGTGGTGGGTTTTCTCTAGGCTCTCCGGCTTCTTTCCACAAGAACTCTCCTCTCATAATTGGAATTGGCCAAACATCCCAATGTAGCAGGGCCCTACTGTGCAAGAGGTTAATGCAGTATTATTATTCCCAAGTCCATATGGCACATTGAGGCAATACCGCCTGCTATGTATTCAAGTACAGCGTTACTACTTTAAGTTATCCGTTAATCTAATATTGGGTGAAACAAAATTCATTTAGGCAGACGACGACACCTCCTTCTCGTGTACGTCTCTCCACGTGAATTAACACTAAACGTATTTTCTTTACACCCCCCCTCCCCCCCCCCCAAGTTGGCCGCGCGCGATGTTTTCTGGCAGCGATTTCCATCGGCAGCATTGTTTGGACGCCTCCTCTCCGCGTGTCGCTCACCGGGGCCCCCGTGTGACCATACTTCACCACGCTGCTCAGTGCGGGCTCCAGAAAAAGCCTCGAAATCTGTCGTTTTGCCCGCCCGCCGGACATTTGGTAAATGGCACCCACGGGCGCGAGTCTGGGCCGTGCACGCGAATCCTCACTTGACGGCCTCGGCTGGCAGCTTGGTGCCGGAGAGGCCGAGGTGACGCAGCGCAAGGGAGCTGCAGAAGAACTGCTTGCACGACGGGGCGATGTCTCTCGTTCGTCTGCCGGAGAATGGGAACGGTCAACGGTGGCAAGCACAACCAAGCCCTCATCCACTCGCAGTGAAATACAAGCATCGGGCTCCTCTCGCCCGCCACGACGTCCGCGTACCCAACACTTCATTTGCCACGAACTAACGATCGACCGATCGATGCAGTGCTCAGTGATGACACTTTCCTGCTCCCGCCAAGATCATTCGGCCCAATAAGTGGACAGCAGCAGAGCCACGCCAATCAACATCTTTCAAACTCCGCCCACTGTTGCCAAGATATGCAACTACTGTACTGTAGAGGCGATCACGTGGATTTCCAATTAACTGAAGCAACGTATTTCTTCAGTTTAAGCACGTGACTTGGAATAAACATTTCCAAGAATGTCAATGTATAACTGTTTTTAGATGATTAATTTGGGCTTAAGGGAAAATCCACGAGGAAAAATGTATGTCAAAATCTCAGGTGCAAATCCGTAAATCGGATAAACCGCACACGGATAATCGAGTCTACTGTGCTGCGGTAATCACCACGCGCCCCTCTGCCTCACTCGCAACGGACGCCGACGATCCCCTGACGTCGTTTGATAAAGAGCGTTTGTATTTTATTTCAATCACTCGACACGTTTCGCCCG